CTGCTGTTGATTTTCAGACACCAGTTCTCAAATGTGGAGCTTCACATTGAATTCAGTTAGCGTTGTGTTCTTGTATTTTTCATCTTTATGCAACTTAAAAAAAATTCTCTTAGTTTGTTCGGTGTTATGCGAGAACAGCTCAACTTGGCATTGCAAATCATGCAGTTAGCACGCTGACTCACTTCAAATTCCGTTATACATGTGAATCCATATTGTACCTATTCGTCCGACCACTTTTCTTTTGCTTGACATAGTTAGTATGAATGTATTAAAATATTAAGATAGAAATCAAACGACGTACCATCACGACAGTCATACGTCGACTACATGGTCACGATATAGAAATAAATGTATGATCATCACAGCACGTTCATACACGATGAACACGCGCTAGTATTGGTGGCGTTGACACAATTCGTGACGTATGTGTTTCGTGACGTCGGTGAACCCGTGACGTCAAGGGTTCCGCGATATAGAAATATCACGATGATTATACGTGTTATTTCGATCTGACGCACTTTATTACTATGTTCTTCTGTCGTGCTGTCGTATTCGAGCAGTCATCAACCACTGCTAGTTCTATCGTCCGCACTGACAATATCCGATCATGAATCCAAGAGTTGGGTGTGTGTTTTGACCCTTGAGACTGACACCCCCTGGGGTTAGATCGAACCCAGGTTAAGAACCACTGCTCTCGATCAAAGCAACATCTTAAATTACATTTCAAAGTTCCATTAACTTTTTTTTAACTTTAAAAATAAAAATTTGCGTTAGTAGTTTTTTTTCTTGCCGAATAGGACAGCTTTGTGTAACATGACAGACAGCCTGTTAAACGTGACATGACAGTCAAGTTTGAGATGATATGACAGTCAAGTTTGAGATGATATGACAGTCAAGTTTGAGATGATATGACAGTCAAGTTTGAGATGATATGACAGTCAAGTTTGAGATGATATGACAGTCAAGTTTGAGATGATATGACAGTCAAGTTTGCGATGATATGACAGTCAAGTTTGAGATGACATGACAATCAAATTTGAGATGACATGACAGTCAAATTTGAGATGATATGACAGTCAAATTTGAGATTATATGGCCGTCAAGTTTGAGATGACATGACAGTCAAGTTTGAGATGATATGACAGCCCTGTTTCTACTTCCGTGACATTAAAGATAGTCTAGCATTGCGTGACAAGAATGGTAATCTGGTATAGCGTGACAACAATGATACTCTTGATGGCGTGACAACAATGATAGTCTAGTATAGCGTGACACTAAAGATAGCTTTACACGGCGTGACAGTATTGATAGCTTGGCATGACGTGACACTAAAGATAGCTTTACATGACAAGACACTAAAGATAACTTTACATGACGTGACACTAAAGATAACTTTACATGACAAGACACTAAAGATAACTTTACATGACAAGACACTAAAGATAACTTTACATGACGTGACACTAAAGATAACTTTACATGACAAGACACTAAAGATATTTTACATGACGTGACACTAAAGATAGCTTTGCATGACGTGACACTAAAGATAGCTTTGCATAACGTGACACTAAAGATAGCTTTACATGACGTGACACTAAAGATAGCTTTGCATGACGTGACACTAAAGATATCATTGCATGACGTGACACTATAGCTTTGCATGACGTGACAAGAATAATAGTCATGTACGGCGTGACACTAAAGATAGCTTTGCATGACGTGACACTAAAGATATCATTGCATGACGTGACACTAAATATAGCTTTGCATGACGTGACAAGAATAATAGTCATGTACGGCGTGACACTAAAGATAGCTTTGCATGACGTGACACTAAAGATATCATTGCATGACATGACACTAAATATAGCTTTGCATGACGTGACAAGAATAATAGTCATGTACGGCGTGACACTAAAGATAGCTTTGCATGACGTGACACTAAAGATATCATTGCATGACGTGACACTAAATATAGCTTTGCATGACGTGACAAGAATAATAGTCATGTACGGCGTGACACTAAAGATAGCTTTGCATAACGTAACACTAAAGATAGCTTTGCATGACGTGACAACAGAGAGCCTGTCTGTCGTGACATCAACAACGACAAGCATGTAACCAAACATGACCCTCCATCAACCCATGTCGTACAACCAGGCCCGGGGGGGGGGGGGGGGGGGGTGGGGCGCCCAACAATACATCCTCTGAATACTTGATAACAAACAGCACACATTCAACAGCAAGCCGATCGATATTCGAGTTGATTGTATCGTCAGAAGAGATCGATCACTACGAAAAGTATCGAAATATTTTTTTTCTTTTATTGAAATTGTAATCGAAAAAGAAAACTGCATTTAGTGCATAAAATATCAGTTTTTAAAACACTTCAAATTGTCAGAAATATTATTGATTTTGAGCATTTCTGCCAGGCGTTTTTTTTTTACCAACAATTTTTTAGAAAAAAATTTATTATCAGCCTGGTATAAAGAGAAGTTATCGTTCTTGACTTTCAGAAGGCAGGAGACATGTTTTTTAATTAATATTCGAGCCAACTGGCCATCAGAGTTTCTTTCAGGCATCTTTTCGGGGGGAGGGAGAGGCCCGTCCCTTCCCCTTCCGAAGAAAGTCTACCCCCCCCCCCCCCGTACGAAATGGAATTTATATAGAAGATATTTACTTTTAACAGTGTCGTCGTCCTCCCCCCTTGAAAATTTTCGTCCCCCCCCCCCCCCCCCCCCCCGGAGAAAAAAGTCTGAAAGAAATACTGCTGGCCATCACTGCAATTATCAACAAAATGCAAAGCTTAGACCCTGCTAAGCGTGGCAGTTTTGTGAAATTATAGAATCTCATTTATTGATATTCCGTAGTTAACTCCCTTTAGTTCCCGCAATATTTTATGGTTGTTTCCTATCTTGGAAGTTGGAGTAATTGATCTCATGTTGCCAATTGCAATATTATATTGACTTAAAGCCTTTTTTCGGTACGCTCTTGCATTCGATATTATATTGACTTATGGCCTTTTTTGTGGTACGCTCTTGCATTCAATATTATATTGACGTGTGTTTATTTTTATTTATTTTTTTAATTTTTTTTTTTTTTGGGGGGTTGGGGTTATGCTGTTGAATACAATATTTATATTGACTTGTGGTTTTTTTTAGTATGATGTTAAATAAAATTATATATATATACATATATATATATATATATATATATATATATATATATATATATATATATATATATATATATATATATATATATATATAATATTGACTTATCAGTAGATTTTATTTTTGCTATTCTGATCTGCTCATAGTACACGCAACATCAAATGGGTTGTGATGAAAGATCATTTTAACAAAAAACAATAACAGCTCTTTACAAAATCTACTTCGATTCAGTTCTTGACTGTGTAGCCAGAAAATAGAAAATTGTAGGTGGGATGGCCGTGGAGCCAGAAGATATAAAAGTAGGTTGGATGATAACTTGGGTTAGCATTACCACAAGCTTATGTGTAGATTGGTCTCCAGGAAAAAGTTATAACTCATCATCCGAAATTCTCTCGTTCGATACCAATTTCCAACGACCTATCCCTGTTTATATGACGCTCCTGAGGTAACCCAGCTTTACAGAGTACCCAATCTCAGTTGGGGAGTGTAATGGTGCGGTCATTGTGTGACACAATTCACCAGTAGGAAGAACATACACACTGACAGTCTGCTGAATTTAGCTAGACGACAAACTGGCCATGTGAATAGAACACGATCGTGCTAAGGACAAAACCCCATCGATTTTGCATGATATTTACAACAGCAATTAAAAGTGTTAATGCTAAATTAATGAGAGGAACCCAATATTTTACAGCAACAATCGTGGATCTTTATGGGTAGTTTTTTTTTATATCTCTTGCAGTTGAGAGAACAAGTGTCTTATGGGTGGTTAGGTGAGGGGAGGTGGTTAATGGGTGGTTAGGTTAGTGGAGGTGGTTAATGGGTGGTTAAGTGAGGGGGAGGTGGTTAGGTTAGTGGAGGTGGTTAATGGGTGGTTAAGTGAGGGGGAGGTGGTTAATGGGTGGTTAGATGAGGGGAGTGTGTAATGGGTGGTTAGGTGAGGGGAGGTGAGGGGAGGTGTGTAATGGGTGGTTAGATGAGGGGAGTGTGTAATGGGTGGTTAGGTGAGGGGAGGTGTGTAATGGGTGGTTAGGTGAGGGGAGGTGTGTAATGGGTGGTTAGGTGAGGGGAGGTGGTTAATGGGTGGTTAGGTGAGGGGAGATGGTTAATGGGTGGTTAGGTGAGGGGAGGTGTGTAATGGGTGGTTAGGTGAGGGGAGGTGTGTAATGGGTGGTTAGGTGAGGGGAGGTGACGGGAGGTGTTTAATGAGTGGCTAGGTGAGTGGTGAGTGGTGGTGAGGGAATGTGGTTAGGTGAGGGGATGTGTGTTGATGGGTGGTTAAGTGAGAAGAGGGGAGGGGAGTGTCTTATGCTTGTGAAATATTCCAGACTTTGAAGCTTCATGACAAAACGAGTTAACCGCACCAAGCAAAAACTGATCCAGAAATTCAATAATCGACTAAATGGGAAAGAAACCATTCGACGATTTTTTTTGTTGTTTAGCAAAAAGGCGAAGCTGAGTTTGGCCTGCTAGAGATGTCAATGACCTTTGTGATGCATCGCCATTTAAACGCGGCAGGAGATGTTGCGCTGCCAATTAACGTTCAGCACTGATTGATTAAGGCTAAAGATTTGAAAAGAGTTGTTTGGTGGTGGGGGGGGGGGGGCTGGGTCATGGAGAAATGCTGAACAGGTAGCTGTGTGTGTGTGTTTGTGTGCGTGCGTGTTGTGTGTGTTTGTATGTGTGTCTGTGCGTGCGTGTGTTTGCGCACGCACGGTCGCACGCGTTTTTTTGCAGCATATTTGTGCGCTGGGGCGTGTGTTTGCGCACGTGACTGTGTTGAGACATGCCCAGTTGAGTGAGATTTAAACTTGGCCCGAACTATTTTTCTCACTCCCGCTATGTGAGAGCGGTCTCAGGCATTCACTAAATGAGAAATAATGAACACAACAATAGGTATTGTCAATGCTATGGATTGCTGGAGAAATCGTGGACGGAAATATTTCCTAGGTCGAGACGATGTTCTCCAATCAAGCGTGACAAGTTAGAGCCCAAGGTTTGTTGGACTGTGAAATCCTATCGACAACTTCAGCCACCTACCCTAATGACAAGTTCACTCGCCCACCCTATCGACAAGTTTAGTGGACCGATTTTACAAGTTGTCACCCACTATATCGACAAGTTCAGTCACCCACTATATCGACAAGTCCAGTCACCCAATCGACAAGTTCAGACACCCACTATATCGACAAGTCCAGTCACCCACTATATCGACAAGTTCAGTAACCCACTATATCGACAAGTTCAGTCACCCACTATATCGACAAGTTTAGTGGACCGATTTTACAAGTTGTCACCCACTATATCGACAAGTTCAGTCACCCAATATATCGACAAGTTCAGTCACCCACTATATCGACAAGTTCAGCCACCCAATATATTGACAAGTTCAGTCAGCCAATCGACAAGTTCAGTCACCCACTATATCAACAAGTTCAACACCCACTATATCGACAAGATCAGTCACCCACTATATCGACAAGATCAGTCACCCAATCAACAAGTTCAGTCACCCACTATATTGACAAGTTCAGTCACCCAATACATTGACAAGTTATATCAGCCAATCGACAAGTTCAGTCACCCACTATATCAACAAGTTCAACACCCACTATATCGACAAGATCAGTCACCCACTATATCGACAAGATCAGTCACCCACTATATCGACAAGTTCAGTCACCCAATCAAAACGTTCAGTCACCCAATCAAAACGTTCAGTCACCCAATCAAAAAGTTCAGTCACCCACTTTCTTCCCAACCACACAAGTATCCCCACTAAATAAATAGCTTTGTCCAGCAAGTTGATTTTCAATATAAAAAAATAATAAACCGGGAGTGATCTCCCCTAAACTTTCTCGAATATCCTTATATAACACTACGTGGGATGACAACTCGGAAAATAGACATGATTTTTAATTACTTAAACTTTTTAAAAATAGAATAGAATCTCGTAGAAAAAAGAACTGCGCACCAAGCGAACGCCAAAACAAAATGTGCATAATAGTGCGGAATATTATTAGTACTTTATAAATTTACATGCGTTTTTTGAGAAATTGGAAATTGCGTAAATTACTACTTTCGGTCAACAGAAATTACTCAAAGGGGAGATCACACCCGGTTTATTATTTCACATTTTGTTGAAAAGTTATAAAATTTCGTTGGATTCTACATATGTCAATAATGGCATTTCATCATAAAGGCCAACACTTATTTGTTCACATTGTAAACTGTCCAGTATTAGTCATGTCTTTTACATGTTCACATTGTAAACTGTCCAGTATTAGTCATGTCTTTACATGTTCACATTGTAAACTGTCCAGTATTAGTCATGTCTTTTACATGTTCACATTGTAAACTGTCCAGTATTAGTCATGTCTTTTAAATGTTCACATTGTAAACTGTCCAGTTTTAGACATGTCTTTTAAATGTTCACATTGTAAACTGCCAATATTAGTCATGTCTTTACATGTTCACGTTGTAAACTGTCCAGAATTACTTATGTCTTTTACATGTTCACATTGTAAACTGTCCAGTATTAGTCATGTCTTTTAAATGTTCACATTGTAAACTGTCCAGTATTAGTCATGTCTTTTAAATGTTCACACGTGTGTTAAGTCAACCTGGATACCCATTTTGAAAATAAAAAGAACTAGATCGAATTGTATGAACAAAAGGACATAAAATCAATATCCTTATTGATCTCTATAGCTTTCTTGTATTGATTTCAACACGTTTCTTTCACATAAAGACGAGAGAAAGTCATTTGAACTCAGTTGTTTGGTACTGTGCAATCGATGGCATTTGTTATTTCCCCTGAAAACCGGAAATAAAGACAGTTAAATAGAAAGTGAAAATAGCACCGAAATTATTTACAGAAAACCCAAATTTCTAAAGTCACTGGCAATAGTTGTGTTCTAAATCGTTTGTACCACAATCTCTAAAACTTACTAAAGCAAGAGCATACTTTGGGCAACTGATACGAATTTCATAAACCGATGAAAACATTTAGTTTATAACAAGACGCCTGCGACAGATAAGATAGAGCCCATCTGTTTCAATGACCTCGACATACATGCGGATAGTGTGGTCAGCACTAAGCCACCTATACTTCACAAACGTCAGGTACCCATCAAAGCTGGGTGAACTCAGAGAAGTCCTATGGAATCGGTGTTTCTTCCAGACTATTTTCTCCGGGGGGTGGGGGGGGGGGGACTTGACCTTTCCGGTGAAGGGGTGGGGGCGGTCTAAAATTTTCCGGGGGCCGACTGGGGGCGGACACTGTTTAAAGTATATATTTTCTATATAAATTCCATTTCGTTCGGGGCGCGGTAGACTTTTTTCGCCGTTCCCACCCCCTCCCCGAAGAGATGCCTGGAAGAAACTCTGTATGGAATATCGCTCGGGATCCGAACTCGAGACTTGCCGGTTAGTGGTCGTGAATTCTACCATCCGATCACGTCGGCCTTTTCCTATTTATACATTACCCAGTTTTGCGCTATGTTGTTTATGTGTCGAAAAATAAAAAATCTTCGTTGATATTTATATTTTCCTTCTTTTAATGTTTGTCAGAATTGGATGATCTAAATGTAGATAAGTAAAAAAAAAAGAAAAAAATACGGCCTAAAATATATTGATTATCAATAATTTTCAATTGATATTTTTAGCCATAAGATGTTATAATTGATTTTCTTGTTTTCACTGCCTGTAATGGAAAACTTTTGTGTTCTAAAATAATTATTTAAATATTGATTCGCTTTGTTGACTGGAGGAAAAACGTATGCATTGTACCATTACAAATTTGACCCATACACATTATTGTATAAACTAACTTTAGCTAACTTTCAAGAAAGTAATTTTTACTTTCTCGTATACAGAGTATAGAGGGAGTATAGTAATCGTGCACAAAAATCACGTGAAATTTTGACAGTTTTCATCGTTTTACACCTCAGTACTTCATCATAGGGGACTTATTTTAATCGGACAAAAATAATAAATGCAGATTTATCAAAATCTCCGCATTTTACGATTCATTGAATCGGAAAAACTTAATTTTGCAAACTTGTCTGTCTGTCTGTGTGTATGTCTGTGTGTCTGCGAACACTATAACTTGATTACAGTTAAAGCTAGGTTAATGAAATTTCATATATAAGTATTACATCAATTCTGTAGTTCTGTATCAACCTTTCAACGATTTCCGGAATTTTGAGTAATTTCCGGTGACCGGAAGTAGTACTTTACGCTATTCCGATTTTTCAAAAATATAAAAGCATATGAATTTATAAAAGAATAATATTTCACACTATTATACACACATGGTTTGATGTTCAATTGGTGGGCAATTCTTTTTTCTACGAGATGCTATTCTATTTTAAAAAGCTTAGGTAATTAAAAATTGATTGCCATCCCCCGTAGTGTTATATAAGAACATTCGAGAAAGTTTAGGGGACATCACTCCAACTTTATTTTTAAATCAACCAGTCATGTTTTACAAAACGTTAATGTAGTTGCGGTAAAAATAACGAAAAGCTAGACCTTAAACCTGGCGTCTGTTCTATTCACGCTGCAAATAGAAATAAACCGGGAGTGATCTCCCCAAAACTTTCTCGCAGATTTTTATATAAAATAACAGGGGATGGGAACTCGGGCTATAGACATGATTTTTAATCCATTTTAAATACTTAAAGTTTTAAAAATAGAATAAAATCTCGTAGACAAAAGAATTGCACACCAAGTGAACGCCAAATAAAAAAGTGCACAATAGTGCGCAATATTATTAGTACTTTAAAAATTTAAATCGGAAGTAGCGTAAATTACTACTTCCGGTCAACGGAAATTACTCAAAATTTAAACGAAGGTAGAGAATTAGATCTTTTACTTACATGTGAAATTTCATTTATCTATCTGAAATAGTACTCAAGTTATAGGCTTTTGAAAAATTCAAAATAGATATAAAGTACCACTTCCGGTTATCGGAAATCGCTCAAAAGTTGATAAGGATCTACGATTTTGATAAAATACTTATATATGAAATTTCATCAACCTAGCTGTAACGGTACTCAAGTTATCGTGTTTACACACGGACACACACACACACACACAGACAGACACACAGACATACGGACAAGATTGCAAAATTATGTTTTTCCGTATCAGTGAGGTGTAAAACGTCGAGATTTGTAAAAATCTCGATTTTTTTTTTTTTTGCACGATTACAAGACTTTCTCTATACTTCGTATATACGAGAAAGTAAAAACAAATAGATCTATGTCACTTGAAATTTCCAGCCTCACTTTGGGAATTCTAAACTACTTACTAGTCAATCGAGTAGTAAGACAGAAATATTAAAAGAATATAACTAAAAGTCTAACTGGTAGTCACTAACTGGCACACTACGGTGTAGTTTTATGAGTCGCATTTTTTTTAACCCTACTTAATCTGTCTTCATCTATCTGAATATAAATCTTGGACTTACATTATGTCAAATATTTTACGAATAACAAAACTCTAGTCTATGTTATGTGACATATGTAGTAGCCTATGCCATACATACAGTTTCATACGTAACAAATATCTGGTCGGCTACGTAATATATCTTATTTTATATCTTGCCTATATCGTTAGATATATTTTATGTGTATCAAGTCTTTTGCCTATATCGTGACATATTTTATGTGTAACCGCACCATTTTCACCTTTTTCCACGATGCATTTTTTTTACATATAACAACGCCCTCATCGTGTATTACTAACCACCGGATAATGTAACAATTACTTGTAGGCAAAGAAAAGCCTATTGAGTCCACAGTGAAAGAAAAGATCTAAAGATCTAGAGCCCTTTGTTCTAGAACATCTTAGCACGTGCTAACATAGCAACAGTGTCGTCATCTATCACCAGGGACGCAGTACAAAGACTGTCGCTGGACATATTTCAAGTTCTTATAACTCTTTTAAACCTGTCCTTTGTTATACAAAATCGATGGTTATTGATTGGTTTGTGAGATCAATGTTTGCGGTTAGGTTACAGGTTCGAGCCTTTCTAGAGCCGGGTTTCTTGACGTCCCTGAGGTTCATGTAATCTGACTGATATAGTGGGGGGGGGGATTACAATTTCATGGAGGGAGGGGGCCTTGAAACTTCCGGAAGAAGGGGCCGGACAGCGATTAGAGTATATATTTTCTATTTAATTAGTATTGTTTTTATATTTCGTCCGTGGGGGTGGAGGGGGGATATGGGCAATTGGCTTTGATCTTAAGAGATTTATGAAAGTAACACTGCACAGGAGTGATTAAGAATAGTTCAAGAGCCTTCTAGAACCTTCTAGAACCATCGAGACATGTTGCACAACCAATTAAAACGTTGGTTTTTTTTTTCAATCGATCACTCCATTTAGTTTTCGCACATCTTGATCAATTTTACAAGATATTGATCGGCGAGTCAAATGACGGGAAACATTAAAGTCACGTGGCATTTGAAAGACCAATCAAACGTCCAGTCTCGCGGAACCTATCTGCGAGATCTCGCACGCCACGGTGCTGTGGCCTAAATGAAACGTTAAGGCAGCAGACGTAACAAATAACCCCTCCATAAATCACTCAGTCGTCTGCTGGTACAAATCAGTCAATCAATATTTTAGCGGGCCATTTTGTGTAAAGCATGAGTCCATTTATTCGTGGGTAAATGGTACATTAATTTTATAAATGCCAGCCATTTGTTTTATTAGGCTTTACGTGGGGCAGGGAAAGGTAAAAGGACTGGTTTTAACTGTCTCGTCAACAGGGTAAAGGAGGAAGTTGGGGAGTGTTGTAATCTAATCGTGCACACAATCGAAATTATCACAATGCTCGGCCTTTTACATCTTCCTGATTCGGTAAAACCCAGTTTTGCAATTCTGTCTGTGTGTTTATTACTCTGTATGTGGCACTGTGTGTTTGTGTGTGTATGTGTATGAACCTTTAACTTGACTAGGCCTACAATTTTAGTTAGGTATGTAGATAGGGGATGGGCGGGTGGGGCGGCCGCCCCGGGCGCCGACCATCAGAGGGTGCCAAAGGGAGTGGAAAAAAATTAAGAGCTCATTTCAAGCCGAAGTATTGAGCTATACACAATCAATGGCTACAAGGCCGTACACACTGTTAACTGTTTCCTACATGAAATGTGCGGCACCAAAATAAAAACTGTTTAGAAAGTGGTACCAACCTTTCCAACGGGGGGTAGAGGGCACTTTTTCACCAAGAGTAAAATATAAATAAGGGGGGCGGGGGGATAAAACTGATTCCTCGCCCCGGACGCCGAAAGGGGTCGCTACGCCCCTGAATAGGTGGACGCAATTTCATATATTAGTATTAGATCCTATACGTAGTTTTCGATCAACTTTAGAGCGATTCCCGGTAACCGGGCGTGTAGGATTCAACTCTATTTCCGGTTTTTACAAAAAATCTTCTGCATTAAATATTTTAAGAACATTTCGCATGTATGTGTTGTTTTTTTTTTTTAACTAGCAATTTTGTCGCAAATTTTCTTACAATTTCTATAGGCCTATTCGATTGGAGGTGCCACCCCAACCTTTGCTGTTGTCTATGTATAGAGAGCTTGTAAGTTGGTCACCAACCTCTAGTTTTCGCACTTGCCAGCCTGTATTTTTCAAACCAAATGTGAATATCTTTTATTAAATTCGTTGTTTTGTTTTTTTAAATAATAGAACCGTTACACCAACTATTTTTAAGTTATTTAAAATCGTAAACAATGATAATGATAGACTGTAAGATGTAGGCTTGCTTGAAGAGAAATGTAGTCTTAGATTTTTAGATTTTTTTTGAAAGATGGGTACAGTTTTATTTAATTTGATTCTATTTCAAGTGGAAAAAAAAGTATAACTATTGCGTTTTGGTTACCCTTGGTGTTTGACAATCTTGAAGCGAGACCTAGGAAACTAATAGTCGCCATGTTTTTTGTTATCAGTGGGGATTTTTTTTTTATCTACAATGTAAACCTGAACTTGGTCAACATTGAGAACATTGGTCAATTTTTTCTTTAATTTACAAAAAAGTAATTTAAAAGGCGATTTAACGGCCAAGATTTAGTTTCTATAACCATTTTATTTTTTAAAATACAAAAGTGTAACGTCAATTTTTTTTTAAACTAGTATTTAAAACTAGTATTTAATCATCTGTTTTTTTTAAATATATATTTTTCCTTTATCCTTTCCCCTCCCACCTTCTAACTGTTATGTTAGACCTTTTTTAATTGTTGGTCTATTCCTTTTTTAATAAAGGGAGATTATTTTACGATTGTGTCAAATGTCGAATTGCTTCCCTTAAGTAAGCTTTTTCCACTGTTTACTTATAGAATGTTAAATTTTAAAGTAGTGTAAAGCATTAATTTTTATATGATTTTAATGCTGTAAAGTAGGCTAGTAGAAGTATCAGCCTCTGTCCTGCTGCCCTAGACCTACGCCTACGAATGTTGCCTACGGCCATCAGACAACAAATGAGAGACACTGGCCGTTTGAGCAAGCAAGCAGAAACCAATTGACAGAGTTATCCTCACATCATGCACTCACACTGTCCAGTTTATTGAACACTTGATCTGTGTAGGGATACATTGCCAAGTTAAAAAAAACAACACCAATCTTAAACAGATAAAATATGTTTAACTGAACTCAAAACAGAAACATAACAGAAATGTGAGAAAGAATTTAATTCTTAAAGCTTTTTTTTATTAGACTGTATGGCACATGTATCAATAAATGCAGTACAATGGTAAAAAAATTAAGGATTGTATGTTAGGAAACAAAGTGGTTGACTGATTAGGTAACTCTACAGTCACAAGTTTGTTAAGCCTATGTCTAGTACAATAATAAGATTGATAGACTACATACACCACGGTGTTTTTACAAGTGGGTAGTCTTGACCCTGGGGAATTGTGGGCATCCAAACGCCATTACAAATAAAAGATTTAATTTTCTTGCACAATCAAAAAGATTTTAAAGATTTCACAGGGACGAATCGGTCTTTAAAAACCAGCTCTATTATCTATGGCAGAATCTGTAACAATTAAATCAGTACAACATTTTGTTTCTCTAATTTACTAGATCCAAAAACTACAGACATAGAATATATACTCCAAGGTATAGCACTTCCTTTCAAACTCACAGAGTTAAGGCACTTGGTATAGAATGTGTCAGAATGGTGACTATGACTAAAACAACAAACAGCAATAAAATATACATCAATTTTACATGAAAGTTCACAGGTAAATATAATACATTTACAAGAATACATTTCTTCAGTACTTTCAAGGTAAGTAAACAGATTTTAGGAGCTGCCTCTAACATAATTAAAAATATACCAAAATCCCAAGATTAATTAATTAAAAGTCAATTTGAAAAAAAATAAAGTTTTAAAAACAGCTGGGTTTTTTTTGCTTGCAAAGTATTAACAGATTCTAACTAACATACATCAAATCACCAGATACTAAGTAAAATTTTAATCAGATTAATGAGCAATCAACACATAATAGGAAAATATAAGTTGCATCAAGAGAAAAATGGAGTTTATAATTATTGCACACACTTTAAGTAGACACTTGTACTGAAACTAAAACATAATATTAATTTTAAAATATAACAAAAATTTACACCATAGAAACCATAAAGCTTAGTTCAATATAAAAAAAACTTTTATAGAAAAATAAAGGAGCACTATATCATTACTAAATTTTCACCATTTTTTTTTTAAACTTAACTAATTTAACATTTTTAAAAACTTACAACAAATTAAAAAAATTTAAATTAATGTATTTGATTGCTTATTGTGACACTGCTGCATTTGCTATTTACATAAGCCACCTTTTAAAATCAGAACCTTTTTCTTTAATTATTTGTGCTAAAACACAAAGTGGCTAGCTCATGATATATAAAGATATTGTCTTACTTTTTCATTCTAAAAATAACAGCAAATCATATAAGTGGACTTGAATAAAATCTCTGACTGACAGCACCAACGGTTGACTTAATGTTTTGGTTTTACAGCCTGGGTAGGGCTTGTAGGCAAGGTGATTTATGAGAAGACAGTGAACTTTTTTCAATACATCCTTATTTTGGAAAAGTACAAATGGCAAAAAAATTCATTAATTTTTTTTTTAAATTTAATTAGACCTGAGGGTATGGACTTAGGAAGAATAACACCATTCCTATCCCAATTTTCACAAGTACAATACTTTATCTCATTTAGTACCAAAAATAATTATTATTTTACTGATATCTACTGCTAAAAACAAAGGACATAAATTAAAAATACAGTTGAGCTTCTGATATTTTATGGTTTTGAATCAACATCATAACAGGCATAAATCAAGGTCAGTATTTTCACTTAATGTCTATTAATACTTAATCATGTAACTAATAAATGCTTTGATTTCAAAATCTTATTAATTGAAAACAAATGGAATGAAATACATTTTTTAATCATGTAATTTTTTTATAATTGATGTAGATTTAAATTAACAGAAAGATAGTGTGTATTTTTGTTTCACAGCAAAATTAATGTTTTTAAAAGAACTTACGGGGATGAATATCACAAGCTATCTAAGATTAAAATTTATTCACTCCAACAAAATGACAGTATAAGAAACCTTTGCTAAGTTCTACTGAAACAACAGAACATCTGTAAATATGGACTCAAGCATTACACAAAATCCGACAAAGTAAAGGAACCAGGTTTTGCCTTTGGGAAGATCTCCTCGTCTGGTGAATATGATCTAGATATAGAGAAATAGATACCAGAGTTATCTCTGTGTGAAATTAATGAACAAACTTCTTAATTATTAAATGCTCAAACTACTAACAAAAGTGATCTGGCTTTATGAAAAAATTTAGAATAAATTTTCACTCAAATTAAATTAGGTCCTAAATATATTTTAACATATCCAGCTAAAGTTGAAGAAAATGTGTACAATTTTCTAACACTTTTACTAATACCTGGTTCATATCTCTACTTTTTACCAGCTACTTTAAACTTTGATCTAGGTATTAATCTCAGCATTAATCACACTAAATTAGGTGGAAAGGTAGTGTACAAGCACTATTGACATTCATGTGCTGTGTCCCAAGACTAAACCTTATTTGACTGCTACCACTGTCATACTCACCATTATAATCTCCACAACAGCAAACCCAACCAGACTGATGCCCAGCATAAAGTACATGCCACCATTGGCATCAACGTCAACACCTCGATATATTGACAAACATATGCTGACCTAGGGAATTGACACATCAGTTTATATCACTTAAAACAATAAAACATTTTTAATCACACAATCTGAGAATTTTAAACCAAGAACTAATTGAATTATTAAGGGCCTAAAAATCTCTTGAGGCTTTTAGGTCTAAAGTTGAGAGCCAAGAGTTTAAAATCAGATTGTTTGTTGCTTACCAATGCCATGACAACCACCAATCCTACAAACAAGACTTGAATTAACCTCTGCAATTTGAAACAACAATTGACATAAATATTTTAGTTCACTGAATCTATAATAAAACTGTAAACATCAGACCACTAAAGAAGCAGGAATGTCTGAAGTAAAGGAATATGAATGACTGAAGTAAAGAAATAGGAATGTCTGAAGTAAAAAAATAGGAATTTCTAAGGTAAAGAAAGAGGAATGTCTGAAGTAAAGAAAGAGGAATGTCTAAAAGCCCTAGAGAAAAACATTGGTTCTTTTTTTTTTGGCTTTAATGCGAAAACACTAAAGCTCATCAGGTATATATTTTACAAAGTAATATCTTTCAAGTAAATTGAACAGAGTACATTTTCAAGTGTAAATATAAAATGAAATAATAATGGTGAGAGCTATTTTAACAAAGTGAATACACAACAAACTGTGTTACCAACAAAAAAACAGAAAAGATAATAAAAACGTACAGATGTTGGAGACTGAGCACTATCATGGTAGACAGCGTACTCAGTGGTGGCAGCACCATCTGCACTGTTGGCAACAGGGGGCGGCACTGGTCTGACTCCAGACAATATTGGTGTTCTGCTATCTGCCATTTCTGAGAAATTAAAAACATCTTTTGAGCACACAATTACAAACCTTATAAGGGGGAGACTAAATCCAGATGATAAATGAGTCTTATTAAGTTCTAAGGTCTTACATATTGTAGGGAGTTACCTGAGCAATTGATACAAGTTACAGTATTGGTCATTACTATAAAATGCACACTTTCTTAGCATAATAACAAACACACATACATAGGCCTACATGTGAAAAAAAAAATTGTTTTTGTTTTACTAGAATCTAACGTAAAATATTTTGTGACAACATTTGGACAGTTTGAAGTATTTTGTTGAGGGGGGGGGGGGGGTGTCATACATAAATGTAAGCCCTAGCAAGGGGGGGGGTGTATAAAACCCAAATTCTAATTCTACCCCTAGGACTATCTTACTATGTGACTGTGCAAGTCTAGATAAACCCAGACTGGTTAAACTTCTAACCTTAGTCTAACACTAAAAACAAAAAAATAATCAGCCTGTAAATTTTACTTACATAAAAAAAGTGGAACCGTTCAAAAACTTTAAATAAGAGAAACATATAAATTCACTACAATCACACAAAACTACACCTAAACAGACAAAACTACAAAAAACACATCAAACATACTAAATACACCCAAACACCCAGTCAAGTTGCTACCATAACCTTCGACATGAGGTGCCTAACATAGGGGTCAACCATAAAGCTAAAGCTGGATGTTGGATTTACCAATTTACTTCAGTAAAAGTAAAGGATCAAAAAACTAATCACAAGTCACAACATACATAGACCATAATGACTGGTATTATGGTCATTTGATTTATGCAAGGGTTCATTATTCATAAAATGGTATGAATAACATGTAGAGTAGAATTTGTAATGTATACCATGGCGGCAATTAAAAACTTGTGTACACAAGTTCACGACGTCCTGTTATGCCGGCTGGGGGGCAAGAACATGGTTTTGGCTTTCATTTTCCATTCTAGGATAATTTTAAAATTCTCTCTTTTCTCTGCCACTGAGTAAGCTAGATATTTAAATATGGTGTCAAATGTTCTCTTAAGGGGTTAGGAACTTAATAGTGTATTTGAAATAACAGAACATTTTAATTTACAAATTCCATAATTCAATTCTACCTTCCTATAGTAAAAAATAAAGGTAATCTATCATTTTAGGTACGTAAATTGCCTGCGGCTAGTAATGTATGAAAAAGTTACCTCATTGTCAAGGCTTTAATAGAAGTATATTGTGATATATTTGTGTCAAATATTATAGATAAATGAATAATAAACCTAGTCTATATCAACGGCTAAATATATCAATAAAGGCAAGAAATTAACTTTAAACAGCAGTGTTTGCGAGCAGAATTCGCTATATAAAAAGCGGCCATCTGTAGTTAGAGTGGCTTCCCCTGAATCTTGCGCTATAAGTTTACAATAAAAAAAAAGATGGCTGCTATAGTAAATGAGCATGGTAGCATCTGTTGGAAACATCGCTAGCCTTCATTTATTACTGAAAAGTTTTAATTCAGTTGTTAAAAAACAGGTAGATCTACATAAATGAAACTTTGAAACATTTTTATAATTTTCTAAACTAAAATCCTCCTATAAATGTGAAATAGGCCAAATTATTAAAATTTAAGGAGTCACCTGTTTTTCACATTACTAGTCGCGGGCGATTTTACGTAGATCAACCTAAAACGATAGATTACCAAAATAATAGGCCTAGATTCTAGATCTAGTTTTAAATTTAATACAGGCCTATGGCCTAGACTAATTTATTATTAGGCCGATGATAGCCGGAATAAGATACGCATGCGCAATGGAGAGAAACTACGACTTGCCTTCGCGGCGATGTTTTCTATGGTACTGTGCATGCGTGTGTTTACAACCGCAGAACCCTAACACCAACCCTAATCCTATCTCTAATCCTAACCCTAACCCTAATCCTATCCCTAACCCTAGTCCTAATCCTATCCCTAACCCTAATCCTACCCCTAACCCTCATTCTAGCCCTAACCCTAGCCATAGGTCACTGCACATGCGCAGAGCTATCTTTTGCCGACTAAGTGGAGACGTTGGGGAGAAAAATCTTCTTCCGAGTAGTCACTTCGTTATTATTATGTATGGACTAAGTAATATGTATGTAGCCTACCCAATTCACTATCCCTCAACAAGTACAAGACTAAATTTCTAGTTAAGTCTAGATCTAGAGGTCTAGTAGTTAGTAGTTGTATACTCACTATGCCTATATGACAGTATATGATATGTAATGTCTATAGTATGTATGGGTCTATGCTGTTACTGTTACAATTACAAATTACAATTAAATACTAAATAATAGTAAATAGTAAATAACTAAATTACTGTTACTACTGACTTGTGACTTGACTGAATAGTTTTTTTAGTTACCTTGCCTATTTGTAGTTTATTTTGCCGACAGATAGACGATAGATCTAGATCTAGATCTTGTACTGAAAAGAATCTTTAATGGGATCTTGATCTAATGGTTATGTTAATATGTTGTATACTAGTAATATGTACAGTGTACAGTATTTAGTTTAGATTGTAGATTGCATAAATGACGGTGTTGCCGAGTCAAGCATAAACATTTTGTGTCACATGCTTAATGTTTTGTCAACAGCAATTTTATTGGCTTACTATTTTATTCTAAAAATAACAGCAAATCAGATACGAGTTTACTCTCTTGACTTCAATAGAATCATATGATTTGGAAATGTCCTCCCCGCAAGTGACTGCTACAGATACAGGTGCTATTTACCACGAATTAACACCAAAATTAGTATGTCGTCATTTAAAATTAAGTAATAATAACAGAAAAATATTAATATTGAAAATACTAGATCTAGATTTATAAACTTTTGTTTTTGTATATAAATAAAAAGTGATGGCTAAAACTAGATCTAGATCTACTTCTAGATACGCGCACGTCTAAAAATAACTTAAATTAATAAATTTTAACTTCGATAGTTTAATTAGATTTTAGATCAGATCTAGATCTAGTAATAAATAGCTTTGTTTACATTTTTCAAGTATCTAGATTAGATCGAAACGATTTTAAATCTAGATCTGGAGCTAGTAAGTTTTTATTAAAATTCTGGATCTAAAAATTATTATTACCGGCTTATGATTTGGAGTTTTTCCGCTATAATTTTGTATGGTTACCTCCCTTCGACTATTACTTTCAGGTATGGATTGTAAGGCTGATCAATGTTGCTACTCTATGCATGATGGTTGTAAGTAGGCTTACTAATTTAAATATAATTTAAATAGACCCTATATACTAGTATTTTTTTTTTGTGTATAAGCCAACTCTTTATTTGAAACCAAGAGTATCAGTGACACTTCTTCTTAATCAGTCTTATCCATTCCATCAACTCCTATAACTAGTATTAAACCGGTACTTAACATTTTTATGGGCTATATACTAATACTATGCAGGGTTAAGTTCAGTTCTAGAAAATATATATGTTAACCAGTGTGTGTGTCGTCTTCCTGTCCCCCCTGGAAAAAATGTCTATAGGTCAATATGTTGTATGATCAATGGCGCAATTGAATTCATCACTTGTTTAATTATAAACAGTCACACTTTTTTTTGCCAAGTTTCAGCTGCCATTCGACCCCTACCCCTGCCCTCCCCCATCGTCACAAAACGTCACACTTTGGTTGACCTCCCCTCCATTGTCTACATTATTTTTTTCCTTAGGGGATACAACCAAACTTGGTATGATTTTGTCTAAAATATTAATTGAGTCGTTTCCCTTTGTCCAGAAAAAAATATTTTTAAAAATATAAAAATATATATAGTCGGCCTTCACTTATTATTACCTCTTTTCACAGATAGCTGTTATTCTATGTTTCGTGCAAGGACATAAAAATGGCTCATTCTATTTGTTGGTTTGCAACTTGATAAGTAAGTACAATATAACTGAAAGATCTGCAAGTCTTAGTAAGTTTTTCTCTGAGCTGACACGGCAATTTCCATTCAAGTATCTTTATCTGCATGTGCTTTAGCAACTTTGATGGAAATTATATTACTGAGCAAAACTTTTCCTGTAAATCTTTTCACAAATTTTACACTTCTTCTTTGTTTTATCACTTTAATTTTTAAAAGAATTAACAAAACCAGAAAGAATGTATTGCGCACTATTTAGACATCTAGTTATTAATTGCCTACAAACCTTTGTCATTTTTTTTTCTTTACAGTAAGTGCTATCGTTTGTGGAGTAGTGGTAAGTTTTTTTAAAATTTCAATATTTTCCAGCATATACTACAATGGGGTGTGTAATTCAACTAGACATATAAGGCAACCCCAATTAAAAATTCCAGTTAAAAAATAGTTATGGATATATACTCTCCTGGCTTAAAAGATTTTAGTGGGTTGAAAAGTCATATATTATTTTCATACAAAATTAAGATTAAGAATGTGCTGGAAATAAATTATACCATTTATAGTGATATTTACTTTACATTTACAGAGAATAAATAAAAGGCACTGCCGTTATTTAGCTACAACATAGCATTATAAATAGTTCATATGGGATTTTTTTGCATCTTTATTTATTTAATTTTTTTATCAAATTCTTATAGAACTGGTGGTACAAAAGTGGTGATTTGGTATGTAGAAGTATTAGTACACTGTTAAAATAAGCTTATAATATTTAAAATTTTAAACAGTGTGTTTGTGTTATTCATATGTGTTACAAATGTTAACAGAGATATTTGAACACCCTTATTTATTCTGAAACAGCCTATAAATATACAGTCAGTTGTTTTTTGTTTTTTCTTAAATTAAAAAATCTGTTTTTCTTTTTTTCTGTATACAGGGCAGTGAAAAATACTGGTTTGTCATCTTGGTTGCCGTGGTGATTTTTTTTCAGTGTATAAGCACTGATGTATTTGTATTCAAAGAGGAGCCACCTCCAGCAATGACAACAACACCCTCACCACACACATTGAACTGGACCACCATGTTGCCTCCATCAACACGCCAGGCTTTTCAAAATCTTATCAAACAATAGCAGTTGCACTGTTAGTGTGCACACTGGCAACTACCAAAACATGCCTTTCATAACAGTATTAGTGCTTATGCATTGTGCAATATTTACAATTTTTATTTATTTAAATAATTTCTTACAGATGAAAAAAAATGCAATTCTAAATTTTATTAGAAAATGTATCTTAAATATGATCTTTTTCTTTATATTTAAAATTCATAATCCAAAGATGTTACATACCAGCTTAAAAATGTAAATAAGCATTAATTAACTTCTTTTACTTTGTCAGACAGCCCTTATTTTATTTGTCCATTAGAAGCTCATTTGACTAAAAGACCCTGTTTATTGTTTTACATATTATTTGCCATATTCCATTTTGCAGTGCTTTAGCAGAAATGAGGTGAAAAATTCCATGTTTTTAGGTGTAATCATACAATTTCTACCATATAATTTTCTAGTTCAGTGTATGTTATTTTTTATCATTTTTAAAATGTCTTGAGTTAAGAATTACAACTAAATCAAAACTATTTTATATTAATTTAAATCATTTTTGCTGTGAATAAAAAAATATGCATCAAAAGATTGGGCCTAATTTTTATTATTTTTGTGCAATTGTTTTGACAATTAATTACTATTTTAATTGGCAGATATGGGCAAAGTGTTATTTTGTTTTATTAGACCATCATACTTTTTAAAATTAAATGTTATAACATGAAACACCAGGGGTGGACTGCCCCCACCCCCTATGACCAGTCTGTCCAGATCCTGAAGAAATCATAATTATTAATAGCTATAACATAATAGCTATAACATAATAGCTATAACAACGAATCTCCCATTGAGTCTTTAACGTGGGTCTTGCACTTGGACACATCCAGGATAACACCAGAGTGTCCCCCTTCGGAGAAAAAAGTCTGGAAGAAACACTGGATAGCACTTTACCATTAACACAGAGGCCGTCACAAGCATTTATTTTATAGGATTATAGGGGGGGGAGGAGATGACTCCACGCAAAACACCTGCGGCCGCAGTTATATTTTGATCTAGAATCTAGATCTAGATCTAGATCTGTCTCTACAGTAAACGTAATCTACACAACTGACTTTTTTTTATGACTACAAAATGAAAAGGCAATGCCAGTTTGATAAACACCCTTGTAGGCCTAAACACGAAACAATCGTGTTAATAATTTAACGGTTTTTTTTTGTTTTTTTTTTGTATCAAGTTATTTTATGAAAGTAAAATTTTAATGGTTTTGGTTTTAATATCCAGTTTCAGTCACATAGATCTATATAGAGCCCCTATTTTAGTCTATACCTGTATACTGTACTGTATTATAAATTATGGACACATGCACTAAATTTATGTTGAACCAACGAAAGAAAACTCAAAGTAGATTTATTAATAGTGTTGGATATTCCCGTTAATCTTTGTGTCAAGATGGCGGGTGGTGAAGACAATGGCCATCGACGAAGGTCGGTAAGAAAAGCCTCTCAAAGTTCTTACATTGTGAGCAGGAACGCAAAAAATGAATTGAGAAAGAAAATTAAAAAGGTAAAACAGTAATTCTATAGCATAATACTTTTTAAAACATTCGCTGTCTCAAAATGTATAGATTCTCTCTCTAGATCTATTCTATTTCTACAATTTCTAGATTCTAGATCTAGTATTTCAGGTCCAAATCTTGTTTTGTTTGTAAATGTAATCAATTCCTTCTTCGTATAACTGACTACACGGTCCTACCGGATAGTGAATAATAATAATATAATAGTATTAATATATTACTATTGTAATACTAGTAGATTCTAGATCTAGATAGATCTATTTAGTAATAGAGTAATAATAGGCCTAGAATCTAGGTCTAGGTCTAGGCCTATAGAAAATAAATCGAAGTGACTACTCGGAAAAAGATTTTTCGGCCCAACGTCTCCACTTAGTCGGCAAAAGATAGTGCTGCGCATTCTCAGTGACCTATCGCTAGGGTTATGGTTAGTAGAGATAGGGTTAGGGATAGGGCTAGGGTTAGGGGTAAGTTCGGGTTGGGGTTAGGTTTCTGTGGTTGTAAACACACGCATGCGCAGTACCATTGAAAACATCGCAGTGAAGGCAAGTAGTAGTTTCTCTCCATTGCGCATGCGTGTCTTTTTCCGGCTAGCATCGGCCATAATAAATAGTTAAATAGGATATTTAGAATCGACCCTTTGAATTAGTTTGAATGGATACACAAAATATTAAGAATATAAGATACTTTAGTTAATTAAACTACAAAAATAAGTGGGGAAAAAAGTAAGTGAAAATATTCTCTGTGCAATGTGAGGAAAAATGTTGGAGGTGAGGAAAAAAGGGTAGTCTCTTTTGAAGGAAGATATCAAATAGTTATAGGGCATAGGGGAACTATTGCGAATAAATAAAAAGTGAATACATGTTCTTATTCCCCACTAACTGAAGAGTATTTACTCGCTTTCCTTTTCATTCTAATGTCAAATAATAAAAAAAACTAGATGCAGCGAAGCGAAAGCTGTGTAGAGGTGTTGGGTGGTGAAAAATTACTCTATATTATATATTAAGAGAGAGAGAGAGAGAGAGATCTATGCCTATTTCTATTCATATACTGTTGAATCAATAGTGGCCTATTTATAAGTGTAGGCCTAAATGTACAAAGTGATCCAAAAGTCTAATGCTAGTTTCCTTAGGTTAGGCTGAGGATGACGTTGACCATTGACTTAAGCAGCATAGCACAGTAAATGAGTAATGTAATTATTGTAGTTACAGCATAAAAGTACTATCTAGTTAGGGGTCATCCATAAATGATGTCACGCTTTTTGGACGATTTTTACCTCCCCCCCTCCCCTCCTAGACATCATCACACAAAGCCAGACCCCCCCTCCCCCTAAAATGACGTCACACCTCAGCCTACAACCCCCTCAAAATTGCAGGTGAATTTTTTTTTAACCATCGATATTTTTCTAAAATCTTGTCTGAACTCTATCAAAATAAGTATTTTAATCAATTCCTATTACAATTTATTAAAACAGTATTCTAAAACGTGAAATACCGTCTAAAATTCATTCTAACATTGCTTTTTTATAATGCAAAAGTGTGACGTACACCCACTTAACCCCCCCCCCCCCTCATCACACACCGTCACAAAATGACAGACCCCCCTACGAGTGTGACGTCATTTATGGACGACCCCTTACAGCACAATAATATAGTTATGACACAGTATTGTGGCTACTCACAGTAATGACATTACTGCTCAGTATTGTAGTTACAGCACAGTAATGTAGATACATTTTGGTTAGATCTAGTATAGACGAGATACAGTATTATTATAAAACTTTTACTATTAAAATAAAAATAGCCTGAGTTGGTTTATTACATACACATATTTTTATTACACAAACAGCCTTTATGAATAAAAGGTAGGCCTATTTAATTTTGTGATAAATTAATTAAATGAATAGTTAACTTAGAAAGCATTTTCTTTACAGGTTTCTGCAATTTTAAAAAAGCCTGAGCATGAAAGAACAAAAGCAGAAAAAGCTTTAGTCAGTAAAAATCCTGATGCTGTTAAGACTTTTGAAAAGAATGCTAGACGTCTTAAGGCTAATAAAGAGAGAATCTTAGAGGTGATGTTTTTTTTTTTAATTTTAAAATTTATAAATGCAATATACATATATATGCTGTGATTATAAAACAAAGGAGTGTATTGTTGGCTGAACTGTAATAAATAAAGTATCTAATCAAACCTAATGGCCTGTAAGGTAAGTGAAGTAGATTTTCAACTTTTTATGGAATTAGGTCTCATTGGAACAGAGCTGGAGATTTCCTAGATCAGAATAAAGCAAAAGTGTGCTCAACCACATGACCACACATTCTGGTGGTTTTATTATTGTACTTCACAATTTGTTCACTAGAGAAACTGCATCAAATAATGTAGAAATATTTTATCCCTTATAACATAAATTTGTATGTCTAATTATTTCTAGCTTATGAAATGGTTCAACTAATTTTATTATTTTATTATTTATTATGTGTTTAAATGTTATTTTTTATTCTCACTAAAATTCTTTTAAAAAGTATGTGGTCATGTATAACAAACATATTAATAAATTATCACAGATTGAAGATGAGCCAGATTTATTATTGGCAAAATGTGTCCAATTGGCTGAACTTATCCAATCATCCAAGTATGTTGTTGTTTACACTGGAGCTGGCATTAGCACTGTAAGTTGAAATTGTTTTATATGGTTACATCTAGATATTTAGACTAATTGATTTTATGGGAAGGGGGGGGGGGGGCTTAAACATATTAACTTTAGTAATGTTAGAGAACATACAAGATTTGCTGTTTTAAGAAAAAATAGTTTTAGCAATAGCACACATTTGATAACACATGTATTTACCCAAAAGGCTGCTTCAATCCCAGACTACAGAGGTCCTAATGGTGTTTGGACACTGCTTAAAAAAGGACAGGAAGTTAGGTAAAGAGTATCTCTTCAGTTCTATCCTACTGTGAATTGATCTAAAGTTCATACATACAATTCATTACTAATTTAAATGATCTGAATTTTACTTGCACATATTCAAACTTTTATTTTTCATAACAGTGCACAAGACCTGAGTGATGCTGAACCAACCTTGACCCATATGTCCCTTGCAACACTGTTTAGAGTTGGAAAGGTATTGTGCTCCCACCACTCACAGTATTTATTTATTTTTTACACCTGCAACACATTTCATTCATTGCCCTAGTCTTTATCTCTATCTATGGCATTGAAATAACAATATTGCTGTTTCAGTTACAAACCTGCTGGCAGCCCCTTTGTATCAGAAATAAACATGAAAAAAATGTGTTCATTCTCAGGTCAAACATATTGTATCTCAGAACTGTGATGGTCTACACATGAGAAGTGGTTTTCCTCGACATGCCCTGTCTGAACTACATGGAAATATGTTCATTGAGGTATTGTATTTAAGCCTCTAGGTTATACAAATTATTTCAAATGTATTAACAAAATAACTTACCTGTGGAAGCCTTAATAAAACTAGCCTACAGATTACCATTGATCAACTGTCTGTTTCCTCTTGGCTGGTGTAAGATGTCAAATGGAGTTGCTATCAATTTAGACTAGTCATGCATAAGCTGTGTTTTTGTTGAGTTTTTTTTTATTCAAGTTAGAGCCAGCTAATAATGGGTGTTTAACATCACTGAAAGCAGTTGGGTGTCTTAAAATTGTGCTTGTGCCAATAATTACCACACTCTGATCGAGACATATTGTCCTGTGGGGGGGGGGGGGGGGAGCAATGATTAAATTCTGTTTACTATTTGAATGAATATTTGACTCTGTAATCCAAAGGGGAATGTCTGAAAAAAACATTCATTCGGGCTAGAATTAACTATTATTTTATTACGAGGTTTTTGTATGTATCTGAATTAAGATATAGTTTGATTAAAGACATTAAGATAAAGCTTTGTGTTGAATCTTGTCTAGTGCTGCTACTCATGTGCTCCACACAAAGAATATGTTCGACTGTTTGATGTGACAGAACGTACAGGAGTTCACCGCCACTCCACATCAAGACGCTGTAGAACATGCGGTGGACATTTGACAGACACCATTGTACACTTTGGTGAAAAAGGAAAGCTGAAATCACCCTATAGATGGAAGGAGGCTGTCAGAGCTGCCAAAAAGGCTGATCTCATTCTGTGTCTAGGCTCAAGCTTGAAGGCAGAGTACACTTTCTATATTCTATTTGTTTCAGCATATTCAAGTGAAGCTGAATATTCATTTTAGTACCTTTTGAAATGTTGGGGGGAAAAAATCAAATGTAAATTTTAAAATTTACTCTTATGTAAATTGTATTATTTACTCTTGTGTAAATTGTATTATTTACTCTTGTGTAAATTGAATTATTCACTCTTGTGTAAATTGTATTATTTACTCTTGTGTAAATTGAATTATTTACTCTTGTGTAAATTGTATTATTTACTCTTGTGTAAATTGTATTATTTACTCTTGTATAAATTGTATTATTTACTCTTGTATAAATTGTATTATTTACTCTTGTGTAAATTGTATTATTTACTCTTGTGTAAATTGTATTATTTACTCTTGTGTAAATTGAATTATTTACTCTTGTGTAAATTGTATTATTTACTCTTGTGTAAATTGTATTATTTACTCTTGTATAAATTGTATTATTTACTCTTGTGTAAATTGTATTATTTACTCTTGTGTAAATTGTATTATTTACTCTTGTGTAAATTGTATTATTTACTCTTGTATAAATTGTATTATTTACTCTTGTGTTAATTGTATTATTTACTCTTGTGTTAATTGTATTATTTACTCTTGTGTAAATTGAATTATTTACTCTTGTGTAAATTGAATTATTTACTCTTGTGTAAATTGAATTATTTACTCTTGTGTAAATTGAATTATTTACTCTTGTGTAAATTGAATTATTTACTCTTGTACAGGTTCTGAAGAAATACTCATGTCTGTGGAGTATGGACAAAAAACCACAGTATAGACCAAAATTGGTCATTGTCAATTTGCAGTGGACTCCAAAGGATGAAGTGGCAACACTAAAAATTAATGGTATGTATATATATCTGTGTTGTTTATACATTTAGATATTTATTTTAATCTTTTAGGTGATTATATTATCCACATTGTGTATTTATTTACATTTATATCTCTTTTGTTAATACATTTAAATATTTATTTTAGTCTTTTTAGGTGACTATATATTATCTAACATGTTTATAAATTAATATTTATTTAGCTGTTTTTAGGTGACTTTGTTAGTACTAAACATATTTTTGTTTTGTTGAGGTAGTTAAATACTTGAATGAACTTTAACATACTGATTTTCTCTAATCAAATCTCCTCATTCTTTGAAACACTCAGGCAAGTGTGACAGTGTTATGCTGCAAGTTATGGACTTTCTAGGATTTAATATACCAGTATATGATAGGTACACATTAAGTATTATTATTTAGAAGTACAAAGCATATAATTTTCCAAGTTTTGAATCATGGAATTATATTACTGTTAAACAAGTTAATAAACTATCATTAATATATTAATTAATTAAAACACTCTTCGGTTAAGCTTTGTCTTCTGGCTTACTTTAACAAATTGACATTTGTTTTCTAGGGAATCCGATCCAATATTTCATCTGTGCACACCACTCCGAGCGCATGAACTCAAATCTACAACAAAGAAAATACTCTCTGTGCCCAGCTCAGTTGTGAAATCACCAAAGATGTTGCGCAAATTTAGATCTCACTTTTCAAAACGTTCAAAATCATCCAAGAATAATTTATCCCAAAGTCCAGTAGTGGAATCTAAATTGTCAACTCCTGAACTATTAGTGAATGAATTAGAAGAAAAAACTGCTGTGAAACCTGATAAGGACCAAGTTACACCGCCTGAAAGTGTGCTACCAAATTTCCCTGTCATTAGAACTTTACTCGGCACTCACAAGAAGAGAGATGACTTGAGTAGCAGCAGTACTGACCTTTCCAGCGCATTTATTGTTGACCAGCAATCTTCTTTACATACATCTCAGGGTAATCCATGCAATTCAAGTTCTCATAGCAATCATCTTCAGTCCAATAATCAGGACTGTCAACATGACAAGTCTCACCCATTCCCTATTGATGAAGACTGCTCACTATGTTCCTTTATCACAGAAGCTTCTCATGATAATTCAAAAGACAAAAATGGCCCAGATATTGTGGTTATAAATTTGGGCACGCCTGAAAAACAAAGGCTATCTAAGGTTGGTCATTTGTCTGGTCAGCATGAAGGTCACATCAACAATCTCACAACTACTTCTGAAAGTCTTCCAGATAACTATTTGACTCAGGGGATGTGTAATAATTTGCTTACCTGTCGAAAAAACTCATCTCTGCATACCTTTGCCAAAGCCAAACCCAGTTCTGTAATCAGTGGCAGAGTTATCAAACATAAAGGGAGTAAAAAGAGATCTCCAGAAATCTATGATCTTTCTGAGGTGGACTTGATGCCACAATGTATTTGGGGGTCTCAGATTGAACTTATACCTATGCTAACAGATGAAAAGCAACCAGTTAATCATTCATCATTTTCATTAGAAACAGATGAAAGGAAAGATTGGAAGATTAAGGATATCCCTCCTGTGGACATTCATCTGGATCATTGCTACACAAATAAAATAAATAACCATTTGAGCACAACGCTAAAATTAACTGTAGAAGAAAGTGCATTAGCTGACATAAGCAAAAAGAAGCTTTACGCTACCACCATGATGCAGCTACTTGAAAGAGGTGTACATAAAAATAATTCGGACAAGTATTTTGATAACAGAAGTGATAGCCCTCAAACACTTAATTCTTCTTCAAATGACAGCATTGTAAACCTTACAGAATTTCCTACTGAAAAATTGTTAGAGTTATCCTGCCCTGTAATTCCATCATGTGTTTTGAACATGGATGACATGGAAATAGATCCAAGAGAACAGTCCAGCAGCCCATCTGTGACTGAACTAAATCAGTCTTGTGAGGAGAGACTACAGGGAGACAACCTACTCTCTCTTGATTGTGTCTCCGGTCAAATGTCTACACTGTCACATGCAACTTCTCATCTAAAACCACAGACTACGTGCCAGACAGACAGCACCTCTCTGGGAGATACAGCAACCCCTAAACTACCTGGATCACCTCAAGTTGTTTATACTAGCCCACCCCAACATCATCAGGAGCTTCAGCAAGACCTCAACTCTATCAAGCATGACAGTGAAAAGCTTGATAAAGATCATTGCCTTCATTTAAAGAATTCATTGTATAAACCATCGTTAGATTGTTCTGTTGGTGAAAAGTTGATTCAATTAAAAACATTAAAGAAACCTGTGATATCTTATTGTGAAGGTGCTAACAGTGATTTAACTGTTGATGATCTCAATAAAGAAAGAGAAAATATTTGCACTCCGTTGAGCAAAAGAAAACCTGTAGTTGCTTCTATACCAGGCTGGTTTGGTAAAGGGCTTGGTTTTAAAAAGAAAAAAAGATAAACTTGCTGAATGTTTTTCCTACTTCAAGCTAGCAAGTGAAATTTTTTTTTAAACTGGATTACATGTCTATCAAACTATTTATTTGTATAAAATAATTTAAAAGGCAGTTTGTGTACAATAAGCAAATAGATATTGCTGCTAAGCAATAAGACAAAGTCAGTCATACTTCTGTATAGTGTCTGCTCATTTGTATTTGCTAGTAATTTATTACTATTTTTTGTACAGATGAATTTGCTGCATGTCTTTTTACTGTATGTGTCCGGGTAATTTTTTTATTATCATTTTATACTTTAATTTGTGGGAACTTGAGATTAATTTTTTTGTTTGTGGTGTCTGTGACAAATCCACCAATGGCATCTGATGGGTTGGCGGATAGGACCAGATCATTATTGATATGTCATCTCTTACATTTACTTTAGAAAAAATTTCAATTTAAGCATAACAAATGTACACCTTCAATATCTTACAATGCTGAGATATTTTTTCTTTACTTTGAGGCTACATTTTTGGTTTCATGGCTTTATCAGTTTAGACAACAGAAATTTTGGTTGGTTATCTAAATAAGGCTATGATTTTTTACTCTACTAAATACATGTTTTGATTCCTGATATTTGAAAAAATCTGGTTTATTGTATTACACGTTGTGGCATATTAATTGTACTAAAAATTATTGCTTCACTATGAACTTTGTAGCAAGGCTAAAAAAAAATGTTATGGTTTCTTTTCAAATATTTCTTAGTATAACTTAGATGGCACAGCATAGTCCAACCCATTTGATGCCATTTAAGATGTGGCCTGTATATTTTTTCATTTTTATTACTGTATACACTTCGGTAATGTATGTCACAATTTTTTTAAATTTGTTGGCATAGGACTAATTATGTTAATTATAAAAATCAAGCAATCACATTTTAGTCCATATTTAAACTTTTGAGATCACAATTGATTCTTAGCATTGTGTTAACTACATTGGTGCTGTTTAAATCTGGCATGTTTTTGTACCAGGTTTAACTGCTTAATAAATTACATTTTTGTTACTTGGTGAGTTCTGTATTCATTTCTCTACTGTAATTAATTAATTTTTTTAATATTTATACTAACTGCATGACGAATTGCATAAGGATTTTTGTTTTAAAATAAGGCTATGAGAAACAAAGATCAAAGACTGCAAGTTATATTTCACCAAAGAAAAATGTAAGATATTTTCCTGACAACTATTTCAGTGTGAACTACAATACTTGAAATGAATTTCCAAAACTATACTACCAATAGTCAGAATTTTTATTTTGAAAAGCTAAACCTACAAGAATCAAATATCACATCAAACTATTGACTCTTTTTTTTTAATGGATTACAAATATCATTTTATTTAAAACAATATCAATAAGGGTTTAATCACGTTTTAACCAATTCATTCACTGCCCTGTTGTCACCTATTGCTTCTAACTCTGAAAAATGAGACTGTAGCTTAAAGAGAACTGGAATCTCTGCTAGCAGGGGGTTTGTTTTCTCCAACAACCTGATCCATGTGACAACGCTGGACTTAGAGGATGATCCTGTGATGCACAGCCCCAGGATTGTGCTGTCTTCCTGCTCATGCACACTTAAAACTGGCTTAATTTCACTGTAGTTTTCCTCTTCAAAGAAATTCTTCCATTCAAATAGATCTGAAAAAAAATAAAATGTATTTAGTTTAATGAAGAATGAATTAGCCTTACCATATAGGAATAATTAACTGGTACATAAAACCAAAGCTTAACTGAATAGAGATTTAAGCTATCTACTGGTATAAAAATAATAATATAAATAAATAAAATATGTTTATGCATTACTATGCCATTCATCTGATTGCAAGAAACTTTGGGAGATTTCTGCCATAAAATGTTTTTAAATAACTGAGGGGCAGCAGTGAGTTGTAGGCACCACAAGCTCCCCAGCGGTTGTGTTAGCACATTGTCTCATCTGATTCTCTTGGTGACTAAATCAAACCAGGGGCAAACTCCAGCACCCCTTGTGGTAGTTTATGGAATTGCTCCCGAGTTCCCCCACAGCTATCTTAGCACCTTGGGTCTGCTGAATAAGCATCCAGCACAAGTGGTCATGGGTACTTGTTAATCAATGGTCAAACTGCACCATGGGTTTTCTACAATGCCTTGACAGTTGTATTACCCAAAGAACCCTGAGCTCCCCATTGTGCAAGATAGCTCCTACATCTGTGTTAAAGAGTGCCATATACTAAAGATACGATGGGCTGCTACAATCAATGACTAAACCAAACCAAGGGTTGCACACAAAGCCTCTGCTATAATGTAAGCCTCCCAAGGCACCTCTGACATCTGGGCCAACAAGCCAGCACAACAACTAAGATCCATAGTTTACATTTAAACATGTTTTTAGAAACAATGGATATGTCTAAAAATATACTGATAAAACCCTCATAAATGTTGCATCAGTTTGAAGTTTCAGAGCAGTGCGCAACCCATACACTAGCGAAGGGATAAACAAACCTTGAGCTATATATGTATTTTAACAAATTTTTCAATTTTACTATAAAATAAACATGTATACTAAACCTACTTTCATCTTTTTCATCCTCTTCCTGTTGCTGTTTCACTTTCTTGATGCCAGTGAGATTAGGCTCTGCTCTTAACAAAAAATACTTTTGCCCAACATAGCGCAAGTAGACTGGGTAGGGCCCCTCGACAAACAAGGGCTCGTCAATCTTGTGTTGTCTGATGAGCTGCTGCTGCATGGGGCTCTGGGCACAGGCAATAAATGTGTCTTCCTCTGGGGACTCTTCCACTTCCTCGGTCTAACATACAATGGTAAAATAGGATTCAACTATTGCTTAAAGAAATTGTCTTTCAAACAATGATAAAATGTGATTCAAATTATTGCTTAGAAATTGTTTTTCAAACAATGATGAAATATGATTCAAATAATTGCTTACAGAAATTGTCTTTCAAACAATGATAAAATATTATTCAAATTATTGCTTAAAGTAATAATCAATTGAAAAAATGATAAAATACAATTCAACTATTGCTTAAACAAAATTGTTTCTACTAATTTTTGTTTTTTCTAATCTGGGTAAAAATGTTATAATTTAATAACAAAATTAATTCAAACAAGTGAATTTGTCACTTTCACCTAAAAATAAATATGTCTCACCTTATATACATTATATACAGTTTCCTTATCCACAGACATTCTTTTTAACATGAGCAAAGCTATTTCAATTGGATCTTCAGGCATTTCAAAAGGAACTGGATATGGATTCATATTTTTAAATTTAGGCATCCAATACATCATCCTGTAAAACTTCCTGATTGCATGAGCAGCTAAACCAAATCTATCGGCTAAAAGATGTCCAAACTCATCATCTGGTATGACAGCTGTAGAATGTTCAGAAGAGAATAATTCAACATCAACATCCAAATGTTTAAACAATTTGGAGAAAACTTTTGTTTGAGGAAATAGAGAGCAAATTTTTATTTATTTCCATTGTTAGAAAGTGTTCACCATTATGTCTGTTTATATTTTTTTTACTATTTTTGTGTTATTACAGCTAGTAAATTTTAAAATATAAAAAGCATTGGCAGGTCATCAGATTGGTCAAATTACCATTGTTTTCCATCTGTTCTAGTAGATCTATGGCACATTGTTGCTGTCTAGGGTAGTGCATAAACTCAACTTGCCAGACATTACGAGGTATCATCTTTCCTCTTGGAAAAACCTGGCAAAGTATATCAACTGTTTTATCAGTAAAAATGTTTCTGTACCATATTAGTTAACATTTTAACAATGGAAAATATGGCTCAAAATCGAGAAGAAAATAATCAATAGCTATTGAATCCGGGGTTTTTTTAATGTAGTGACTTTCAGAAGCCACCAGCAAATTAGCAAAACTAAAAGGTCATTGTCAAATGAAACTCACAACAAAGAAAACATTGCAAAAAGCTACAATCTCATTTAATAATACTATATTGTGACAGTTACCTGGAGGAGTGCTTTGTATGAAGTTAAATCTCTGTTGACCCCAAATCTCTTCATTTCATTTAAGCCTGCATAGATCAGCTCTACTGAACCGCGCCTGTAGAGTGTCTCTTTTGAAATAAATTTGTCGATTGTCTTGAGAAATGAGGCTTTGTTAGCACCACTGAAATTCCATAAGAAAATATAAAATTGATTAACTTAGTTCACTTAGTATTTTTAATATTTTAAATCAAATACAAAGTAATTATAACTCATTATTATTAAAAGTAGTAATAAGCTAAAAAAGAATAGGAATATTTAATTACACAAAAATAAAAAATAAACTGAGAACAAAAAACTCAAAAATGTACAAATCAAGAAATACAAAAATAAAGCATTTACCTTTCTTTAAAATTTTTCTCAAATAAGCCTACTGCTTTCATTTCAAATAATCTACTCTCTGGTGTTATTCTCTCAGGATCATGGTTTGGAAGAACAGATTCTTTTTCCTAAAAATAAATAATGATGTATTTAAAAGGTTTTATAAATTATTCACTTAGCCTGTACATAAAAAATAAACCAAAAGCTATTGTTTTATCTATACAAGCAGTAATAAATATTTTAAAATATTATATTTTCATTTATTTATTTAGCTGATAAGAAAGTTTGAGAACCTGTTACTATACAAAAGAATCGTATGCAATAAAATAATACACAACATGAGTTCTTACTTCAGTAATATATTGTGTATTAAATCAATGTGTATGCATGAAAATGCTTTTAGTCTAATGTTCACTAATAAAGAACAAAACCTGTTTATCCACTTGTTGGATTGGTTGCCTGCGGATTTTTGTGTCAAGCGAACTTTCTTCATTATTTGTTAAAGATGACTGCTCGCTATTTGATTTGTTCAAGGGTTGGATGTTTTTTTCTTCCTTCAATCTCATGCTAACAGTAGTATGAAAGTCTCTGGGCCTCACCATTTTCAAGACTTTTGCTTGACTGTTACTGAAAATTCAAATTGGCTAACATTACGCTGCAAGTTATTTTTGTATTAAATATTGATTACAAGTCTTTTTTAACCCTATATATGATGGTTTTTAAATAACAGTAGACCAATAGACATTGGGAGTTACACATTTACTAGACTAACCTAGATGGCAGGTGTATTCTGAGTGAATTTTGTGATATCTGCAAATGAGACTTGGTCCTAGTCTGTGCAAGGTTTGCTACTGGTGTGGACGTCAGGATCTTAGAAGGTTTTACACCCAGCCTCAAACACTGGTTTATAAACATTGTGGGTTAAGGTTTCTGTGCCTTCTGGATTTCAAATAGAGAAAAAATTATTTTGGAAAGGTGAAATCTGATAGATCTACTTAAATGTGCATGCTAAGATTATAGTATTAGTACTATAATAAATAGTAATACATAACTAATAACTATAATATTAAATGTTAATAATTAATATTTATTATTATAAAGTAAAAAGTTGTTTACCCAGTCAACACATTCAAATAACGGTTAATAACCTCTCCCTGCCAAATACAGCAGCCACAAAGTAAGTACAAGTACTGTAGTAGATATTGGGATAAACTAGCTAGATTCTAGACTAGAGTCTAGAGTAGGTATTTCACTAGACTAGATTCTATAGTATATTTGTTATTTCTTAGTTTAGCTGTTAACTGTTAGCTTAGCATGCACAAAAATTAGTAAATAAATAAATTACAGTCATTTTCATTTTCACAAACTTTTAAATTTAATAATTAGATCTAATTAATAATTAATTAAGCTCGATGCTAAACGTCGATCAGTAGATAGATCTAGATCTAGATATCTAGATTTAGATCTATTTTGAAGTCTAGAAAAATCTGAAAATTATTAAAAGTATGCACCAGTGAAGTAAAAGTGACTTTGATTAATCTTTTAGAGTAGCCTCCCCTCGATAACGTAAATAAATAAGCCGGTAGAATACTAGAAGGATCGAAAACCTGCAATATTTCACGATTTAATGCGATAACCCGTTATTTGAAACATTTAATTAATAAACAATAGCGATGTAAAACTAAATGGTATTATTATTTATTAAAGTAATTTATTAAAGTAAATGACCGATGCTTCGAATGATTAATAAAAATTCATTATCATCTTTTTACAGTTCGTGATTGGAGTTTCTTCCAGGCATCTCTTGAGGGGGGGGGGGCGGCTCCGCCCCCCTCCCCCTCCCGAACGAAATGGAATTTATAATGAAAATATATACTTTTAACAGAAAATACAAGTGCACTACCGGAGAAAAATCTCTGGAAGAAACACTGCTTGGGGTATATTAATATAACGTATATAACGTAGCGTTCACCATTTATGACCTCGGCTTACCTACAGCACTATGGGGGTCGTCCATAAATGACGTCACACTCGTAAGGGGGAGGAGTGGTCCGTAATTTTGTGACGGTGTGTGATGAGGGGGGGGGGGGGTTCAGGTGGTGCGACGTCACACTTTTGCATTATAAAAAAGCAATGTAAGAAAACGAATTTTAGACGTTATTTCGCTTTTTAGAAAACTGTTTTAATAAATTGTACTAGGAATTGATTAAAATACTCTATTTTGACAGTTTTCCAACAAGATTTTAGAAAAATATCGATGTTTTTAAAAAAGATTCAACTGCAATTTTTAGGGGGGGGGGGGGGGGTTGTAGGCTGAGGTGTGACGTCATTTTATGGGTGGGGTGTCTGGCTATTACAGGCTGAACCAAGTTATAGCCGAGATATAGCCATTATTGGGCCAAGAAGTAGCCAGGATATAATACAGGATGAGCCAAGGTATAGCCAATATTGGGCCAAGATATAGCCATTATTGAGCCAAGATGTAGCCAATATGGGGCCAAGATGTAACCATGATATAGCCAATATTGGGCCAGGATATAGTCAATATTGGGCCAAGATATAGCCAATATTGGGCCAAGATGTAACCAAGATATAGCCAATGTTGGGCCAATATGTAGCCGGGATATAGCCAATATTTGGCCAAGATCTAGCCAATGTTGGGCCAATATGTAGACGGGATATAGCCAATATTGTGCCAACATTACGCCAACATCATGCCGAGTTTCACTACCAATGTTTGGCCAGGGTTAAGCCAATGTTGCACCAAGATGTAGCCAATATTGATAGCCAATGTTTAGCCAATATTGGGCCAATATATGTGTGCTGACTGGGCTTTTCGTGACGACGTGTGACGGAGGGGAGGGGGGAAGGTAAAAATCGTCAAAAAAAGCTTGACGTCATTTATGGATGACCCTAATGCCCTAGTCGCTAGTTTACCCAACCCCCCCCCCCCCTGAAAATGTAGAAAATATACACATTGACCCGTGTCCGCTCCACCTACCAGAGGCGAAGCTAGGGGGGGGGGAGCGGGGCAGTGTTTCTTCGAGACTTTTTTCACGGGGGGGTGGGGGGGGGCACTTGAAATTATTCGGGGTGGGGGGGCGGTAGACTTTCTTCGGGGGGGGGGGGGGGGCGGACACTGTTAAAAGTATATATTTTCTATATAAATTATATTATAAATTTCATTTCGTTCGGGGGGTGGGGGCGGTAGAATTTTTTCGGTGGGGCTTCGCCCTCCCCCCCCCCCCCCCCTTGAGAGATGCCTGGAAGAAACTCTGGAGCGGGTGGCGGCCGTCCGCGCCAAAAGGGGAGGAATTTTTTTTTTTTAAAGCTGGTTTTATCCTGCAGTTTTGAATTATAAACAGGCTAAGTTAATGAATGTAATGGCTACACGCCTTTGCGCAATGGTTTAACAGTTTTCTACCTTGATTATTAACTGTAAAACATATACTCTTAAGAAACAGTGACCGGCAAAACCGCTTTCCAGCTTTTCCTAAACGGGGGGGGGGGCCTTTTTTAAGACTAAAATCGGAAGAATTTACACTAGATTGGTGAGTCGATAAGCTTTACCCCTTATAAAAACAACCAATTGTATTAAAACGTATAGTACGATTGTTTAACCGTAAAATACGTTAGTGACTTTTATCAAGATGGTGCAGGGAGGGGCCTTTTAGGCTAACTAAAATCGCAAAACTACACTGGATTTTGAGTAAACAACCTTTAGCACTTAAAAAGGAAACTAATTGTACTAACGTGCATTGTACAATTGTGTAACATTTTTAACAAGTTAGAAAGCTAGTTACTTTAAAACCCGCTCTACAAACTGTCAAAGATGGTTGGGAGGTGGGCGTGTGTGTGGGGGGGGGGGGGGGGAGAAAAGGGCTCTTTTTTCGAGAACAAAAATCGCAAAGTATTTGCCTGGATCACTGTGTTAAAGAGTAAACCATCTTAAATGAATGAAAGCAGGCTACAAGTAAGAAAGAAATATTACTATTGTAAATCTGTATCAGTCCTCACAAGCCGATGATGAAAACTGTAATACTAAAGCGAACACACAACTGACGCTATAAATTACGTGTCTGAGGCGAAAAAAAAAAAATATATTATATATATATATATATATATATATATATATATATATATATATATATATATATATATATATATATATATATATATATATATATATATATATGTATATATATATATGTAAGCGGGGAGGGGGGCGCCGAATTGAAAGTTCGCCCCGGGCGCCGGAAAGGGTCGCTACGCCTCTGCCACTCTGATATTTTAAGTGCAACCCAACTCCCGCCCCTCCTGTAGCTTCAAGTCCCCCTCCCCATCCCGATTAAAAATTTCTGGAAAAAAAACTCGGCGTTAGGTCTTACCTGCACGCAGTGGCGTAGCCAGGATCGTCTCAAGGGGGGGGTTCCAATTTTTACCCGGGGACAAACTTTCGATTTGCACCCCCCCCTCAAACTTTCGATTTGCACCCCCCCCCCCTCAAACTTTCGATTTGCACCCCCCCCCCCTCAAACTTTCGATTTGCACCCCCCCTTCAAACTTTCGATTTGCACCCCCCCTCATACTTTTTATATATACCGAGGGGTCTATGGGGGGGGGGGGTTATGACCCCCCCCTAACCCCCCCCTGCCTACGCCACTGCCTGCACGATCCATTAAGGAGAAAATGTACGAACGACCTTAATTATACTTTCTTGCTAATTTGGTCCTAAAATTGTTCAACACATTAGTAATAAGCTTTGTAATGAGTATATTTTTCACTGTATACGGTGTACTGTCTTTGAGTAGGCCTACTACTTTTTAAAAAATTTAGATAAGAATAAAAATAATTTCACCAATTAAAAAAAAATCAATTCACAAACAGTTTGAAATATAAACAACAACAAAAGTATAACGAATCGAGAACTTAAAACTGGAAACACCCCAGCACGATATTTTGTCAGAAAGCGCTTAATTAAAGTGTGCAAGTTGGAGAGACGAGACTGCACTTTTCCATCTCCATTTTCACAGGCCCTCTTCATCTATATCGCAGACTTTATTGAACTTTTTAACATACATTGAAATCGGATAAGTGTAATAAGATAGTAAAAATGTGTGAATAAATTTTACAAGAATGTTTCGTGCATTATGAGTTTGTCATTTATCTTTTAATTTTAGCATAATGGTCATGTATTTTTATTGCTTATATTATTTCTTTGATTTGTTAAGGTGCTAACTTCTTTTGACTCAAAAATGCGGCGCATTTGTGTGACTAGGCCTTCTTGGTAGCTTCGCGTATTTTCTTCCGACACATCGGTTGCAGTAGTGGCAGTTTTTAGTAGACTCCGGTGCGCGGGCACTGAGGTAGGGTTAAAGGAGGTGAGTGTTGTCTTGGCTTTTTCGTTCATCCAAGATTTGGAGCCGGCGATTCTAATGACACCCACCTCTGCGGCTTCCAGACTTCCGGTTGTGTGTGCCGAGGTCCCGATATTTCGAGGCGTGGCAGTTTGCTCGTGAAGCGCCCGATTCTTTGTGGGCGGAACCTGCAGAATCTTCTTGATGTTCATCTTAAAATTCTGGTCGCTTTTCTTCTCCTCGGCTCTCTGGGCTTTAATTCTGGCATGGCTGGGCGACTCGTGCTTGACCTGCGCTAGGTGGCAGTCCTGTAGGTCCACGCTGGTCGAGGAAGCACGCGCGCCACCCAACATTTTGAGCGCGCTGGCTAAGCCGCTGCTAAATGTTTGGTCGACAGCTGTACTAGAAACGTTTCCACCGTGGCACAAATTCTCCTGCAACTTGACTTCCGGTTTTCCGAAAGCGATACACGCTTTCCCTGGCATCCGACACAGAGACTTGTTGTCCAGGGGTAAAAATGTCTGATTGGCGTCGTCTTCAGAATCAATCGACGTAAACGACGATTTCTCATCCAATGTGCTGGTGTTACTTCCTGTAGATAACTCCTTTCCCATAACTGTCGGCGACTTGATCCTACCCGACGTGCCGCCCGCATTTTCCTCCTGTGGCGCCACCTTATCCTGACCTGCGGTTACCGAGTGTGGCGCCACCTTATCCTGACCCGCGCTAACCAAGGGTGGCGCCTCTGCTGCCTGTAATACTCCAGTCCCGCCAGGAGCGCCACTCGAGAAGTCTGCAGCTCTCTGGTTGATCTGGAGCACGTAGGGCTGCAGCCAGGGGTGGGCCAGCATGGAGGAGATGTTGTGCCGGAGGTCGCTGTTGGGCTCCAGCGTGCCGCTGATCAGGCTCTTACAACTGTCGGACACATGGCGCTGTTCGGGGAAATTCACCTTGCCTTTCAGCTGACGATACATCATCTGTCAACATTGCAAATACTCAAATAGTATCTCATGTTAAAAGAATATTTTTTTAAAAATAGGCATTTATTTTGTTTTAGAATTCAATAAACTACAAGTTTCAAGAAACATTTCAGTACAAAATTTTAAAAATTTCCAACGCACAATTTAAAACATAATTTATTTTAAAAATGTGTCCTCAACATAGTCATTGCAGCAGGCTAAAACATTTAAAGGCGTCACCCCTGCGACTTTATGACCGTACATTACTTTAAACGACATGTTGATTGGCTGGTGCTAAAAAGTACTTTACCATCCCTAGTTACCTTACAAAGTAGATACTATTGTAAACCATTTTCTATCTTTACCTTTTTGGTATTTTTATCATAAAATGGCATCTGTCCTGTGACCATAATAAATACAATACACCCAAGACTCCATATATCGCTCTGTAATGGTCTGTAGGGCTTTCCGCGAAGTAGTTCTGGTGAGGCGTAGGCTGCACTGCCGCAATACGTACTGGAAAATACCACACACAATGTTTGCTTTTGAGAAGTATTGGTCATGCCAGGGTGTATGGCAGAGATCTACAATAAGTGGGTTAGGTTAAGTATTGTAATCTCAGGTTTAGTTTTGGGTCATAAATTAGGGTTGGGGCTGTGGTGGCTCTTGGACTTGGTTTAAGGATAGGGTTAGCGTAGAAATTAACAAATCATATTTGTATTTGATTTACTAGCAATGCCTAACGCCCTTTTTAAATGAAGATTGTAACATTATCGGACACTAGTTTGTGAGGCATATCCCAACAAAATAATACCATAAATCAGCCTATAATAGCCTATATCAAATATAAATGTAGCATTAAAATAACTCCGACCTGCTTAAAAAACTGTTATTTGGGAGTGTTCTAGAAAAGCCAAAATCCGACAAAATGGCCGTCATATCTCGTCGTAAAAGAATGTTTTCACACTTGAGGTCTCGGTGGCAGATCTCGCGACCGTGGAGATACGCTACTCCTTGACAGACCTATGGGACACAAGGTATAGGAATTTGTTTACTTTGTTACATTCCCTCAGTAGCGTAGCGAGGGGGGGGGGGGGGGCGGGGGGGGACATATGTCCCCGGGCGCCGACCTTAGGGGGCGCCAAAATGGGTTGGAAAAATAAATTGAAAGGTTGAGGGGGGTGCAAATCGAAAGTTTGAGGGGGGGGGGGTGCAAGTGGAAATCTCAAGGGGGGTTGCAAATCGATGGTTTGAGGGGGGGGGTGCAAATCAAAATCTTGAGGGGGGGTGCAAATCGAAAAGTTTGTCCCCGGGCGCCGGGAAGGGTCGCTACGCCTCTGCATTCCCTAAACAAACAACACTGAACATTTCACCCCCCCCCCCCCCCCCGCTACATTTCTTAAACAACACTGAACATTTCACCCTAATGTAACGTTCCATAAACAACACTAAAAAGGTTAGCATGTTTCCACTTTTTTCGAGACAACGTTAGGAATACGACCATCGAATATTTTGAATGATGCTATAAAAACCGTTTATACATCGCTATAAAGCTAGGCTGGATCAGTTTCGCCACATTGTGTACTAATTCAGTTGATACGTGTGTCCTGCTTTTGTAAACAACTTTTGCTTTTATTTTCTTAAAACAAAAACAATATGACGACGACTATTTGGCTAAATTATTTGTTAGATGGCTTCAACACTAAGACAAGGGTTCGGACAGTGACTTACTTAATGAGAATGATATCCGTTCGTTCGGTCAGAAATTGTGTGTTTTTTTTTTTAATAAAGCGCGGGTCATGGGACAACCACCCCATTGCCACTTCCAAACACCGCTTCTGCTCTTTTAAAACTACACTAAAGAATTTCTTGGACCGAGACGATTTCTCATTAAAACTAAAGAATACAATCGATGGCTTTATCCCCTAAAACAACAAGAAATTTTACTTGGGCAAACACGTGACCAGCGACATTTTCCTCCAGGGCCCCCCTTCTCTTGATGTAATCCAGCAGGTCACCACGCTCGGCGTACTCCATGATGATACAGACCATGTCCAGGGTTTGCATGATCTAGGTCAACATTGGAGCTTTTGTTACATTACGATATCATTGACACGTGAAATATTTACGTCGAACAGTTGTAAATCTACGTGATTAAAAAATAAGAACTGACTTTAATATCAGAAGGCCATACCTCGAAAATTCGGATAATGTTTGTGTGGCTCAAGGACAGCAGGACAGATAACTCTCGAGGTAAAAACTTTTCCAAAAATTCTTTCGGTGCACGCCGTCTGCATATGATCTGCACACGAAAGAAGAAAATCTAGAGTGTATGAATGTGAGTATAGATGTTGTTGTAAGATAAGTGTATGAATGTGAGTATAGATGTTGTTGTAAGATAAGTGTATGAATGTGAGTATAGATGTTGTTGTAAGATAAGTGTATGAATGTGAGTATAGATGTTGTTGTAAGATAAGTGTATGAATGTGAGTATAGATGTTGTTGTAAGATAAGTGTATGAATGTGAGTATAGATGTTGTTGTAAGATAAGTGTATGAATGTGAGTATAGATGTTGTTGTAAGATAAGTGTATGAATGTGAGTATAGATGTTATTGTAAGATAAGTGTATGAATGTAAGTGTAAGTATAGATGTTGTTGTAAGATACGTGTATGAATGTAAGTGTAAGTATAGATGTTGTAAGATACGTGTATGAATGTAAGTGTAAGTATAGATGTTGTTGTAAGATAAGTCTATGAATGTAAGTGTAACTATAGGCGTTGTTGTAAGATAACTGACTGGGTCCTGGTCTGGAGTACTCCCCTTAAGTGCAACAGGTTGCCAGGTAACAGTGTGAGGGGGGGGGAATCAAATGGCATTTTAACATCTACATGTTACTAGATGCGATCAACTCACGTATTATGTTTACATAGGTGTGAACTCACTTGGTTACGTAAATTGTGAACTCACCTGGTTACAAAAATGTGACGCTACATGTTCAGTTTTAATGTTCACAGGTAACTCAGCTGTCCGTTGACATATTATTGAGTTTACACTGGGGAGGGATAACCCAAACTCTTCCCCTAACATAAAGGCCACTTATTCCCCATTCACATCGTACACTTTTACGCCAAATATCCAAATATAAATAATTTTTATTACAGACACTCAATAACGCATACAAACATAACAATCACGATTTCCGTAGACACGACTCCACATACTTTAGCTGCCAATATCCTGCTGTCTGCTATCTTCTCAACCACCTTGACCTTAGCGTAGCTGCCTTTACCAATGCGCGGCCCCAGCCTGTAGCCCCTGCTGTAGAGCATGTTTGACACCTCCATATGGACGCCACTTGCCCTGGACTCTGGTCTACGCACACAGGAAGTAGATCCTGAAAACATGGTCAGCATTGCTGTTATCTCCAGGCGGATTCATGTTGCAGAATGGCTTAGAGTCCTATTCTTTTAATGAGGCGTGATCAATCAATTTCTATCGTCCATGGTTAATTATTGATTTTTTAAATTATTGATTGTTAAAACATTGAAATTATTGCCAATAGTGACACACAAAAAAAAAACACCAACTAGGGTTATGGTAAACGTTAACCCTAAAAGATGATTAAAACTGAAGTGCCGCCAATGATCAATGACTAACTACAATTTTATTAAAGTTTAGCTACGGGCTTCGAACGTTTCGGGACACTAACGACACAATGATCAAAACAATGTCTATTGTTACAACAGTAAATAGTAGCCTATACTTCGACTATCCACACACTCTCTAATATCTGTTTTGCCTTATAACGACACTCCACCCATGAAACCTATTCATTGCCCCTTCCCTAATCCAAACCCGTATGGTATCACACCATGCAGAACTAAAGCATCGCTGAGTGCGATAACAACGATGAGTATATTTTTTAATAACTTAAAGCCATTATTGTATGTTAATAATCACACACCCCTCCACCCCGATACATTTACCTACTGGTATATATAGTTTCCTACTGATATATTTGCCTACTGGTCTGTATAGCCTGTATAACAATATCCCAATGATATAATTGTCTTCTGGTACTCAGTAAATAACACATCCGACTGATATAGTTGCCTATTTAATATAACCACACACCTTAATATATTTTCCTACTTGTCCTATGTATGGGACGGAGTGGTCTAGCGTCTCGAGTTCGAATCCGGGTTCAAGCCAGTAGACCGTCCCTGAGTCCACCCATCTCTGATGGGTGCCTAACTCACGTTAGGGAAAGTAAAGGCGGCTGGGCATAGTGCTGACCACACTATCTCTGCATATGCCGATTTCACAGAAACAAGTGAACTCTACTTCACTTGCCCTATACTACTTGCTTACTACTTGTCCTGTGTATAGCCACATACCCTCCAAGATCCTAATAACATTAAATATAACCGCATCCTCCTGATACTGGTCCTCTGTATAACTATATCTCCATGGACACAATTGCATACTAGCCCTGAGTATAACCACACCCCCAGATATATCTGTATCTGGTCCTCAATATAACCACACCTGATATTTTTACCTATTAGCCCTCTACATAACCACATTTCCAATGATACAGTTTCCCCACTAGTCCTCTATATAACCAAATCCCCCTGATGTAGTCTACTGGTCTTCAGTATAACCACACACACCTCTGATATATTAGCCTAGCGGTCCTCAATATAACCACACATCTGATATAGTTTCCGACTAGTACTTAATACAACCACACCCCCTCCCCTGATACTTATGCCTATACTGGTCCTCGCTGGTAGGACATGTAGGACATGTACCTGCGTCCTCTGTAGCCAGAGTCCTTCTTCGTCTCACCGCGACATCAATGACGGGAATGCAGGACTTACTAACGCACGTAACCGACAGTCACTAGAGTAGATAGTGCCCAGCTGTTCGGATCTATAGGCTACGGCTTTTACATTGTCAAGTTGTTTGTTGAAGCTAGTTTATACAATGCTATTGATAAATGACGTCAAAAGAATTATGGCGTCGCTTCCGCTTTGGTATTTCCGCCGAATCTTTTAATTCTAGAGGAAGTTATTGTTGTTCTTCTTATGAAATTTATCATCTTTTTTTAGAGACTAACTACAAATGAACAAATCGCATGGGGGGGGGGCACTTTAATTTCCGGGGAACGACGATACTGGTTAAAGTATATATTTTCTATCTAAACCATATATTTTTTTCTATTTTTTTTCTTTCTATTTCGATTGGGGATTGGGGCGGTAGACGTGCTTTGACACTCTTCTCCCCTTCCCCAAAAGATACCTGAAAGAAACTCTGCCATGAGAGCAAATGAACGTAACATGGGTCAGGGGATGGCGGGAGCTGCCGTTAGTAGACTTCAGTAAGACCCACTGCAGTACGGCCCCCGAGAAAACGATTTTCTACAGAGATTTACGGCAGTTTGGCTCTCGACAAAAGGATCCCCTACTTAACTTGTGTCTCTCTCATCTAAAGAGTTACCCGTATTTGTATTGAAAGGAGGCTAATCCATGTTGTGAGCTTTATACGTGTAATGGTGCCGCCTTGAGACGTTGTCATCATGATCACTGCCCGTCACACCTTCTGGGATATGGGATATGGGTCGCCTACCAAAGATCTTCAGAGTCCCCTCCCCTAGACCATTCCCCCCCCCCCCCCCCGCTCCAAATGTATGTAGCCCATCGGTTGTCAGTCTCATGGTAGCGTCACCAAGGTGTTGTCATTGTACTTCTATTAAAAACAAAAACTCTGTTGTGTTTGGGATTTCCGATAAGTAGAATCGACATCAATCAATTTTTTTTTAAACTCAGAAGTCAAGGTTCATTTAATCAGGCGAAAGTAACAATAAACTAGCACGTTTCTAGATTTATCGTGGCATTTTCATTGGTAGCTGTTGTGTCATAAGCCTAGGGCCTATATTTTTAAAGTGTGGTCGTTATGGGTTGAGCCTTCATTTTGATTATGATGTTATGATGACGATGATTATCGATCATCATGATCATCACTATCAACATCAACATAATCACCATCACCAATATCATCATCATCATCATCATCACCAATACCCTCATCATCATCATCATCACCATAACCATCATCATCAGCGGCTGCAGCACCATCATAATCATCAACAATAACAACAACATCATCACCATCATCTTCCCTCCGGCTACATTGTGGATCTATGACTAAGTTCGTACCCAGCACGGTGTCTTCCGCCTTATCCAGCAGACAAAGTCGACATGCCTGCTTGTCTCGTCCTCTGCGTCGTTTAGCGCTGGGAGTTCCACTCTAACGCCTGACTGGCTCTGTTGTCTGTATTTTTTTGATTGGCTGTCCAATGAATCCCCCCCCCCCCTCCCGAATTTGCATTTCTTCTATTCTCTATTCTCTATTCTCTGTCTACATATCCCACACAGTCTTGTTTTATACAGTACGAGCTGACCCGCGACGTAGCATACGCCGCTATCTAGTTGTTTTATTTTCTACTTATCAACAATTCATAATTTGTAAATTCGACACTAAACAACCCCCTCCACCCCACCCCGCACAGTGATAGCAGCCGTTTACAGACGACAATAAAATATCAAACAGACCTTATTATCTCCCCTTAGTTTCAAATCGTTTAAAAACTAAATTATCTGCCCTTAATAGCCGTCACTTATTCGAACCGGCTCTACTATTGTAAACATTCGGGGTGAACCACAGCTCACCTAACGGGTGGGGGATGAGGGTGTTGACTAATTATAAGCTGCGTGGTGTCTCGTATGATCCCCATGAAGAGATATATATATAGATACTACAGACTACTACTTTATTGCAGAGTTTCTTTCAGACATTTTTCTCCGGGGCATGGAGGGGGAGTGGGGGTGGGGGGAGAGTGGGCTTGAAACTCAAGCGTAATACTGAAATAGATTATCATTTTAATTTCGATAAATTTCCAATAGCCTAAGGGGTCTTCCATAAATAACATCACATATATAGGGTTGTGATGATGGGGAGGGGGGGGGGGGGGGTTCAGATAGTGAGACGTTACACTTAAAAAGGTAATGTTAGTTTTAGAAACTGTTTTAATAAATTGCAATAGAAATGGATTGAAAGACTCTGTTCACATTTTAGAAAGAAATAGACATTTAGAAAATTAATTAACTAAAATATTGAGTGAGGGGGGGTGTAGGCTGAGGTGTAACGTCATTGTAGAGGGGGGCAGTCTGGCTTTTTTTGTAATGACGTGTGACAGGGAAAAAGTGACTGGGAGGTAAAAATCTTCAAAAAAACGTGACGTCGTTTAGGCCTATAGATGATCCCCTGGATGAGAACTTCGTTTCGCCGCAGTTTCAGTTGTTTTTTTTTATGTCTAATCCTACTTTTTCCCAAAATATTTTTTTTTAAGAAAATTGCCTGTTTGGATTCAGTATTATTATTCTTAAAAAAATAAAGTAGCTTCCTTATGGTTACTATAAAACTGATCATGCTTTTTTTGTAAATTAAACTATGTTTTCTATATAATTCTATTATATAACGAGTTTTTAAATTGTAAGTCAAATAATGAAAAATGAACGATTGTTCTATAATTAATCACGAAAATTATCTGGCAACCCAAATTGTTGTTTATGGAGTTAACAAAGATGGGTGAACGAGTGTTTGCGGCCGAGTGTATACAGAAACGACGAGTCCGCAAAGTACGTATTTAAGATATCTAGGTGATAAATAATTCTTCCGCAATCCGCAATTTTATCACCCTTCTTAATCTTTTAACTTCTTTGTAATCTACTAAGAAACGCCCCACTATTAATGGGTTGACCCAATGACGTTGTTTGTGTGGCGCATTCATCTCCATTTTTCATCGATTCGCAAATTCCCGATTTTAAAAATTAGTTTACTCTTTGAGTCTTTACTGCTTAATAGGTGAACAATAAAACAGGGATCCTTTATAATTCAGAAATGTTCACAATTATTCATAGTATAAATAAAATTCCCTAGCCCTAACGACACTAAACACTACACTAGACTACAGTGTTTTCATTAGGCCTATCCATAATAATATTATTAATAGGCCTAATTAATAATCATAACCAATTCACCATCATTAGGCCTAGCTAGTAGCTAGGCCTATTTAAAATATTTTGAAAATTTTCATTAGGCCTATCCAGCAAATCTAGACTCGAGCTCTAGCTGCATGTACTCTAAACTCTAAAAATATTTTCAAGACTTAGCTGGGCTAAGCCTACGACTTTTTTCTTGTGGAACCCTTTAGATAAGGAGGTGTTGCAACCATATATATATTTAAGACGACTTCGGTTAAATAGCCTAATTAAGAACTACATTTGGATGATTTTAGATACAGATGTCCGATAATAGACTCTTCCATAAAATAGGTGTATTGTAATCTTGAGTAATTTTATGGTTAGAAATTAGGGTTAGGCTTATGGTAAGGTTAGGATTAGGGACGGGGTTAGCATTGACATTAGCCAGCCATGTGTGAACTACTAGTAACCTAACACCCCTTTTTTAAAGAAGATTCTATAATTGGACACTGGTATATAAATTTCCCCCTACATTTGTTTAACCTACTATTTAGGGCCTAATTTGAAATCAATTTTTAAAAAAAATTAGGGCTAAATAAAATCGCCGCCTAGAAAATGCATTTTCAAAAAATCTGTTTGTTGATGTTATTAGACCCTAATTAAATTAATTAGGCCTATTGAATAACTTTGATATTATAGGCTAACTGTTAAGTGGATTAATTTTTAAGGAGTGTTGTGACCCAATTAGCACTGGACAAATGTCTTGTCTACTAGATCTAGTGGTATACCATTCGAATCGTCCTTAGAGGATTTCATAGTGTCAGCCGCCAACCAATCAAACGCGCGCTTTCTCCGCGTTTTGGTTGGCGGCTGACGTCACGATGACGTCACGCGACGCGTTTTTGGAGCTAAAAAGGGCCGAAAAAGCCATTTTTTTCTACGTGTAGTTCGGATTTTTTTACGTTTTTTAAAATGGGCCCGAAAATGACACTTTTTTTAATTGGACTTAGCCATTTTTTCAAACAATTTGTTCGAAAAAAGGCCGTTTTGGGTGATTTTCGGATGTAAACAACGGCCTAGGTCAGCACGTGTCAAACCACGTGAAGGCACCCAATCGACGATTTCGGTCACGCATGAGTGGTTTTCATACGTTCTCGTGAACTAAATACCAGTTTCTTGACAACAAAATGGAAAACGACTATTTCGTGAAAATAACGACCCTAGAGGAATGGGTTTTGAAGATTATTAAATAAAAATCGGTGTATGGGCCACATGTATTGATTCCAAAGTTGTCTATAATTGACTAGTAGGGCATGCTGAAACAACGGCCTGAGGGCGCCGTGTAGTGTGTAGTTTCGCTAAATGTAAATTAATCAGCCTGTCCGCAGATCAATCGCAAACTGTTTAAATGGTTGAATGTGAAAAGCATACTACTTACAAATTACTTTTGAATATTCACATCACACAAAATAATCCCAAAGAAAGCACAAAATAAAATCCTTTAGAAAAGCATCACCATGAAATTTGAAAATCACTGTTTGTCAACCTTAACCAGCCATCTTTGGCTTGATCTAGAGGTCATTCTTTAGCCTACACATGTGTCTTGTCAACCAATTTAGTTTCTGAAGGTACACGACATTTAGATCAATATAATATAACAAACTAACTGAATTCCAACATTATATCCATCTAATCCCAATATTGAAACAGAATTTGAAGCACAATGATCTAACAAATAAATCCAACTCTATGCGAGTGTCGCAGCTTTAGTCCTGGATACCACCATAGTGTGTAGTCGTGTTGTGAGTAAATTTGCACGAGATACAACACCGACCTAGACCTTCCTGATGTGTATGGCCCCAAAGTTAAGTGCTGCGAGTAGGGGAGGGCAATTTAACACCAGAACAGTTTTTTTTCAATAGTTCAGTAGTTCACGCATCCTAACGGGGTTGAAAGTGTAACTTTAAATTGAACTAGGCGAGAGGAGGAGGGGGGGGGGGGGTCATTTAAACAACGGAGCTATATTTCTAGTAGAAGAATACGGGGAAATCATAGCTTGAGGTTTGAAGCCGGCATTTCATTTTTTTTATTGTTATTGAGTACAGCCCTTTAATGCACGACTAGGCTACTCATTATGAAATCTAAAAATGTAGTTGTGCTATCATGCAAAAGTAGCCTAATAAGTCTACTGAATGGGGTAGGTATTTGACTTTGTTTAAATGCAGATCCCGTTAGCCTAAAAAATATTTGGATACACATTTTAGTTATATCGTAATGTTATAATACAATGCATATATTCTGGCAGTCCTTCAATTATTAGTAGTTATTGGACTATCCATAACTTGTATTTCAAAGATTTATAATGAGCGGGATGCACTCGATGTTTTAAGTGCTACATTTGGTAGCTGTTACTTTGTGCATGACAGCATCCCAATAATTCACTGTTAATGTAAACTGAGCTTGACGAGACTCCCATCGCCAAGCAATCGTGTGATAGACCCAGCAAGCATCACTCGTTAAATTCGACCTTGTTGCTATACCAGTCCTTGATTTTCATTACAGCATTTAAACGCCTAGTTCTTGGTTTTAAAAAAAGTGTCTCCCCCCCTTCCCCGCTTGCGCCGACGTCATCATAGGCCTATACCTTGTTGCGATTTTTTTTAACGGATATAACACACCCCTCTCCCCCTCACAGCAAACGCCAACAACGTCACCGAAAGCCCAAGGCCAATAACATGCACCACGGTGGATTTTTTCTTCAATGAGTATATACCCTACCCACCCGCCGCCTTACAGCATGCCGCATGTCTCTACGAACGGGGTTAAAAGTTTGAGTTCAAGAAGGGGAGAGGGTGGTATTGAAACAACGAAGCTGTTTCTTTATAGTACAAATACATAGTTTAAAAAATTATACTTACCGTAACTTACCTACTGCTATAGCATCATACATAATTTTATAAATTAGCAAATAGATTAATTAATTAACTAATTAAATGTATCTAATGATAATGAAGGGAGATAGTTTATTTTGGTTAAGGCACGACACACAACACTGTGCGTGCCTGGTATGTGGCCTGACCTACTGAAAGGAGATTGTTTATATTATTGTTTTGAGTTTATATTTAACTCAATGCAACAAGCCCGCCGGTTGGTTGAGGCCACGACGGGGGAACGTTCTGACCGGGATTCAAAGGGACGACTCGAAATATCATCCGATCTAGTTCTTCTCATTCAAATACACAGTGGGTGCTAAGTTGGCTGTTGTCTCATTAATAAAGTAATTTTTAAAATTTTCTTCAAGGTCATGAATTAAAATGAGTTTATTACGACAGGGCTTTTAATTTTGTTAATTTTAGACCAAAGTTTTAGCAATTTCATACGGAAGTTTTGATCTACACTAATACATTTATTCTTCCATTCACTTAAACTCAGTAGCCTATATTGAACAAATTAATAGCTAATGGAAAATGTATGATAAAACCATAAACATTCATTGTTATAATCTGATAAGTAGCCTATTGATGTAGAATTTGCTCGATTGGTATTTTTTCGTAGCCATCATTATCAAGGCAATAGTTTTAAAAAGTAGGCCATATGACACCCTTCCCTAAGTCAATATCTTAAGGCTCATGATCATTGAATCCTTGCTATATTTAAAGCCAAGGTGTTATAAATTAGAAAAGTGGTAAATCTTGTATTCTAGGTAGAGGTGGTATATGAACATCTGGGTGATTTTTGTGTACATACGTACATATATCATTCATTTACCAAAGTTACTTCGGATAAATTTATCATTTTATTAACTACAAATGTTACAAATGCCAGGCTTGATTAGGTCAGCTAAAGGTCACATTTTTATTTTCACAGGGCAAAGTTGAATACTTTGTTAAATGGAAGGGTTGGTCTATCAAGTAAGTACACATTTTTAATTAAATCTATCACTTAAGTTTACTCTTTCAATAAATTTGAGTTAATTATTTCCTTTAAACTCATAAATTTAAAAAAAAAACATTCCATTTTTTTACTCTACAGGTACAACACCTGGGAACCTGAAGAAAACATTCTAGATCATAGGCTTATAGAGCAGTTCAAGTGAGTGTAATATGGTTTTTGTTAGAGTTAATCATTGACAAATAGAGTACATCACACAACACTTTGTTAGAATTAATCATTGAAAAACAGAGTACATCACACAAGTCGAACCATGGAACATTAGGGCCCTCATCTGTTTATTCCACCTTATTTATACTAAATCCCTTTAGTTTCTAGAAAACCAGGAACCATTTTAAAAGTGCTACTAAACTAATATGAACTAGCTTAGTGTGCATCAACTGATTTCTTGATCTTGTTAAGTGCAGCTAATTTATAAATATTTATATCAGTGCAATGATTTTTTATTTCTTATGTTCTTTATTTTCAAGGAGAGAAAGTAGTGGTGGTGGAAAAAGGGGACCAAAGCCAAAGAAGACAAAAGTACAAGTGAGTAAAGTTCATGATAATAGTCTGCTTCTTGTAATGGTAGTCTGTCTAATATGATACTTCTGCTGGTCTATTTAGTATGCCTATTTAGTTGAAACTTAGAATTTCATACATTTCTTGTTTGTTTATTATTGTTTTCTCCATAAGTTGAAATTAAGCCTTTTTACCTGTTGACAGGAAAATACTGAAGACACAGGGGAGGGTTCTGATGATGATGAGGACGAAGATGATGAAGAAGGTGAAGAGAGTAACAGTTCAGAAGATGAGTCGAGTGAAGAAAGTGCAGAGGTTACTAAGCAGCGAAAAGACACTCACCGTAGCTCAGCAAGCCCTGCCCGCTCAGACAAAGAAAGAGACAAAGACCAGGATAAGGGTGGCGGCAGAGAACGGTCCTCACATTCCTCAAGGTCCACCCCCATGAAGCGTGGCCCCGGCAGACCACCCAAAAACCCAAGCCACCCTAGCTATGTTCCACCTTCCAAAAAGATGAAGCTCCAAACTAGTCATTCAAAGCTGAAAGCTGCGAAAAAACCTGGGCCTAAGAAAAGACAGTTAAAAGTGAAACCCTCCTCCACATCTCAGCAGTCAAACCAACAAACCCAGAACAGCAGCAACACCACACACACCAGCGTTGACAGCAGCAATAAAACTGTGGAGAAGGAGAACATTTCCAAGAGTGAAAACACCTGTAGCAACCTCAAAGCCAACAGCAAATTTGAGAACAACACATCCAGTAAACCCAGCTCTGGGGCCAAAACAGTTGACAATGGAGTTTATGACTTTCCCTCGGATGACTGTGACTCCAACAAAGGATCACTGTCTAATAACTTACCTAAAAGAGGGTTGACTGGGAAAAAATACTGGATACCACCTAGCTTCTTCAAAGCAGCTGTAGACAGTGTGGTCATAACTGATGTGGACTCCTCAGACACAATGATCACAGTCAGGGAGTGTTCATTTCCTAAGGGTTTCTTTAACTAGCTGGATTCTTACACAGAGAATACATTTTCTTTTAGACAGCATTAGACCAGTACTTTGATGTGCATAATTGTAAATAATAGTTGTTCAAGCATCTTTTGTGTTCAGTGAACTTGAGAATCAACTGCTGTGAAAGGATGTACACCATTTTCCATTATTTATTTTATTCATTTATCTTTGTTTTCAGTGGTTTAATGTTTCTTAAATTGTCCAGTATTTATCATTGACTGTTTCTTTTTGTGTTGTCTTGATCCTTCTCATGTATCAAAACATGTTAAATAATTGTACATTTTTGTGATCATTGACCAACACATGTAACAAAGATGGATCAACTTTGGATAATGATTATCCCTCAGATTTCATCATATAACAAAGTTAGTCTGTAACTATATTATGACCATTCAGAGAATCCAAATCCCAAGACTCAGTCATGTAACAGAAGCAAAGTTAGGGCCTTTAGGAGTAACTTTATCCCAAGATTCCTTTTATGTAACAATTTACAAAGATAGAGCAGCTTTAGTAAAATCTTTATTCCAATCTTGAATCATTTATAATCAATATGATTAATAGTCCTCATACATGTACTTACCATTTGTATGTTATCTGAATATACATTTTACAATGCTGTAAGTTATGTTACAAATAAGTAATTAAAACTAATTACTAATTCTATAAGGTTTTTTTCTTATGTACAAAATCTACCATGATGAACAGCCCTGTTTAGATTCATGCCATTGTTTATTAACACAAACTCCATCAATGAGAGATCTTTGAGTTTGTGAACACAACTAAGTTCATTGACACATTAAGAATAAAAAGATTTAAAGTAAGTGAGATTTCATAATTTAAAAAACTATATAATGATTGATAAACATAGTTGGTCAGATCACAACACTAGTCTAAGCTTCATGCTACCATGATGGACACAACCTCAGAAATATCCTACTTGCTGCAGATTTATTTCACTTTGGTTGGCATTCAAAATAACATTAACAACCCTTTAATGTTACTTTTAGGGTTCATAGCACGCAGGGACATTTGAATCAGTTTTAAGTTTTAGCATGAAAAAATGTTGGTTTAATTTAAAGTTAGTTTTATTGTTTCATGATATGGCAAGATAAAATTACACAATTTTTTTATTCATACACTATATACCAAATAGACATTAAATTCCTTTACGTCTTATAAACATAATCATGATATTGCAATAGGTAACTTGTAAAAACTGATGTTAAAAATATTCATCAGTAATGTACTGGTAATTACAACCTCTTGGTCAAAAATAACATCAACAATGTATTTTATTTACAAAAAATTATTTTGTCCACCTCCCCTTCTTGATGGTCTCAAAAACTAGCTGTCTCTAGCTCCCCATTCTTGGTGGTCTCAAAAACTAGCTGTCTCTAGCTCCCCCTTCTTGGTGGTCTCAAAAACTAGCTGTCTCTAGCTCCCCCTTCTTGATGGTCTCAAAAACTAGCTGTCTCTAGCTCCCCCTTCTTGGTGGTCTCAAAAACTAGCTGTCTCTAGCTCCCCCTTCTTGGTGGTCTCAAAAACTAGCTGTCTCTAGCTCCCCCTTCTTGATGGTCTCAAAAACTAGCTGTCTCTAGCTCCCCCTTCTTGATGGTCTCAAAAACTAGCTGTCTCTAGCTCCCCCTTCTTGGTGGTCTCAAAAACTAGCTGTCTCTAGCTCCCCCTTCTTGATGGTCTCAAAAACTAGCTGTCTGTAGCTCCCCCTTCTTGATGGTCTCAAAAACTAGCTGTCTCTAGCTCCCCCTTCTTGATGGTCTCAAAAACTAGCTGTCTGTAGCTCCCCCTTCTTGATGGTCTCAAAAACTAGCTGTCTCTAGCTCCCCCTTCTTGATGGTCTCAAAAACTAGCTGTCTCTAGCTCCCCCTTCTTGATGGTCTCAAAAACTAGCTGTCTCTAGCTCCCCCTTCTTGATGGTCTCAAAAACTAGCTGTCTCTAGCTCCCCCTTCTTGATGGTCTCAAAAACTAGCTGTCTCTAGCTCCCCCTTCTTGGTGGTCTCAAAAACTAGCTGTCTCTAGCTCCCCCTTCTTGATGGTCTCAAAAACTAGCTGTCTGTAGCTCCCCCTTCTTGATGGTCTCAAAAACTAGCTGTCTCTAGCTCCCCCTTCTTGATGGTCTCAAAAACTAGCTGTCTGTAGCTCCCCCTTCTTGATGGTCTCAAAAACTAGCTGTCTCTAGCTCCCCCTTCTTGATGGTCTCAAAAACTAGCTGTCTGTAGCTCCCCCTTCTTGATGGTCTCAAAAACTAGCTGTCTGTAGCTCCCCCTTCTTGATGGTCTCAAAAACTAGCTGTCTCTAGCTCCCCCTTCTTGGTGGTCTCAAAAACTAGCTGTCTCTAGCTCCCCCTTCTTGGTGGTCTCAAAAACTAGCTGTCTGTAGCTCCCCCTTCTTGATGGTCTCAAAAACTAGCTGTCTCTAGCTCCCCCTTCTTGGTGGTCTCAAAAACTAGCTGTCTCTAGCTCCCCCTTCTTGATGGCGTCATCTACCCTAGCTAGCAGAAACTGTTTGTCATGAGCCTCCTGAAATATTGGAACATATCTTTAGACATGGGGGATAACTACAAATTTGTATTTTAAAAAATGGTAGCTGCAGTGAGGTTAGCAAATAATGTTAAACTGGTAGTGTTAGTATCCTCACAAATTAAACTTTTAGGTACAAATTTAGGTTAACGTTGTTGTTAAAGTATTAGACATAACACTAACAGGAAGTTCAGAACCTCAATCAATTTTGTAGTGATTAATTTATTGGTCAATAATTTTTTTTTAAAATTCTTACCATGTAATATTATTAAAGAGTTAACAAGGAATCGGTTATTTCTTTAAAAGAGATAAAAGATAAGTACCAATTAAACTTGGTTTCTAAGAGAGATAAAATGTAATCACCAATTAAACTTGGTTTCTAAGGGAGATAAAATGTAATTACCAATTTAACTTGGTTTCTAAGCAGCTCTTCCATCTTCATGTATCCAGAGGAAATTGACCAATAGTAATAGCAGGCTAGTCTGTAGAGGACAAAAATATGGATTGGAATTAATCTTATTTTAAAATAATTTTCTTCATCTATACTTAATTTTGCTTCGTATTTCTGCTGACAGTTTATTAAGTGACAGATTTTAAAGAAACTTTACTTACAGAGTAATTAAAAATGCTGGAATGAAAAATGAGGCAGTTCCAAAAAACTGGAATATTGCCTTAGGTATGTCAGGCCAGGAGTTGACTTCATCAGTCACAACATGAAACATGACAAAATTCTCATGGGTGTACTGTCGGAATGGGCCACAACTCATGGATGGCTGTAAACTGGGGATGGAAGAGTAGCAGGAATTAGTTTACATTATTTAATGTGTTGGATTTCTTACTGGTATCTCCACCCTTTACTTTATAAGAATCATATCTTTGGGTGCACAATTATCTGGTGAAATTCTGAGAAATGTCTACTGAATTCAGTGTGGGAGGTTAATAAAGTATGGATATAAAGGAGGTCAATAAATAACTAATTTGAATGAAGTAGGTTTTTACCATTTGCACACTCTGTATCATGTAACCTCAAAGGAATGCATTGTATAGGGTGTTACTGAATCAATCACACATCATATTTGAGAAATTATAAGCCTATTTTCCAGTCATTACAAACTGTAGACCTAATAGCCAATTATACAAACACATTACAAACTGTAGACCTACTTGCCAATTATACTTTATACAAACACAACAAACTGTAGACCTACTTGCCTATTATACTTTATACATACACATTACAAACTGTAGACCTACTTGCCAATCATGTATCCCAACAAACAGGATATTGTAATAAATGAGAGAAGCAGAACTGTCTGGAAAAATGAGTAAGAGCGAGACGCCTTGTATGCAATCTGGGGCGCCTCAGTCACAAATAGAAGCTCAAACTGAAATTTTTAAACAATTGCATTAAGATAGAAAACTTAACTTATTAAATCAATAATCAATTGTAAAGTAATATCTAACATCAATAATGAGACATTATAGACAATATTAAGCTAAAACATTAATTACAAATATATTCTTTTAATTTTTTTTTTATTAATCTTACACCTCATATAATAATTGATGATTTACCTTCTTTAAAAAAAAGAAAAAAAATATTTTGACGAAAGTCAGAGCTGGAAGTAATGGTGTAAAGAACATTCCCATCCTGGAATACAAGAATTCAATATTGTTTCATAAAATATCAGTAGTCTAAGTTAAAAGAATTATGGGTATTTCTAGACCATTGTGTTGTAAAGTTTCTGTTTAGACTTTAATAGTGATCTATGGGGCAGGTGAAGTTAGAATTCTTCAGTTTCTTAACCTTGGCATATGAATGGATTATGTGGTCAGCGACATGCCGAGCCGCCTTTACTTTCCCAAGCATAAGTCAGGTACCCATCAGAGTTGGGTGGACTGAGGGATATACTACACTCACAAGTCCGAACTCGGGCTAGTAGCCATATGCTCTACCATTCGACCATGCTATCCCACCTTCTAGCATACATACTACACTAAATGACCTACCAGCATATATACAAGACTAATTGACATTAACTACTAGCATACAGACTATACTAAATGCCTTACCAACATACAGACTGTGTGTAAACTAAGTCCAACACTTGCAAGGGGAGATCAAACTTGGCCTTCCCCACTTTATTAATGATCCAATATCTCTCATGGAAGTGATAATAAATAAATCTGCAAAACAAAGTATAATAAATTAACATTTTCCTGAGGGAGCACTTTGACAAAAATATGAGAAATTTTTTTTTATCACAAGACATCAAAAAAGAGATCAATTAAAAATAAATAGTTAATATAAGAACAAAATAAATAAAACAAAATTGTAAAAAATCAAAATGTAATTAAAAAAAAAATAGATATTATACAAACTAACCTACGAGGTACTTGTAGTAGAAGAACTAATAAAATCACAGATAGGAAATCCACAATACAAAGTTTATAAAACTGCTGACCAACATAACTCTCCCAACACTGTAGAAACAAATCATGGCTAAGGTTATAAAACTGTCAGTAGGGATATCATACAAATTAAGGATAAAGTTATAAAATATCAGTTGGGATATGATACAAATGATGGATAAGGTCATAAATGTATGAGCAAAGATACTTTGGATGTGTCAAAACAAGGTATGTGAAAATGGTGGTGGTTGTAGTGCATGAAAGTATGTCAAGATGGTGGTTGTTATGGGGAATGAAAGTATGTCAAGATGGTGGTTATTGTGGGACATGAAAGTAGGTCAAGATGGTGGTTGTTGTGGGACATGAAAGTAGGTCAAGATGGTGGTTGTTGTGGGACATGAAAGTAGGTCAAGATGGTGGTTGTTGTGGGACATGAAAGTAGGTCAAGATGGTGGTTGTTGTGGGACATGAAAGTATGTCAAGATGGTGGTTGTTGTGGGACAAGAAAGTAGGTCAAGATGGTGGTTGGTGTGTGGCAGACCTCATAAATATAAAAAGTGATAAAGTATTCAAATCTTAAAATAAAACTGCAGCTTTCATCTATCCAAATTGGCTGTCCCTCTTTTTGTTGTAAAACTAATTTCAGTTTTAACAAAAGTTAATTTACCTGTACATTGTTATTATTATTTTTTACTGCAGCAGGGTCCCATAACGTGTTTCCACAGCAGCGGGTAACATTCTGCTTCATTTCCTCAGGACAGTCATACGGAGTTGTCCCCCTGTACTGCAGCCTATAATACAGGGAGACAATCAACACCCAAATACTTGCAAGGCGCAGGAACACAGCTCTGTGAAAAATGATTGAGATCAGGGTTATATAATACTATCCTAAAGGCCTATGGAGACTTTTTTTTATAATAAAGAAGTTTTAGAAATGCATAATAATATTATCTCAAAGTGTTTCTAGATATTTTTTTTAAAACCAGAGAATACTATTTTTAATGCCAGGAAAATCAAGAAAAGTCACCTGATGATTGTTATTTTTGTAGCCACGCTGTTTGAGTATTGTTCAACAGAGCAAAGTATCAAAAAAAATTCTGGGATCACAGCATTTAAAATAGAAATAACAATCGAAGGGAGATAACTCAGTGCTAAATACTGTATATCTGTCAATTCGTCTGTATTTTGCTGCAATATATAATTTTTACATTGATTTCAATGACTTGTGATAGTTATGGTTTGGTTTTCATTGGAACATTTGTAAACAGCATCAACTTATAAGCATATTTAACAGATTAATCAATAGGAGTGAAATTTTAAAATATATTTTCACTACTTCATCACACTAGACTTTTAAGTTCAAAGTTAAGCAGAGATTTTACCTACCTTCAACAGATAATCAGTACTGACATAAATTGCATAGAAAGAACCAGCCAACAAGGCAATAACAAGTATATTAATCCCCGCACGTTTTAAATACAACTGTGACATTTCTTTCGTTGATTTTTTCTCCAGTTGTCTTTTTCTTTCCACCTCTGCCAGCTGGGCCTACAAAGTTTATTCAATAAATTTATTAGAACAAAATAATAGTAAGATAATGTGGTTTGTAGCAATACAATTAAAATGTTTATGGTATAAATTTTGATGTGAAAACAGAGTAATACTCAGTTCCATTACTGTAAAACAAAACTTAAACCTACCTTGAAATCATCAAAAATAATTTTTTTCTTATATGAAGCCATGGCCTTAGAATTAATACAATAATCCCAACAACCAAATACTGCATTGGTATACAAAGGGAAAGCACTGTTGTTGAAGTCCATCACAGTTTCTTTGATTGTAGAACTTGAACTGCAACAGTAATAGCAACATTGTTTACCACTCAATATAGCTTATTTATCTATACTCAAAGTTTTTAATTTTTGCATGGGTTTCTTTTAGCAGGGGCAAGTCTGTAGGACATTGGTCAGTCCACACAGCTCTGGATCACATTAGGGAAAGTGAAGGCGGCTGAATGTAATGATGACCACACTATCCCTTCATATGAACACACTTCATCTGCCCAATGGACAGTAAAGTTTGTAAGGGTATTTTACTTAATTGTATGGGTACCTTAGCTTTAAATTCTAGCAGACTTTATTTTTCTAAAATCAAAAGAATTTGTTTTTAATTAACAGTGTTGTATGTTCAGCATTAGTTTTAGTATTTGGATAGTTAAATTCATATTCATACTAATTTTATACAATTTTAAAACTTAGAAGTATATGTTTAAATTATTTAAAAACTGTAAACTATAAGATAACAAGTAGCAAGTCTTACTTTTTGACAATAATTAAAAACATGAGAACAAAACTTATTCCAACAGTCAGCAGGTAGGCTAGATCCATCCTGTAGTCAGCTTCAAACATGGAGTTGTCTTGTGTGGGCTTTAAAAACACAGCGCTTGTGTAGTAGCCATAGAACAACATAGTGTTTTCTAGGATACCCTGGAGAAAATAAACACAATGGAGTTTTTCACTGGCTGGTCAGTTGTTGTTTTTTTTATGAAAAAAGAAAATAAAATACAATTTTTTACTTATCACTGGATTTTAGCCTTATTAATTGTCGACCATTAATATTTGTCAATAATTCTCATGGTTTCTAATAACAACTAAAAACTATTAGAAAAAACATTATGCTAAATTTTTTAATATTATTATTATTAAAAAAAAATTTTATTCTAAATTTTTAATATTATTATTATAACTAAGACAAGCTGCAAGATTTTTATATTAATAAAAGCAAATTATAGGACAGAGTGGTTGGATGATAGAGCTTATGACTGCTAACCAAAACGTCTAGAGTTAGGATCCCAGACTTCTGTCTGTAGGACCTACCTACCAGCAAGTTATTTATAAATTTATAAATTTAGAATTTATAAAATTAAAACATTTCTTAGCCATAAACTCTCACAAATGGTATATTAAAACATAAATAGGCCCTAGTTTTCAAAAAAGAATAGTGAATAGTTATATGTGACCCAGTTCCCTGGGCAACATTTAAAGTAGTTTAATGTGTGACTAAATGTGACGTACAGTTTCATGTACAACATTTAAATAGTTTTATGTAGTTACTAAATGTGACTTACAGTTCCCTGGGCAACATTTAAAGTAGTTTAATGTGTGACTAAATGTGACTTACTGTTCCCTGGGCAACATTTAAAGTAGTTTAATATGTGACTAAATGTGACTTACTGTTCCCTGGGCAACATCCAAGAACTTCATGGCTTCACTTTGTTTTTCTGTTGCGTTTTGAGACCTCTGTTGATAAGACTTGCTACATTTCACCATGGTGTTCTGTAGGTAGCCTCTGGTGTCATTGGTAGCCAGGGGTGTGTAGTAGTCCTTATCTTTGCTGTAGGCCAGCTGGGGTATGTAGATGAAGCAGAGGTAGAGGAAGAAGACCAAGAAGTTGATGTTCACCAGCCATCTGGTGAATCTGAAGTAGGTCGAAACAGCTATACCAAAGTGACCTGAATGACAAAAAGCACACAGAAGATAAATATTCTAGACACACAGTTCTACTTCTAGTTGTTTGTCTTTATTTTATTCATTACTAAGCCTATCAATAATAATTGTTTCATAATTCAATAATCTACCATCAATATTAATTGTTTTATAATTCAATAATCTACCATCAATAATAATTGTTTCATAATTCAATAATCTACCATCAATAATAATTGTTTTATAATTCAAAAATCTGTTATCCATAATAATTGTTTCATAACTTAATAACCAACATCACATAATAATTGTTTCATAATTCAATAATCTATTATTCACAAAAATAGTTCATAATATAATAATCTACCATCAGTAATAATTGTTTTATAATTAAATAATCTACCATTAAAAATAATTGTTTCATAATTCAATTATATACCTTCTATCTGTCTCATTTGTTTAGCCCAGAAATTCAGCTTGTCCCAGACATTAGACAGACTGCTATTGGCAACCTTCACCCCCTGAAGAAAAAAATCCATGTTTAATAAACATTAGTTTATGTTATAAAAAATATTTTTTTTAAAGCTAAAACTCCAAAATTAATGAATATTATTATAAAGCATTATTTTGTTTAGTTTAATCAGCTATCTAATGGAAAATAAATCATTTTTAAAGCAGTACAATATATCATACGGTAACTTTAATTAATAATTAGATGATAGGTCAAATTTTTGAGTTATGTAAATGGAAATTTTAATTTTTAAAAGGGAGATAACCTGTAGGGGAAAAAGCCCAAAAACACAGTTGTCATACTTTAGTTTAAAAAAATGTAAAATAAATGGCTACCTTGACTAAAGTCAGTGGATAATAAATGCCTGACTGGGCCTCGGTGGATTCTATTGCCCCTCTGTGGACAAAGTATGAACATTAGTTATTCTTATTATAGATGCAGGTGTCAGATGGCAAGGAGGGATGTGAATGGGGAAATTTATCAATTTATTAATATACTGATTAATATTTTTTTTATTTAAAAAAACACTGAAGATTAGCAAAAAGCTAGTAGAAGTTACTAACAGCCCTTTTACTTTACAATCGTGTAGGGTAAAGTATCCTAGTGCAAGCCCGATTATATATATATATATATATATATTACACAAAAACAAAATTCTGATCTCCACTGCACAACCCTCTCCCCCTCTTCTGTTGGTTTAAGAACAGCTTAGCGGTTTTGGAAATCTATAGCATATCTCTATTGACTTCTTTGATATCAGTTTTCACAAGAACATGTTTGGTCTGAGAGGATGAGTCATTGGTGGAGCTGGGCATAGGGAGGGTTGGGGGGGGGGGGGGGGAGTCAACAAACAGGGACATCAAAAGATTGGGTTGGAGTGGGACGACAACAAACAGGAACAACAAAAGGGACAACTAAATTGTATGGCTACGTCACTGCTTGAAGTTAACATGATGGATAGGGGCATATACCAATCCAAAGTACATAATGGATTACGGATATATCAGTTACGAGCCGACCCGCGGTGTATCATACGCCGCTATTTAGTTGTTGTTTTTTCTACTTTTTAGTAATTCATAATTTGTGAATTCGACAGTACCAATGCTGCCACTGAAAATATTTGCTTTAAAACACTAACCCCCCCCCCCCCCCGTGAAAAAAGCCTCCTCTTAGTTACCTCCACTAAGTTTTAAATCGTTTTAAACTAAATTATCTGCCCCTAATAGCCGTCACCAAACCCAGCTCTATGATTGTAAAATGTAAACATTTAGCGTGAACCACAGTTCACCAGACCATGTGGGGGGGGGGGTAGCGATAGAGAGGAAGAGAAGGGACTGCAAGGCGCGCTTGCAGCTTGTTTTCTAACGTCTCCCAGAAGAGAATTACATATATAGATATGTACGTAATGGATATATATTATATAAATCCACAGCGCATTATGAATAGGAGTTATATGAGTAGGCCAACGGTATAGATCACGAATAAATAAATCCAGAGTAAACTAGAGATTAAGAATAAATAAATCCACAGTACGTTATGGATTATGGATATAGATATATCAACCTACGAAACGTTATTGATTGGGTAACAAGTGTAGTAAGACAGGAAGATATGAAGAGGTCGTGACCCCGAGACAAGGGATGACGTCACTTCCTAGTTGTGTAGATCCTGGCAGCGCAGAACACAATGGGATCGTGACAGACAGAAGCCGTGTCAGACCAGGGTAAAGAAATGGGGACATTAAATGGAATCGTGACAGACAGAAGCCGCGTCAGACCAAAGTAAAGAAATGGGGACATTAAATGGGATCGTGACAGACAGAAGCCGTGTCAGACCAGGGTAAAGAAATGGGGACATTAAATGGAATCGTGACAGACAGAAGCCGCGTCAGACCAGTGACAGACAGAAGCCGTGTCAGACCAGTGACAGACAGAAGCCGTGTCAGACCAGTGACAGACAGAAGCCGTGTCAGACCAGTGACAGACAGAAGCCGTGTCAGACCAGAGTAAAGAAATGGGGGCATTAAATGGGATCGTGACAGACAGAAGCCGTGTCAGACCAGTGACAGACAGAAGCCGTGTCAGACCAGTGACAGACAGAAGCCGTGTCAGATCAGAGTAAAGAAAGGGGGCATTAAAGACAAGCGGTCCTAGGGAGATTTGGCCAGATTTTTATTTTATGGGCGGGGCGAAACACGGTATTGGGTGTGTCAGGGGTGGGGGGGGGGGGGAGGGGGAGTTGTGTGGAAATTAAGGTCAAAGTGGTGCAACTAAAGCAGACGACGAAATCGTGCAAAGAAAACTTTAGAAGTGTGGGTGTGGTTGTATCAGACGTGGGATCAGGCATCTCTTCGGGGGTGGGGGGGGGGGGGGGCAACGAAATAGAATTTATATAGAAAATCAAGTGTCACCCCACCCCACGGAGATAAAAAGCCTGAAAGAAACTTTGCACGGGATGTGGATAAACCACAGAATATAGATGTCTACTTTTTTAATTGAGTTAGTGCCATATTCATGTAGTACTAGTATATATCTATTACGTATAACAATATGAAAGCGTAACACCACCTCGATCCCCTCAATATTTAGAATTTTAAAATCATGCCACAATGGGACAGCAAAGGATCTCAAACACAAAATCTCATTTTTCTCAAAAGTAGTGTGACAACTGTGGTTTATCCCCGGTGGTCTTCATTTGTTGTCGAGAAGTATCACGCGAGCAATATAAGCTACCACTAAATCACACCATATGCTTTGATTTTACCAAACTTCTAAAAGTTAGATAACCAATCACATCAGATGAAACGAAAATTTACCAAGGAAATTCAAGTCTAGGAAATGATTTAACCAAACATAAGACGTAGAAAAACACGAGCTAATTCGCGTAAGAAAATATTTTTAAACTCGGCATTCAGCACCTGGAAAAAAAGGTTTGGTAAACGAGCATTTTATCTGTTGACAGCTTGTTTACAGGGCTAACCCAATATATATTTTTTTTTGTCCTTTTATTCAACGTGCATTCACTTCAACAGTACGACTGTATTAAATGTATTCAGTCTCTGCGGCTATTCTATTCAACCGCCCTACCTGCGCTAGCTTTATTTGCCGGGACAAAAAAAAAAATTGAACACTAAAATGTATTCATGTGAATATAATTTTATTATACAACGACTATAGGGACCTTTGCAGCACCCAATAAACCTTTACGGCTTCATTGTCTCAAAATGTTGTTCACGTTTGTCTCCCCTGAATCTACTATTGACAAGGAGTGCGTTCACACAAGCATTCAGTTTTGTCAGAGTACATGGCCTACTGACAGATTTGTCAACAACACATTAATAGATATTTCAAGCAGAGTTTCCTCCAGGCATCTCTTGGGGGGAGGGGGGGGGTGCTCCGAACGAATGGAATTTATATAGAATACATACACTTTTACTAGTGTCCGCTTCCCCCCTCCCCCGGAAATATAGTCCGTCCGTCCCCCGCCCCCCCCCCCCCTCCCCGTGCCCCCCTCCCAGGAGAAAAAAGTCTGGAAGACACTGATTTCAAGCTTGACACAAACCGAATCAAGTCTTACGCTAACCAAGTCAAGTTTGGCTTGCCCAATGGGAATGTCTAATGGAGTTAACTAGTTCAAGTTTGGCTTAAGTCCAGTGGGAATGTCTAATGGAGATAACTAGTTCAAGCCTGGTTTTGCCCTAAAGAAACCCGATATCCCTCTGCGAAAAATCGTTTGCTTCCAAAACGATTTTATTTAACCTTATGAAATGAGAGAATGCAGCAGAAAGACACGCTTCACTGATTGTGTATGGCTGTATTTTTATCTACAGACGGTGTACATAGGCGAATGTTTGGGCGATGACATCAATTATTTCCCTCGGGTCACTGAACAAATATATTTGTGGCAGCTTTAATATACATAACTATGTCACAACTTTAGCATCATAGAGTTATTTATGCCATTACTGATATCATTGGTCATTCTTCCACATTTCCAGCCATAGCTTCACCCATGTTTTTTAAGACATTTTTCTCCGGGGGTAGGGTGGTAGTGGGGGGGGGGAACTTGAAGCTTCCGGGGGGAGTGGTGGACTAAATTTTCGAGGGCTCTATAAACTATTTTGTTCTAGGAGGGGTGGGGCGGTGGACGAACTTTAGGGGTGGGAGGGGGTAGTGCCTTCCAGATTAGAAATTGAAGGAAACTGGCTTCACTCAATGATTGTATGGTAAAATATTGTTAAACTTCCTGAAAGTCTAAACCTTTAAAAAAAAAAACACCCGAAAATAATAGTGTAACCCGGATGTGATCCACACCTTTACATACAACACATTTTTTAAAATGGAGAAAACTTTTTGAACACCCCGACCTGTGAAGTAAAAGATGAAAAACGTTGAAGACGAAATTTTAAAAAAATCTCGCACCTGAAACTGTTAGCTATTCTCCTGGTAGTCTTCTCCTGTCTAGCCCTGGACAGTCTCTCCGTGAGACCCCTCATCTTCTGCCTAGTGCTGGGCATCCCCACCTCCTCGTGTTCGTCGTCTGCTGCTGGCCCGGCGGCGTCGTCAGCAAAAAGTATCTCCTCCTTAGACGACGTGTCCTTCTTCTTGATGCGGATGGTAGCAAGAAACCTACGGGCGTCTCGCAAGTCCATGTAGTTCAAGCTCTCGACCGAGTCGTCGTCCCCTGGATCAAAGTTCTCGTTGACTCGCCTGCGCAGAGTTTTGTAGTAGCCGAACCCGTTCATGCGATCACTCTGGTGCCGCCTATGTTTCCAGGTTCGCCGCAAGCTGTTGTTACCATCCAAACCTTGCAGCTCTAGGTTTACCTCCGTGTAGTCACTAGTCGTGGGTTCGAACCTTGACCGGTGCTTACCATCATATTGGTCCCCCACGCCGTTATGCCGGACGCCAACATCTCCACCCCCAACGTTATAATCGGCCGGTGGAGCTTCGTCATAATCGGCTGGTGGATCAAAGCCATAATCAGCTGGTGGATCTTCGTTTGTAACAGGATCGATATAGGTCTCACTCGATGGTAATCGATACTCATCGTATTCTCTACCACGAGCTACGCCTGTGTCTACGAAAGAACTTCTGGGTAATCGTTGATCATACTCATCAGCACGATCTTTAAAACGATGCCGACTCATGGTTGTGTAGGTGGATGGGAGAGATCAACACATCCTTGGAGCTAACTCTTGACCTTGACCTCCCATAACCAGGCGAGTAGTGTATACCTGGTTCAAACTCAGCGTCTTGGAGAATGTTACCAACTCGACCACTGGCGATACAAGTCACGTGATTCGTCTTTACATAGCTGTCGTCACACCACAAACTAAAAAAAAAAGAAATTTGAAAAATAAGTACATCAATATTGTTTTTCATAAGTCTGTTTTTCAATATTAGCTATCTAAATATCGAGCTGTATAGACGAACCATCTAAAAACACCTATAACAAATGACAATATGATGAGTGATGCAAATAACATTCACTTTAGTACTTAGGCTATACATGTTTCATGATGTATTTTTGCAAAATTTTACCTTAGAAAAATCTGGCACAATATAAGCATATCCACAATAAAGTTGATAGTGAAATAATTCAATACTAAATTGTATCACTAGATCTTTTATAAATATAATTATATTTAGAGACAGAGGTCCATGCGACTGACTTCTGACAAGACCGAACAATTTGAGTTAAATTATTTTAATTAATTGATGCCAATATTATCCCTCAACAGTCGCGATAGCCTTTAAAGAATTTTAATTGATCATTACCTAGCATCGTAATGCCTGATCTAAATTTAGAGGGGTTGGTGGAATGGGCAAGCAAGTTCGGTCTAGTTTAAATGTCGTATCTTTGGAGCAATCTCGAATCTTGTATATTGTATAATTGGTGGCTTTGGTTGCAGGGTATTTTACTGGCCACAACAAGAGATAACCTCTACAGACTCCGGGAGATTTAGGTGGCTGTAATAACATGGACGTAGGAAACATCGTTATCAGGCAATCCAGGCTTTCATCAGTGTCGTATTTGAGAGAATGTTTCAGATTAACACGTAATACTTAATTGTGTTGGGGGAAATACCGTCCAACATTACAATAGAGAACGAAGAAGAAGAAAAAAAAAATGAACACATTAACAATTGACAGCAGATTGATGTATCGTTTACTTCATGTTAACACATTTTACAGCTGGTTTATGTACATTAAAAACATTTTTCACTATAAAATCTCTTCGGATTTACCTTGATGAAAAGCACAAACCTTTCCCGACATTGGAGAGAGGTGAGGGGGGAGGGAGGAGTTTTTTTTTGCTACTTAATACTGACCATGAAAACTTCTGCCATACATTAATTTATTCTACAGCAATATGTGGGGGTATATGTCAATCAGTCTGTAAACCTTTGTATGTGCCCACATTCTAAACTTGGACCAGTATAAATCACACAGCTCGGGTTTTAAATTTTGCCTGCTCCAATATTAAAGTCAAGTCCCACTACCCTGTCACAAGATTTATCGTATCAACAGATTCGAGTCGCACAACAAAGGGTATGTGTAACAGTTGGGTTGTGCCCTACCTCCCTTGCAATAAATCGTCACGCTGTTCCTTATCAAAACATCACGTGTGTAATAATTACATCCTGATATCACGCGTGATATAATTACATCCTGATTCAAACTCTTTAGATCTTCTTAAAATGTTTTTTTCCGCGAAAACAATGGGCACTTGAAATTTTCGGGGGAGGGTGGGCGGTAGACTTTCTTCGAAAGAGATGCTTGGAAGAATCTGTGATCTCAAATACATCCATTAGATTTTCCATTGAAATATTGTATTGTGTGTGTGTGGGGGGGGGGGGGGAGAATGAAGCGGAATTAAATATTATTTCATTCGAAAAATAGGCCCTATCTCATACTGTGAAACATAAGACGTATTTCCTGAAGCATTTCAAAACAAAAACCTTATTTCTGTACTACAATAGTCCCGGTATTCCCTCCCCTTTATCCTTGTGTAACGACTGCAAGCGTGCTATTATCTCCCCTTCACACGGTTGTCGTTACTGCAAGCGTGCTATTATCTCCCCTTCACACGGTTGTCGTTACTGCAAGCGTGCTATTATCTCCCCTTCACACGGTTGTCGTTACTGCAAGCGTGCTATTATCTCCCCTTCACATGGTTGTCGTTACTGCAAGCGTGCTATTATCTCCCCTTCACACGGTTGTCGTTACTGCAAGCGTGCTATTATCTCCCCTTCACACGGTTGTCGTTACTATCTACCTGACGTTGATCTGTCAGGTAAGTAGGTCATTATCTAACTCCGGCTTGCCAATCCCATATTATTATTGTTTATTATTAGCTTCCACAGCTGTAGTCTAGTTCCACAACGTCATAGCTGTAGTCTAGAGAGTTAGGGAAATCAGATCTTCATAGCCAGACAGGCTGTCAGTACCACAATCAGGTCACGTCAATCAGATCTTTTATCTGGCCACACTAATGTGACAGGTGACATATTGTATTCATGCACCGAGTCATTATGGTAGGCCTTGGTTTTAAGTCAGGACCTAACAATACACCGAGTCACTGTGGTAGGCCTTGGTTTAAAGTCAGGTCCTAACAATATAGGGGGGGGTCTATCTTGTCAGGACCTAACAATACATCTATGGGACCAGGGGCGGCACTCTTGTCAGCACAAGTTGGAGCATCTCACCCTAGTGTTTAGAACACCATAAGACGTACTCACTCTACAAGGGGTCATGCAAGTTTATAATAACATGAAGAATGTGCGGTGTATCATTTTGCTCTGCTGTGTAACATGTATACTAGTAAAAACGAAATGACATTCTATTTAACAAACTCAAGGCGATCTGACACCCTAGCTACTTGTAAAAGACCTGAAGTCTAGCGATATAAAGTCACCAACTGTCCGTAAAAAACAATGTCCATCCATTCCCGGAAGTCTTGCGATCTGAAAACACTCACCATATGTCCAAATTTAAAAAAAAAAGCTAACCCAATTTAAAACCAAAGAGATGACTTATGTGACCCTTGACCTTTACCTTTTCTCATTAGCATGTTGCCAACTCATCAACGTTAAGCACACAATCCGAAGTTAACGGTTCACTAACGGCCGAAGCTCTAACGGGCTTTTTACCCCCAACTCCCCCCCTCCCCCCCCCCCCCCCCCACACACAATGTCATCTTACTATCATCAGATCAGAATCTTATTCTGTCATTAGAGTTAAGTTAAATTAATCTATAGTTTAATTAACCAAAATTTTTACCATTCGTGTCGGTTTCGACACATTGTTCAGAACAGGTAGTGGCCTACTGTCAATACAATAATGAGTTTTAGAAATTCGAGGTAGTTTTAAGAAGAAAAACAATTAAGAAAATCCATGCTAATTTACAATTCTAAGAAAACCCTTATGAAACTCTTATGTTATATTCCCACATTCAAACCACTGAAATAATTGATAGCGTCTAATTAATAAGGAGAAAACTTAACACTTATTACCACAACAACCAATTAAAGTTATAAGTGGGGATTTGACCTAAAGTTTGACTGTGTAAATGAGTGTTAGAATCTCGAGTGCAAGTATTAAGTTGTCAACCTCGTGTTTTGACTGTGTAAATGAGTGTTAGAATCTCGAGTGCAAGTATTAAGTTGTCAATCTCGTGTTTTGACTGTGTAAATGAGTGTTAGAATCTCGAGTGCAAGTATTAAGTTGTCAATCTCGTGTTTTGACTGTGTAAATGAGTGTTAGAATCTCGAGTGCAAGTATTAAGTTGTCAATCTCGTGTTTTGACTGTGTAAATGAGTGTTAGAATCTCGAGTGCAAGTATTAAGTTGTCAATCTCGTGTTTTGACTGTGTAAATGAGTGTTAGAATCTCGAGTGCAAGTATTAAGTTGTCAATCTCGTGTTTTGACTGTGTAAATGAGTGTTAGAATCTCGAGTGCAAGTATTAAGTTGTCAATCTCGTGTTTTGACTGTGTAAATGAGTGTTAGAATCTCGAGTGCAAGTATTAAGTTGTCAATCTCGTGTAAGCCGTGAGGACGGCGATGTGTTACCTTTCCATAAGCCTGTATGCCTGTGTTCCCATTAACCTAGATATGTTCATACAATCAAATCATAGACCTGCGTAAGCCTTCAACTGAATCACATATGCGTGTTGACAACGTGAAGTTCTACGCACCAAATATCAAACACGTTTAACAGGACTGGGTCATGATTTAGTCATTGCTAAGTTTGCTAAAATAATCACGACAATATTCTTATATTTACATTGTCGATACCTCAAAATACAAACCCTAAAGCTAACCTTGGGTTGTAGTCTTGTATCAATAACCTCAAAACTAATTTATAAATCTAATCAATAAAAAAGGCTACTTACCACCAGTACAAATAGCTAAACCAACAGGGGAAGTATAGCCGTATTTCCTAAACTATCTTAACCCTAACGTTCGAAATCTAACTCTACCACTAACCACAACACAACGTAAAGACAAACACAAAACATCGATCTTCCTGTAACACCCTACCCACAAGAAAGCAAATCGTGACTAGAGTTGGGGAAATGTTTCAACATCGTGAGTATCATCAGCTCTGCCATCTCATCCATAATACACCCATTGAGCCAAATCTAGCACAAAACATTCCAGTGTTTCCTAGCAGAGATTTACCCCCCCCCTCCCCTTCCCTAGAACTTCCAGCCTTGACCTTTTGTTACTCGCATCTGAGCTCCGGATAAAGCTTTGCATCGTTGTGGATACGTCAACTTATCTGGTGTATCAGTGCAGTCAAGTCAACTTATCTGGTGTATCAGTGCAGTCAAGTCAAATTATCTGGTGCATCAGTGCAGTCAAGTCAACTTATATGGTGCATCAGTGCAGTCAAGTCAAATTATCTGGTGCATCAGTGCAGTCAACTTATCCAGTTTATCAGTGCAGTCAAGTCAACTTATCCGGTGCATCAGTGCAGTCAAGTCAACTTACCCGGCGCATCAGTGCAGTCAAGTCAACTTATCTGGTGCATCAGTGCAGTCAACTTATCCAGTTTATCAGTGCAGTCAAGTCAACTTATCCGGTGCATCAGTGCAGTCAAGTCAAATTATCTGGTGCATCAGTGCAGTCAAGTCAAATTATCTGGTGCATCAATTCGGTCAAGTCAAATTATCCGGTGCATCAATGCAGTCAACTTATCCGGTGCATCAGTGCAGTCAAGTCAAATTATCTGGTGCATCAATTCGGTCAAGTCAAATTATCCGGTGCATCAATGCAGTCAACTTATCCGGTGCATCAGTGCAGTCAAGTCAAATTATCTGGTGCATCAATTCGGTCAAGTCAAATTATCCGGTGAATCAATGCAGTCAACTTATCCGGTGCATCAGTGCAGTCAAGTCAACTTATCCGTTGCATCAATTCGGTCAAGTCAAATTATCCGGTGCATCAATGCAGTCAACTTATCCGGTGCATCAATGCAGTCAACTTATCCGGTGCAGCAATGCAGTCAAGTCAACTTATCCATTGCATCAATTCGGTCAAGTCAACTTATCCGTTGCATCAATTCGGTCAAGTCAACTTATACGGTTCATCAATGCAGTCAACTTATCCGGTGCAGCAATGCAGTCAAGTCAACTTATCCATTGCATCAATTCGGTCAAGTCAACTTATCCAGTGCACCAATGCAGTCAAGTCAACTTATGCGGTTCATCAATGCAATCAACTTATACGGTGCATCGATGCTCTTATTTCCACTTTACAGAACACCGATCTCTCTCTATATATATATCTTATTTTATCAACACAAAACGCCGATCTTATATACATCAATACATCTATCTTCTATACATATACCTATCTTGTAAACAATCTTGAATGAAAGCTTAGTACATGATGTGGCCTCCATTAAGAACTCACCCTACACTTCTAAAAAGGGTGTATTTCTTAACCGCGTCTACCCCCCCCCCCCCCATATATATATATATATATATATATATATATATATATATATATATACTAATATTATTCTCATACACATAATTAATTAATTAAATATGAACGTGTAAACAGCATAGGGTCACCTGTGTCTATGTCTCGTCTATGTGGGTCAACTATGGTCTATTTGTATTGTCTCGGGTCAACTTGGGTCAACTATGGTCTATTAGTATTGTCTCGGGTCAACTTGGGTCAACTCTGGTCTATTTGTATTGTCTTGGGTCAACTTGGGTCAACTCTGATCTATTTGTATAGTCTCTGCTCAACTCTGGACTATTGGTATTGTCTGGGGTCAACTTGGTTCAACTTGAAACAGGCTCGTGAGTTACATGTACGCTAAAATCTCAACCTAATTACAGCTCGAATACGCGACAATCGATACTAGCCGGTCAGCTAATCGATACAACTGTGAACAATACGTGGCTCGCCGACTACCGACTAAACCTACCTATACGATACAACGCCTGTAATACAATTTCAATTATAGCTAATATCACAATTCTACATGGACGATAACTATTTACAAATATTCACAATATACTTAACAGTTTCCTACACGTAGAAATAATATTCGAAAAAAGTTTAACAAAGAAATCGTTTTTGCAAACGTAATTATTACTAGGTCCAGGTCTAATAATTATGTATTCAAATATGTACAAAAACAAACACAGATCATATAATTAAACACAAAATTGAAACATGTTTTAAAACTTAGAAATAGTCTACCTTCAATTAGCTTCAACATTAAATCCATAAGATATTTCCATAACACGGTGAACACATTCCAGTTTAATGTCGTCTGTTTATAAACTCGAGTTTATGCTTGGCTAAACAACGCGTTTTTTTTTTTTAATGTTACGCTCGGCGTCTGCTAGATCTAAAAACATTACGTACAAAGCCAATCCAAGAATTAAGCGCGGCTATTTTTAAACGTGATCTCATTGGTTGACATTAGGCCGTGATTAGGGCAGTGTGACTAAACCGTCTGAATGAGGAGTGTCAATCACTGCAGCAGACTTCAGTTAAAACAACCAGACGAACTAGATCTAGATCCAGATCCAGATGTCTAAATCCCAGGGAGGTCCCACATCGGTACATGCGTGTCTCGATGTGGAAATGCGACACTCTATAGTTAGGAATGTAAGCGTTGTCGAAAAGAAAAAAAAACATCGTTGAGTGCGCCATGTAAATTATTGTAAACAAACATACACCATCACGAAACCAATGCAGACAATTGGCTGTCGTGATGTTTTACAACAATAAAACCCATCTAACTGGTTTATCGTGTTTAAAAGAATTGATTTTACATTTTGTTTTGTCATCAAGTCTTGCATTTCTTGAGCAAGATTAATGTGGTTTGATTTTTTTTTAAAGGAATGTGGAAAGGTGTGTTGTTTTAATTATTTATTTTTTTTAAAGTTATGTGGTTTGAAATACAATTTTAAAGGAGTGTAGTTTGAAAAAATGTGGTTTAAAAAATTAAATGGGTTACATTTTACAACCTTTTTAAAATATGTCACACTATAACAGCGTATTCAATCTATACTGCAAAAGAAAACTAAGTGTGGTTTGAAAGTTAATATAACTCATAGTCCATCAGGCCGTATTAAGAGTTAGGCACTACGTTTTTAGCCACCATAATAATGTAAAGATCAGTAAATGGGGACTCCAGAAATGACATGGAATGTTCAGACGAAGGTAAAGGGAAGAGGGGAATCTTGTAATACGACGAAACCCAATAAAGAAACCCAATAAAACTATGATTTTTAAAAATTAATTATAGTTATTTTTGTGAAGGAAGGGCTCATTAAGATGGCGTGACCGTGTGTAATGATAAAAGGGTGAAAACAATAATTCACAAAAATAATTGCCGTAATAACGTGACATCATTTATGGGTTACACTTTACAACCTTTTTAAAATATGTCACACTATAACAACGTATTCAATCTATACTGCAAACTGAGGTTGGACACCCCCGCCCACTGAAATAGAAACGTCCATTATATTCCCACTGCGAGATAATACGACCCCCCCCCCCCCTCCACCGCTACATAACATCATCCACCAGACCTTCCATTACACACTACCGGGTATCTGAAGTGATTTATACCTTGCCTGCTTGTAAAACGATATAAACTTTGTATGGGCGGGGCTGTAATGAACTAAACTAGTTGAAATACGCTATAACTGTACTAAACTGGTCACAAAACCTAAAATATGCTAACTTTGGTTTATGTATAATAAAATATGCCAAGTGTCTGTAGCTTACGGATGAGGTTGTTGGGGGTGGGGTGAGGGGTTGTGGTGGTTACCCTACCCATAAGCTCAAGTATTATCAACTTCACTTGACGTTACAGTGACGGTGCTTCGATGTCTTTATCAATGTTAACCAAATCAAAATGTTAAATGTAAAAGCTTATAAAAACCGTCATACAATATTTATAAAGGCTGATTTGCTTTAGCCCTTAGATTTGACCGTAGGACTTAACTAAAAAAAAACACCAAACATCGATATTAATTTCTCCTACATTAAATTCATTAGTTCAACGGCAAGAAAACATATCTTATTTTAATTTTTTTTGTTTTCTGAACTTTGCAAATCACCGATTGTAAAAGTAAAAAAAAAAAAAGAAAAATTTGCCCAATGAGTGTTAACGCCCTAAAGCTACATTGATCTGGTTTACCATACCCCCTCCCCCCTCCACACACAACAACACATTGATTGTTTGATCCTTACACAACATGTTACATGTCCCTGTATTGTTTCACATCGTCACTACACAACATTGATCTTTAGTTCATTGTTTTACATCGTCACTACAGAACCTGTTCATTGTTTTACATCGTCACTATAGAACATGTTTATTGTTTTACATCGTCACTACAGAACCTGTTCATTGTTTTACATCGTCACTACAGAACATGTCCATTGATCTTTAGTTCATTGTAATACATCGTCACTACAGAACATGTTCATTGATCTTTAGTTCATTGTTTTACATCGTCACTACAGAACCTGTTTATTGAGCTTTAGTTTATTGTTTTACATCGTCACTACAGAACATGTTCATTGTTCTTTAGTTCATTGTTTCACATCGTCACTACAAAACCTGTTCATTGTTTTATATCGTCACTACAGAACATGTCCATTGATCTTTAGTTCATTGTTTTATATCGTCACTACAAAACCTGTTCATTTTTTTATATCGTCGCTACAAAACCTGTTCATTGTTTTATATCGTTACTACAAAACCTGTTCATTGTTTTATATCGTCACTACAAAACCTGTTCCTTGTTTTATATCGTCACTACAAAACCTGTTCATTGTTTTATATCGTCAATACAAAACCTGTTCATTGTTTTATATCGTCACTACAAAACATGTTCATTGTTTTATATCGTCACTACAAAACCTGTTCATTGTTTTATATCGTCACTACAAAACCTGTTCATTGTTTTATATCGTCACTACAAAACCTGTTCATTGTTTTATATCGTCACTACAAAACCTGTTCATTGTTTTATATCGTCACTACAAAACCTGTTCATTGTTTTATATCGTCACTACAAAACCTGTTCATTGTTTCACATCGCAACTACAGAACCTGTTCATTGTTCTTTAGTTCATTGTTTTACATCGCCACTACAGAACCTGTTCATTGTTTCACATCGTCACTACAGAACCTGTTCATTGTTTTACATCGCCACTACAGAACCTGTTCATTGTTTTACATCGCCACTACAGAACCTGTTCATTGTTTCACATCGCCACTACAGAACCTGTTCATTGTTTCACATCGTCACTACAGAACCTGTTCATTGTTTTACATCGCCACTACAGAACCTGTTCATTGTTTCACATCGTCACTACAGAACCTGTTCATTGTTTTACATCGCCACTACATAACCTGTTCATTGTTTTACATCGTCACTACAGAACCTGTTAATTCAGCATGAACTACGTTGTTTGCTACGGCGTGAGAATAAGCTACGTTAGTCTGACCTCTGGTGCAGCTTTGTGTGACGATGTGTGACAACAGAGTAGGACTGGGTGGTACAATCGTCTAAAATCGCGTGACATCCCATAATGATGACCAACGTTCCCTCTAAAGGGAAAAAGCTAGTCTGCAACGTATGTTTTCGGTTCCAAAAGTCTTATACAAGGATAGCCTATATGTATTTATGTTGTTTTTTTTTATCAAAATAACTGCGCGGCAGTTCAATACCACTGCGCGGCCGCTCAACCGCGCAGCTTAGAGGGAACATTGGTGGGGACCCCTGAAGAAAGGATGTATGCATCCTGCGGTGTTTGGTCTATTGTTGTTGCCCATACACTACCCCCCCCCTCCCTCCTCTCACCCACGTCTTTTTGAATAGACTGAATATTTGACTGCCATTAAACTCTAAATTACGTCACAGAAACACCAAAGAAAATTGTTTTAAAAATGTCGTCAAATAACTTGTTGATGATGTCGACGAAAGAAAACATTCATACGAGCACCCACTCTGTAAAGCCGGTAGTTCATACACAGTCATACTTCATGTCATAAATCAGCTCGAATATTTTATGACATGAAAAATCTGCTTACATTAAAATAGGCTATTCACCGCTGATCCGCCTAACTTTATTTAAACACCCAAGGAGTGGTCTAAATACCCGAATATATCATTAGTTGGCAACATGCGCCATGGGCTCCCGATGCTCATCTTCAAGTGACTAAATGCAACTCGTTTCACTAGATTATGTCGGGCAAATAATTAGTATAATTCGTCAATAATGTGTTCATAGTGTGCTTTAAACAATTGACATTTAATTTAAAATGCACTTTCAACATTTTTACATTAATTTGTATGTAGTTTCTACAGTTTGACATTAGCGTGTGTCTATTTCTACAATGTCATACAAGAGTGCTACAATTTAACAAACTCGTCACTCCAACAACAAAATGTTTGACGACTTCTGACCTTAGTTTATCGACAACACCAAGGTTATCACTCAACTCTAATTAAACAAGATGGCGCCAAGCAACCAGGAAGTAGCCGAGGTCAGGGGTCATGGTGGCATTCTTCGTGCCGCAAGAATAGAGCAAGGATTCTATACAATTTCCTTTAACTTTTGATCTGCCCTTTGCCCCCCCCCCCCCCCCCATTGTTACGGGAACTTGTCCCAAAATTGCTGCAAGTCGCTACGATCAGAAAATGTTTCTTGCTGTAAGTCGCTACGATAAGAATTTATCTTGCTGTAAGTCGCTACGATAAGAATTTATCTTGCTGTAAGTCGCTACGATAAGAATTTATCTTGCTGTAAATTCTGAGAAAAGGAAAAAAGAACAGAGAACAGCCCGTCTAGCCTTTATCTCACAATATGTGAATGTGTCTCATAAAGCATTACAATAGACCGTTCTAGCTGTCAGTTGGGGCGGGTGGGTTAAATTCTTGATTTGATTTAATGGTCAATATGTGCAAGTGCTTTATACCTTAAATCGTTGTTTTAAGTAAATGAACGTTAACGTTAACCAAAACTAACTCAAATTGTAAAAAAAAAATTCTCTAATTGCAACTATCTCCATTTGTTCTAAAACATTCTCAAACTGTAAAAAAATATCTCAAATTGTTATCTAAAGTAGCAAAAAAAAATTACCACACCGGGTAACCTCATCTAAGGCGGTTATATAAAAATATCTAATTAGAATGAGAGAGTCAGCTTGATCTTGTTTTAAATTTATATACATTATTAATTACAAGGTGACATCAGGGATGAGGGTGACACCAAATTCGCTATAGTTTTCGTACATCAAGTGTCTGAGACCCTGGTTTATCGGACCGGGTGTCACCCAAACCCCGCCGTGTGTAACGTCAAAATTCCCCCCCCCCCCCCCGCCACAAACACACCGTCACGAAAAATGGCTAAACCCGTGTGACGTCATTTACTTATTACCCCTATTATGTAACTACCTGAAAGAAAAAAATACCTGAACATATAACATACACGAGCTGTCATATAAAACGTACCTTTTTCAAGACACAGCTGATATCCCATCAGCAACACAAACATTTCTCATGCCGTCTGCTAGAACTGTCACAGATCTGAAACAGGAAACAGTTTTAGTTCCGTGACCCAGTATCCAAACAAAACAGACTTATCTCCCTGTAAAATAAAACTTGTTATTTGACTCGCGGTGTTTAAGTGCTACTTGACTTTGACTATGTGACGTAGGTGCACGAGCTGCCCTATCAGGACACCAATCACACGTGGCGTCCTCATACCACTCCACTGGGAAATGGGCACTAAATATAAAGGAGGCATAATTTGGAATTTATATAGAAAATATATATACTTTTCAAGAGCCCCCTTTCGGAGAAGAAACATATACTTTTACCCGTGTCCGCCCTCCCCACCCCCGGGAAAATTTAGTGGTAAAAGCAGAGGCGTAGCAACCCTTCCCGGCGCCCGGGGACAAACTTACTTTTGATTTGCACCCCCCCCTCAAACTTTCGATTTGCACCCCCCCCCCCTTCGAACTTTTCGTTTGCACACCCCCCTCAAACTTTCAATTTATTTTTCCAACCCATTTTGGCGCCCCCCCCTAAGGTCGGCGCCCGGGGGACATATGTCCCCCCCGCCCCCCTCGCTACGCCTCTGGGTAAAAGTATGTGTTTTCTATATAAATTCCATTTCGTCCGGGAATACCCCTCCCCCGAAGAAGAAACTCTGAGCGTCAGTTACCTATTAAGTACGTTTTTCCCTGCATCGATCAGCACTCCACGTGCAAGCGAGTTTATTAAGTCGAGATCTATGTTTACCTATTTATGGGCGAGTTTATTAAGTCGAGATCTATGTTTACCTATTTATGGGCGAGTTTATTAAGTCGAGATCTATGTTTACCTATTTATGGGCGAGTTTATTAAGTCGAGATCTATGTTTACCTATTTATGGGCGAGTTTATTAAGTCGAGATCTATGTTTACCTATTTATGGGCGAGTTTATTAAGTCGAGATCTATGTTTACCTATTTATGGGCGAGTTTATTAAGTCGAGATCTATGTTTACCTATTTATGGGCGAGTTTATTAAGTCGAGATCTATGTTTACCTATTTATGGGCGAGTTTATTAAGTCGAGATCTATGTTTACCTATTTATGGGCGAGTTTATTAAGTCGAGATCTATGTTTACCTATTTATGAAATAAAACATTGAAAACTTTCTCATTGTGGGATGAAATAAAATCCGCCCACGGCGTCTTCAGTAAAAGAAGGAAGGTCAAAGGTCAAAGGTAAAAGAAACAAGGCTAACCTTCAGACCGTGGATCCAGTTAATCAATGCACTCATTAAACTTTAAACCGATGCTTAAACCGGCAATGACGTAAACTATCCACAAGCAGAGAAGGACCAGTTTCTGGCCCACAAGTCCTAGACCAGACGAGCATAACTACAAATTAAACCTAAACATATCTGCTACTAACGCATGCTTGCGTGCTCCTAAAAATTAAGAATGAATAACTAAAAGTATACACCCACCATAACATTACAATCTTTTGTAAGACTATTTTAGGCAACTTACACAATTCAAATTATTTTTCTAAAGCAATACAGTCCAGTCTATGTTCGCTGTCTATACACAGCTGTTTTGTTATTTCCTTTCAAGTTTATAACACATCCTTTCCTTCAATACACATCCTTTCCTTCAATACACATCCTTTCCGCTTCTAGTCTACACACGTAACACTACTTATAGAACGAGCTGAGCCGTGTGCTACACGTGCGGGCTGTATAGCCTACCTCTGTGAGCGATAGGGCCTACCACTCTAGCCTATGTTACACTGTGAGCGCTAGGGCCTACCACTCTAGCCTATGTTACACTGTGATAGGGCCTACCACTCTAGCCTATGTTACACTGTGAGCGCTAGGGCCTACCACTCTATAGTCTATGTTACACTGTGATAGGGCCTACCACTCTAGCCTATGTTACACTGTGAGCGCTAGGGCCTACCACTCTAGCCTATGTTACACTATGAGCGAAAGGACCTACCTGCCCCTACACGCTGATTGTCTCACCTAAAGCAGCACCTGGCACCGCTCTCACTGGGTGACCTCGATGCCAGAGTGTCAGGTACACACTAGCACCAGCTGGGCTACACGTCACTTAACACACCTGGTGTAGGAAACCTGCAAGCGAGCTGCTCAAACCAGAAGAAAACTGATCCGACTCTAATTAAATGGTTCACTAATTAACCCAACTTTCTCTGATTGCCAACTAATCAGGACTAGTTTTATCAATGCCTATATTGTGGCTCCTCAGAGTTTCTTCCCCTGTAAATATGGCTAAGCCAGATATAGAAATAACCAGAGTTTCTTCCCTTCCAGGCATCTCTTCAAGGAAGGGGCTCCTCGTAGAAAGTCTACCGCCACACCCCCCCCCCCCCCGAAATTTTTATTGAAAATATACTTTCCAACAGTGTCAGCGCCCCCCCCCCCCCTAGGAGAAAAAAGTCTAGAAGAAACACTGGGCATACCTAGAACTGTCGTTTTGAAACCCAGGTATATGACCATACTTACTTATTACATTTGTACCTACATTTTAAATAGGCAATCTATACAACACAAACTACCCTCAAGAGGTCGTCCTGTCCTTTTGATGAGGTGGCAATTTTTCTCAACATTTACACATCCATTCAAATAGGTTATCTTTCCTAGAAAACAACATCACACACTCACTATCAACAGGAGCAGAGTGTTATTTATTCAGGATATTTTACAATAAAAACTTGTGGATACTAGGCCTCAAAGTCTTCAGAAGCACAAATGAAAAACAAAGAGGAAACAAAAAGTGTTAACAATTCTGTACAGTTGCTTCCCATAGTCAGAGCATGACTTTTAATACATGATATTGTGTATGTAACAGTGTAGTGTTGTATTGGTCAGATTTATATTTCTATACATGATATAGTGTATGGTCAGATTTATATTTCTATACATGATATAGTGTATGTAAAAGGGCAGGGCTGTAATGGTTCAAATTTCTTAAACAATGCATATTTATTGGTCTATCACAGTCTAGTATTTTTTGGTAGCTGAGATTCAAGATCAACAAAGTAGAGCAGTATAGATGACAAGATCAACAAAGTAGAGCAGTATAGATGACAAGATCGACAAAGTAGAGCAGTAAAGATGACAAGATCAACAAAGTAGAGCAGTATAGATGACAAGATCAACAAAGTAGAGCAGTATCGATGACAAGATCAACAAAGTAGAGCAGTAAAGATGACAAGATCAACAAAGTAGAGCAGTAAAGATGACAAGATCAACAAAGTAGAACAGTACAGATGACAAGATGAACAAAGTAGAACAGTATAGATGACAAGATCAACAAAGTATAGAAGTATAGATGACAAGATCAACAAAGTAGAGCAGTAAAGATGACAAGATCAACAAAGTAGAGCAGTAAAGATGACAAGATCAACAAAGTATAGCAGTATAGATGACAAGATGAACAAAGTAGAACAGTATAGATGACAAGATCAACAAAGTATAGAAGTATAGATGACAAGATCAACAAAATATAGCAGTATAGATGACAAGATGAACAAAGTAGAGCAGTATAGATGACAAGATCAACAAAGTAGAGCAGTATAGATGACAAGATCAACAAAGTAGAGCAGTATAGATGACAAGATGAACAAAGTAGAACAGTATAGGAGAACCAAGAGAGATATCCTAAACAGTATCCCACACACACATCCCCTGGTATCACATCAAATGCTACAGATGAGTATTTTCTACTGTTCAAACATTCTTGAGGTCAAATTAAAAAGTGTCAGAATCAATAAACAAAACCATCAGTGAGGAAATAATCCAACAAGATGACATGAAGCTGCATTACAAATAACATCAGTCCACACTCAATACAAGCATTAGTGCAAGTAAATAAATCTAACATTAGAGAAATTAATTTTTTTTTACAAACCATAGTAGCAGGATATATTATATTTCATCTAATACAATGAATAATGTTTAATAAAACATCTTTTCTTTTTTTTTTTCTTTTTACATATTTATATCACAAAACCTACAAATAATGAATTATTTATTTTTTTAAATATATTTTTTAACACAGTTGGGCCCACACATCAGCTAGCCTGTGTCCACACATTAGCTAGCCTGTGCCCACACACCAGCTAGCCTGTGTCCACACACCAGCTAGCCTGTGCCCACACATCAGCTAGCCTATGCCCACACACCAGCTAGCCTGTGCCCACACATCAGCTAGCCTATGCCCACACACCAGCTAGCCTGTGCCCACACATCAGCTAGCCTATGCCCACACACCAGCTAGCCTGTGTCCACACACCAGCTAGCCTGTGTCCACACACCAGCTAGCCTGTGTCCACACATCAGCTAGCCTGTGTCCACACACCAGCTAGCCTGTGTCCACACATCAGCTAGCCTGTGTACACACATCAGCTAGCACACGTGTGTGAGTACATGAGAGAGCTAGACAGGTTCACTTGCTAGACTGCATAGATTCAGACTCCTGGTACCGCTCCTGTTTTTTCCTGATCATTTCATCCACTCTAGCTAGCAAGAACTGCTTGTCAAATGCCTCCTAAAATGATGCAAATAATACTTTAGTCCAATAAACAAACACACTAGTCAACATTTTAAAAATGATGCAAATAATACTTTAGTCCAAAAACAAACACACTAGTCAACATTTTAAAATGATGCATGGAATACTTTAGTCCAATAAACAAACACACTAGTCAAAATTTTAAAATGATGCAAGGAATACTTTAGTCCAATAAACAAACACACTAGTCAACATTTTAAAATGATGCAAAGAATACTTTAGTCCAATAAATAAACAAAGTCAACATTTTAAATAAACAATAAGGCATAAAACAAATGGAGGTAAGATTGAATCAATTTCAGTGTTATCCATGCATAACCACAAAGTTAAAGATGCTTAATTTTAAATGGTCATCTATTGTATGCAAAGAACCCCTTCCCATTATTATTTCACATTAACGGATGATCCTTTACTTCAAGCAGACAATTCTAACAAGAACAACTGTGATATGAAGAAAAAACAATTCTAACAAGAACAACTGTGATATGAAGAAAAACCAATTCTAACAAGAACGACTGTGATATGAAGAAAAAACAATTCTAACAAGAACAACTGTGATATGAAGAAAAAACAATTCTAACAAGAACAACTGTGATATGAAGAAAAAAACAATTCTAACAAGAACAACTGTGATATGAAGAAAAAACAATTCTAACAAAAACAACTGTGATATGAAGAAAAAACAATTCTAACAAGAACGACTGTGATATGAAGAAAAAACAATTGTAACAAGAACAACTGTGATATGAAGAAAAAACAATTCTAACAAGAACGACTGTGATATGAAGAAAAAACAATTCTAACAAGAACAACTGTGATATGAAGAAAAAACAATTCTAACAAGAACAACTGTGATATGAAGAAAAAACAATTCTAACAAGAACGACTGTGATATGAAGAAAAAACAATTGTAACAAGAACAACTGTGATATGAAGAAAAAACCTACAGATCTGAGCTGATCCTTGAGGAGTTCTTCCATCTTTTTATAGCCTGCTGTCATGGCCATGTAGTAGTAGATAGCGAGTCTTAGGAGAAACAAACAGGTTGCTTACAGATTACAATCAAAAATGTTGCTTACAGATTACAATCAACAGACAGGTTGCTTACAGATTACAATCAACAGACAGGTTGCTTACAGATTACAATCAAACAAACAGGTTGCTTACAGATTACAATCAACAGGTTGCTTACAGATTACAATCAACAAACAGGTTGCTTACAGATTACAATCAACAAACATGTTGCTTACAGATTACAATCAACAAACATGTTGCTTACATATTACAATCAACATGTTGCTTACAGATTACAATCAACAAACATGTTGCTTACATATTACAATCAACAAACATGTTGCTTTCAGATTACAATCAACAAACAGGTTGCTTACAGATTACAATCAACAAACAGGTTGCTTACAGATTACAATCAACATGTTGCTTACAGATTACAATCAACAAACATGTTGCTTACAGATTACAATCAACAAACATGTTGCTTAGAGATTACAATCAACAAACATGTTGCTTTCAGATTACAATCAACAGACAGGTTGCTTACAACATACAATCAACAGACAGGTTGCTTACAACATACAATCAACAAACAAACATGCATACATGACATCAACCATATCTCTGTAAAATTCAAGGCAGTCTTCTAGGATGATGGTGATAATGAAATCTGCTACAGAACAATAACAGAATCCAGCATACTTACAGAACAATAACAGAATCCAGCATACTTACAGAACAATAACAGAATCCAGCATACTTACAGAACAATAACAGAATCCAGCATACTTACAGAACAATAACAGAATCCAGCATACTTACAGAACAATAACAGAATCCAGCATACTTACAGAACAATAACAGAATCCAGCATACTTACAGAACAATAATAAAAGCAGGAATAAAGAATCCAACCGTCCCAAAGTAGGTGACAATGCCTTTAGGTAGGTCAGGCCAGGAGTTGATCTCGTTGGTGATGACATCAAACATGACGAATTGCTCACAAGAATACATCTTAAAAGGACCGCAACTCTTGGAAGGCTGTAGACTGAAAGCAAGAAATAGACTTATCTCCCTCTCTAGATAATATACAAGAATTTTAATGTGATAGTCACTTGGTAAACCTTAAGTAAAAAGAGTAGTTTCTAATTTCAACTAGACGGGTCGATTTTTTAAAAAATTAACAAAACACAAAGTACATAATAATATAAACAAAGCACCTATATTTGCAGCAATTTTTTAGGATAAAACTTACTTGCTAATCATGTATCCTAACAAACATGAAATTGTTATAAAAGACACCAGTAGAACAGACTGGAAAAATGAATATGATCGTGAGGCTCGGTAAGCTATTTTAGGAGTTTCTGTTACATTGAGAAGCTCAAACTGTAGAAAGACAAAAAAAATTGAGTGAGTTCAAACAACTTTCATTGGGTAAGTCTACTGCATGTTAGCCTATGTTATCTAGGGTATCACTAAACTAGTCTAGACAAACTTTCTTATTAAGTCTACAGCATTAGGTGCTAAGCTATCTATGGTATCACTAAAATAGTCTAGACAAACCTTCATATTAAGTCTACAGCATTAGGTGCTAAGTTATCTATGGCATCATTAAAATAGTCTAGACAAACCTTTTTTAAAAAGAAGAAAAAAAATACTTTGAGGAATGTTAGGGCAGGAAGTATTGGTGTGAAGAACATCCCCATCCTGAAATAACAAAAACAATGTTGGCTACATTCAAACAAGGCTACAAAAGTGAGCCTGTCTAGGTTTTAGTCAATGTAAATAAATAGCCCAGTCCCATAGTTAACAGAACAGCACTTGTCTCAACAGCTTGACACTAGTCTGGTAAATATACTTGGAATCTGGTAATATATACAGATCAAGCTAAAAAAATTTAATGGAGCATCCATAAAATGGTTTCTTGCTACTTTAGCCAATGATTAAATGGGGTCACAATGGGAAACAAAGCTATTGCAGGATCAAGAAAACAGGTGAACTCTACTTCATCTATTTTACTGGGTAATTTTGACAAAAAGATTAGCAATATAACAAGAGAATGTAAAACTAGAATGTTGGCCATTTAGTACTCACCAGCAGACAGACTGAGAGTATACAATATCCAGCTAGAATGTTGGCCATTTTGTACTCACCAGCAGACAGACTGGGAGTATACAATATCCAGCTAGAATGTTGGCCATTTTGTACTCACCAGCAGACAGACTGGGAGTATACAATATCCAGCTAGAATGTTGGCCATTTTGTACTCACCAGCAGACAGACTGGGAGTATACAATATCCAGCTAGAATGTTGGCCATTTTGTACTCACCAGCAGACAGACTGAGAGTATACAATATCCAGCACCTGAAGAGGTAGGTCAAACTTGGCTCTGCCCAGCTTCTGTACTATCCATACTTTGTTGTGTAAATTGTGGTGGATTATCCTGAAAACATGTGTAAATTGTGGTGGATTATTCTGAAAACATGTGTAAATTGTGGGGGATTATCCTGAAAATGTGTAAATTGTGCAGGATTATCCTGAAAACTTGTTAATTGTGGTGGATAATCCTGAAAACATGTTCAAATGATGGGGAATTATACCTAAATCTGGTGGATTATCTTGGTTTAAAACATATAGTTATTATTTAATTTTCTATAAACTGCACTTTATTAAATAAGTAATATAAAAAAATAAGTAATATAAACACTATTATTAAATTAAAAAAAATTAAACTAATTTAAGCCTTTATTATTCTAAACCTGTATAAAAACTGAGGTGTATAAAAATCAGAGATAAACCAAACACAGCTGTTACCTGCGAGGTATTTTGATAACAAAAACAATCATTGTGACTGATATAAAATCTGTGATGCATAGTTTGTAAAACTGTTGACCAACATAGCTTTCCCAGCACTGAAAGTAAATGTTACATTCATCCAATACAGTTCAAAGTTGACCTGTCTTACTTTATAGTACAGGTGTGTAAAAGCTTACAGAGAAACAACATAAGGTATGTGGCTGACAGAAAAAAAGCCATACGGTGTGCGGCTAATAGAGAAAAGCCATCATGTGTGTACAGAAAAAGCCATTGGGTGTGTGGCTGACAGAAAAAAGCCATCAAGTGCGCATCTATTAGAGAAAAGCCATGAAGTGCATATGACTCACTGGCACCATGCCTCGCTCCTGTTTGTCATTTTCCCAGGCTGACTCCCACAGTGTGTTGCCACAGCACCGTGTAACGTTCACCTTGTTTTCCTGTGGACAGTCATAAGGCTTTCTTGCTTTTTGCTGGAGACGATAGTACACTGATGTTATGAGTACCCAAACGCTAGACAGCCGCAGAAATACTGCTCTGAATTGAAATGGGTTAAGTTTATTTTTACATGTCTATGCAAGTTATACATTCAATAAAAAAACAAGAATGTTTGTCAAACACAATCAAATTTTAATAGCTGAATGTCTTTTAAAGTTTAATTTTAAATGTCATGCAGGTTATTTAATCAAATTTAAAGCAAGAATAAAATTTAAATCTCAAAGAATATATTTTTAAAAACTAACAGTCTTTTAACTATTGTAATATTTTCATGTAGAGTTATCAACCTTTATTAAAGGGGCATAACTGCTGTTGATCTTACCGTACTATTGTTATATGGGTGGCAAAACTGTGTGAATACTCCTCAACAGCAGAGAGTGCCAGGAATATTTCAGGAACAGCAACATTGAGGAAGGATATGACTATGGACGGCAGGTAATTCAACAGGAGGTACAAGATATCACTCAAATGTTCATTTTGTTTCTGGAAAGAAAATAATGTTCAATTTCTCATCAATAATGCTAAAAACAAACTTCTGCATGCAGATCATCAAAATAAAAAATCTACTTGTTAATAAAACTGTGTTATTTAAAACAGGGCCTGGCTACAGACCCGCAGCAAGAAGTCTGTAGTGATGTAAATGGTGTAGAATGATCCAGCAAGTAACACCAGGACCAGAATATTGATCACAGTTCTCTTCACTATAAGCCGAGTTTTCTCTTGTCTTGACCGGCCTTCTCGTTTCTTTCTTGAGGCAAACTCTTGAATTGTTGTCTGAAATTCAGTAAAATGTTATTTATTGACTTATCTTTCCTTAAGGTGTCATATATGATGTCCACATAAAAGGTGTGAGAGTATGTAGATGTCCACTAATAAAATTTGACATCTATATTCTAACAGACAATAACTAACAGAAAACTTTACTTCGCTTGTTTAATTTAAACAGCAGTGCTTGTATATTTTTTTTTAAATTGCTCAACGGGTAATTAAGTCATTACAATTACTTAAAAAATAAACATGTGACCCCTGCACTAGGCAAGTGATGCAGATAAGAAGAAACAGGTTTCTGCTTGCTTCTGATATTTAAATCATTAAAATAAAATACTCACTCATTATTCTTTCAAAACAGGTTACTTATTTAGTGGTGCTTATTACACATGTAAACCACATTTTATTGGAAATCATAAGCAGATGGCCCTTAAGATCTCAGTGTATACCATGTAAAAATTAGATGTTTAAAATAAAAAATGAACAACCAGGTCTTATAAAGTAAGTTTCAAGCTTACCTTAAACTCATTGTAGATCATTCTCTGCTTGTAAACTGCCATTTTTTCACTATTGATACAGTAGTCCCATCCACCAAATACCGAGTTGGTGTACAAGGGAAAAGCTTTGTTATCAAAGTCCATCACAGATTCTTTAATGGTAGAACTGGAGCTAAAAAAGAACACATTTTTACAGTTACCAGTCATAGAAATATGAGATAAGAAATTCAACTCTATATTTGTTAATATGCATTACATCATCCTAAGTCCTTAGGGAAGTATAAAAAGATGCATTACTCTTAGAAACAATGCAACAAAATCAGCTACATAAATATTGTAATATTGATCAATGAAGTTAAGTGTTGTGAAATATGTTTAGGGTGATGAGATGTATTACTGCTGGTCTGGTGGACTGTTACTATAATCAAAAGAAGCAAAATATTATGTGGACATCCAAAGTCTGAGTAATCTGGTAGCATGATGGGTGTTACACAGGTAAATAACTTGAGAACTGCTGTAGTTGTAAGAATTATTTTTATAGCTTAAAAAATACCAAACAAATTGGCCGTTTATTAGACTCCTTGTTCCCAAGTGTCACTGCGAAATTATACCTAATTATACCTAATATTAATTATGTTGACATTAAAAAAATAATTTACTTTTTAACAATCATAATGAAGACAACGATGAAGCTGAAACCAACAGTCAACATGTAGCTTAGCCCCATGTTGTATTTGACTTCATGTGTGGTCCATGGGTCCTGGATGATTTTAAATGTCAGATTCGTGTAGTAGCCATAGAACAACATTGTATTCTGTAGCCTGCCCTGTCAGCAGAAGTAAACAAAAAACATTTCCTAAACAACCATTTTTTAATCTAGTTTTAATTAAATGAAGCTAATTTAAAAAGTGGCTAAAATGTTATTGTTGTGTGAATGTAAGCCAATTCATGTTAAAGTTTCTTCAATTTAATATTTAAGACAAATATTCAATCGATCAGTTTAAGGAGTGGTCAACATAGACTTAGAGGAGAGTTGGATAAAGGTGCTATTTCATAAAACACAGACAATAGTCAAATTTAGAAAATGTTGACTTATAGGAGAGTTGGATCAAGGTGCTACTTCATAAAACACAGACAAAAGCCAAATTTAGAAAATGTTGACTTATAGGAGAGCTGGATCAAGGTGCTATTTCATAAAACACATTTAGACAATAGTCAAATTTAGAAAATGTTGATTTATAGGAGAGTTGGATCAAGGTGCTATTTCATAAAACACATTTAGACAATAGTCAAATTTAGAAAATGTTGACTTATAGGAGAGTTGGATAAAGGTGCTATTTCATAAAACACATTTAGACAATAGTCAAATTTAGAAAATGTTGACTTATAGGAGAGTTGGATCAAGGTGCTATTTCATAAAACACATTTAGACAATAGTCAAATTTAGAAAATGTTGACTTATAGGAGAGTTGGATCAAGGTGCTATTTCATAAAACACATTTAGACAATAGTCAAATTTAGAAAATGTTGACTTATAGGAGAGTTGGATCAAGGTGCTATTTCATAAAACACATTTAGACAATAGTCAAATTTAGAAAATGTTGACTTATAGGAGAGTTGGATCAAGGTGCTATTTCATAAAACACATTTAGACAATAGTCAAATTTAGAAAATGTTGACTTATAGGAGAGTTGGATCAAGGTGCTATTTCATAAAACACATTTAGACAATAGTCAAATTTAGAAAATGTTGACTTATAGTAGAGTTGGATCAAGGTGCTACTTCATAAAACACATTTAGACAATAGTCAAATTTAGAAAATGTTGACTTATAGGAGAGTTGGATCAAGGTGCTACTTCATAAAACACATTTAGACAATAGTCAAATTTAGAAAATGTTGACTTATAGTAGAGTTGGATCAAGGTGCTACTTCATAAAACACAGACAATAGTCAAATTTAGAAAATGTTGACTTATAGGAGAGTTGGATCAAGGTGCTACTTCATAAAACACAGACAATAGTCAAATTTAGAAAATGTTGACTTATAGGAGAGTTGGATCAAGGCGCTACTTCATAAAACACAGACAATAGTCAAATTTAGAAAATGTTGACTTATAGGAGAGTTGGATCAAGGTGCTACTTCATAAAACACAGACAATAGTCAAATTTAGAAAATGTTGACTTATAGGAGAGTTGGATCAAGGTGCTACTTCATAAAACACAGACAATAGTCAAATTTAGAAAATGTTGACTTATAGGAGAGTTGGATCAAGGTGCTACTTCATAAAACACAGACAATAGTCAAATTTAGAAAATGTTGACTTATAGGAGAGTTGGATCAAGGTGCTACTTCATAAAACACAGACAATAGTCAAATTTAGAAAATGTTGACTTATAGGAGAGTTGGATCAAGGTGCTACTTCATAAAACACAGACAATAGTCAAATTTAGAAAATGTTGACTTATAGGAGAGTTGGATCAAGGTGCTACTTCATAAAACACAGACAATAGTCAAATTTAGAAAATGTTGACTTATAGGAGAGTTGGATCAAGGTGCTACTTCATAAAACACAGACAATAGTCAAATTTAGAAAATGTTGACTTATAGGAGAGTTGGATCAAGGTGCTACTTCATAAAACACAGACAATAGTCAAATTTAGAAAATGTTGACTTATAGGAGAGTTGGATCAAGGTGCTATTTCATAAAACACAATTAGACAATAGTCAAATTTAGAAAATGTTGACTTATAGGAGAGTTGGATCAAGGTGCTACTTCATAAAACACAGACAATAGTCAAATTTAGAAAATGTTGACTTATAGGAGAGTTGGATCAAGGTGCTACTTCATAAAACACATTTAGACAATAGTCAAATTTAGAAAATGTTGACTTATAGGAGAGTTGGATCAAGTTGCTATTTCATAAAACACATTTAGACAAAAGTCAAATTTAGAAAATGTTGACTTATAGGAGAGTTGGATCAAGGTGCTACTTCGTAAAACACATTTAGACAATAGTCAAATTTAGAAAATGTTGACTTATAGGAGAGTTGGATCAAGGTGCTATTTCATAAAACACATTCAGACAATAGTCAAATTTAGAAAATGTTGACTTATAGGAGAGTTGGATCAAGGTGCTACTTCATAAAACACAGACAATAGTCAAATTTAGAAAATGTTGACTTATAGGAGAGTTGGATCAAGGTGCTACTTCATAAAACACATTTAGACAATAGTCAAATTTAGAAAATGTTGACTTATAGGAGAGTTGGATCAAGTTGCTATTTCATAAAACACATTTAGACAATAGTCAAATTTAGAAAATGTTGACTTATAGGAGAGTTGGATCAAGGTGCTACTTCATAAAACACAGACAATAGTCAAATTTAGAAAATGTTGACTTATAGGAGAGTTGGATCAAGGTGCTACTTCATAAAACACAGACAATAGTCAAATTTAGAAAATGTTGACTTGCAGTGCTATTTGATAAACAAATGTAGGTAACAATGTCAGCCTACTGTAAATTTGGACTTACTGTTCCCTGTGCTATATCAAGAAATATCATCCAAACACTTTTCCTACTGGAAACATTGTAGGATTTTTCTTTGTATGCCCTGCTACATCTGACCATGTTGTTGTGGAAGTAGTTGTCACTGGTGTTGGGCAGCAAATGAATCTCACTCTCCTGGTCACTGTAGGTCAGCTGAGGGATGTAGATGAAGCACAGGTAGAGGAAAAACACAATGAAGTTGATATTCACAAGCCACCTGGTGAAGCGGAAATAAGTTGATGTTGCTATTCCAAAATGACCTGTAAATAAAAATTGGTAAAAGATATTGTTAAAATTGTTGTATGTGAAATATGGACAACAAACATGAATTTCATTTTACTATGATTTAAACTTTTTTTTTTATGGTTTATACCTTCTATCTCTCTGAATTGTTGAGTCCAAAAATTGAGCCTGTGCCAAAAATCACTCACATTTTCAGCAGATGCACGAAGACCCTGAAAGAAAAACTTACTACATTACTGCGCTTTTCTGCTTTAGAAGTTTAAGTTAGGGAACAATATTATCTACCATGTTAATTTTGCAAGGTTCAGTATGACAAAAACAGTGGCAAGATTTTACCTTAACAATCCTCTTAGGATAAGTCAACAGGTGACGGGTGCTATCTACTGTGTCTTGTCCCGTTCTGTCAAGGAAAAGATGCAACATTAAACCAGGATAGAAACATTTGTTTTGACTGCCTGTTTCCACGACTTCCTAAAATAGATTCTGGATTTTATTTGGGACATGAACTACAACAGTCATCATGTTAAAATACAACAAGTTCTGTAGACCTTCAAGCAGAAGTAGGGTGAGGATTTATTCATGTGATTTTAGAAACATTAACGGATGAGAAAAATAAAATTTCTTTTAAACATTTCAAGTCATCTTCTTTGTTGAAGACAAAATTGTGAACTAAAAATGTGTTTATTGAGTATACAATGTTGCAATGTATCTGTAGGCAGAATCAAATTAGAAAATAAATGTATGGGTTAAATAGACAGAGTTTTCTGGTGACACGAATCAAATTCTAGTTGTGTACCTTTAGTTATTACATTCACTGATTGATAGATAAAGATGATGGCTATTTTAAAAATGATACATGTCTTTTACATTAGCATTTATTCTCACACTACCGAGAAGAGAGTAGCATTTATTTCCTACTGTGATTTTAGATTTGTCTTTTCTTATTGCTAAAAAAAAAACAAAAAGAATAAACCAAGCTAGAAGCACTTCTTGTAAAATAAAGTTTTGAGTGTCATGAAAGAAAGAGAGTATTGAGGCTGTCCACTAGTACCTTGCCAGCATGGCCTGCTTCAATGTCTGCTCTTGTTTGCTGGTGATCAGCCGGACTGTCAGACTTTTTGTTCTCTTCCTTCTACTTGGCAGTCCAACCTCTTCATATTCATCCTCTTCCAACTCCGGGTCTCCATCAAGAATGATTTGGCCCTCCGGCACCTTCCCGACCCTATTCTTGCCTATCCTACTCTTGCGCCGGACACGAATGGTGGAGACAAACCTGCGAGCCAGGCTGTAGTCGGAGAAGTTTGTGCTTTTCTTACAGACCAGCTCACCTGCTGAGGCTACCTGCAGGCGGTACTGCCTGTAATAGTCGTAGCCATTGACTGGCACGCTGTGGTTACGCCTGGTTCTCAATGGCCTGACAGCCTTCTTGCGCTCAGACTTCCAGCGCATGTCAAATGTACGTGTGCTCAAGTTGCTCATGTTTAGAATAACATCTGCAGTGGTGAGTGTGGGCTGGCAGAGAATATCAAAGCCCACTGCACTTAATCTCTCCACTTGGGCCTGGTCAGATGGTGGACCAGGTTCCCTGTCTTCTACTGTCTCTGAACTTCCACTGACACCTTTTTCCTGACTAGCTAACACTTGGATAGGAGGCTCTTCAGCCTTTCTACTTGTGTTATGCTCTTCAGAGCTAGCAGCTGTTGTACTTGTGGAATATTCCACAAAATTTTCACTAGGATTCTGATCAACGCTTTCATCCATTTTATATTTGTCCAAATGTTTTAGGTATAATTAACTAATAAAATGTAACAGTTTAAAAATTAAGCAATAATCTATATTTATGGTAATGCAGCTAGTTAATTTAAATAATTTTTAAATTCTAAATGTAGGCATCAACAACTGTATAACCAACAGACACCATTTAGGTATAACCATCAGACACCAGTAAAGTGCTGTATAACCATCAGACACCAGTAAAGTATTGTATAACCATCAGACACCAGTAAAGTGCTGTATAACCAACAGACACCAGTAAAAAACTGTATAACCAACAGACACCAGTAATGTATTACCATCAGACACCAGTAAAGTGCTGTATAACCATCAGACACCAATAAAGTACTGTATAACCAACAGACACCAGTAAAGTGCTGTATAACCATCAGACACAAGTAAAGTGCTGTATAACCTTCAGACACCAGTAAGGTACTGTATAACCAACAGACACCAGTAAAAACCTGTATAACCAACAGACACCAGTAAAAAACTGTATAACCATCAGACACCAGTAAAAAATTGTATAACCCACAGACACCAGTAAAGTGCTGTATAACCAACAGACACCAATAAAAAACTGTATAACGCACAGACACCAGTAAAGTAAAGTATAACCAACAGACACCAGTAAAAAACTGTATAACCAACAGACACCAGTAAGGTATAACCAACAGACACTAGTAAAGAGTTATGCACAACTGTGTGCATCACCAAGAATTCAAGTATGAAAAGATTAAATTTCAAATATCGTGATGTTTTCTTCTATCAACATCTTCAAAATGGCTAATCTATAGTTGTGTAATGAATATTTTTACCCTTGGTAGGCCTAATGTGAATAATGCTGAAGACTTTTCTAAGATTTTTTAAACTTATCTTTAAAATTACATTTGCATTTATGCTAATTTCACACTACTGAGAAGTGAGTAGCATTTATTTCCTACTGTGATTTAAATAAACACATTTTTATAATTAACAGATTTTGTAGGTGCGTAACCCTAATATTAATGGCCTACTATGAAGTCATCTGTCCAATTATCATAGCCTACTATAAAATAAAGTCATCTATTGAATGTTCATAGTCTACTATAAAGTCATCTATTAAATGTTCATAGCCTACTATAAAGTCATGTATTAAATGTTCATAGTCTACTATAAAGTCATGTATTAAATGTTCATAGTATACTATAAAGTCATCTATTAAATGTTCATAGTCTACTATAAAGCCATATCAAATGTTCATGACTAACGTACTATGTGATACCCATAAATGTCAACTTGGTATTTGCATACAAAAGGTCCTTCCAGCCCCACAAAAACAACCAGAATTCCAACAAATATTACTGGGGTTTTTTTTTATAGATTTTTTTAGTCCTTACAACATACACATAATCTACGTCATTTTTTTTTTTACAGCGTGCTGTTTCCCGGAGAAATACTGGTAACGTTCCCTTCCCCCCCCCCCCCCCCCCACTAATAATCCTAACTTTAATGAGATGAAAAGTTAATGAATGCGGCATGCACGAGCAATTTGCAAGTTGCGTCAATAACTGTGGTGTAGCGCTTCTATCGCTAGCCAACCACTGCAAGCCCTAATCATTGCTTTGATCCCAACCTTTAAATGGTCACGAACTAAGGGGAACCACTCCAAGCGATTAGTTAGACACGAGCCTGCCTTCAAATATTCCCCTGATCTACCAGCGCTCGCAGTGTTTGACCCCAACTTTCAAATATTCCCCTGGTCAAGTGGTCCACACAATGACCCAGTGTCTGGTCAAGACAGTGTCACCGTTGTCACTCAATTTGTCACATTTTCACCGGAAGTGGGGCACATTAGTTACAGAGATGGCTAACTACAAACAGAACGCTTGGCCAAATCAATGAGACCTGCGTCATCATACACATCACGTGGCACGGCTAAATGAACATAAACATCGCCAGCAACACCCACAAAACACCATCAAGGTGTCACCACTCAGAAATGGTCGGCTAACGCTCTAGCTACTATACAACATGGCACATGGGATAAATATAACATGACAACATCTAGTTCATCTAAACAATGAAGGTAATTACTGTGAGAGTCTTTGTTGCCATAGAAACTATGTCACCGATTATTTAAAAATGCAGCCAAGAATAGCTTTAAAAAAATTGTTGTCTTGATGAGAGCATTGATCTTGTTGACAATAACAAAGACAATAAATGACCACATTTAAAACCTACATCGGGAAAATCTGCTGATAGACACACAAGCTATTACTACAGCTAAACACAGGCTAATGTTACAGCTAGACACCCAGGCTAAAGTTACAGCTAGACACAGGCTAATCTTGATACTGATGAAGGTTGTTTCTCCCAGGGTGCCACATTAACCAGTTGAAATCTATTCAGGTGTGACAAAATCTCAAGGAGTGCCACAAGATGTCCATGTCAAAGGGAAGTAGAAAGATGCGTTCATTAACAGATAATGTGCTAGACGAGACGAGGACTGGGTATAAGACATTGGCACGTCTACACGTTGTACAACCATCAGCACTTCATTTACCAAAGGAAAAAATAACAAGCCGTTGGCAGTAACTATTTCACCACACAACACCCAGCATAAGTTAATACTATAAATGAGCTTAATAGAGTAAATAAAAATGTCATAATGGGACAACACAGGCTGATTTTGAGTTCATTGATATATGATTTATCGAACAGATATATGATTTATTGACCTTGGTTCACTGACTTATGGTATACCGACCATTGGTTCATCGAGCTACGAATCATGGACTTAGGTTCATGGTTCGTAGACCCAAGGTAAACAAACACACGGGCCAATGTTCTGTACACTAATGAACGTGATCACTGGATGGTATCACAGCAAAAGATAGTCTGTTACAACAACAAAAAATTATTTGAAAACGTGAGGTGTTTCAAACTTCATGCATAAAATAATGGCGCGGACCTCGTTTATACGATGATATTCTACAAACCGAATTCCCTAATTCCACCCCCCTCTTCTTTTAACGTCAAATATGTCGAATATTTCCTTCCAACTTTTCACGCTCCTGACCCTAATCAATGCCACCACTGCAAGCGCTCCAAACATCAGCCAACATGAAAACTGTTTTTAACGGTACATTTTTCCCCACACCGGAAACGTCAGGGCAACATTTTTTTGGGGGAGGAGAGAGGGAGGGGGAGAGAGGGAGGGGGAGATCAAAGTAGTGCCGAGCCCCGTTAAGCAGAACAGTACCAGGTGATGGCTAATAGAATAATTAGTGATCTACGCCTTCAATACGTGCAGCTGTTTCTTCTGTCTGTCAAATAGATAAAACATCGGTCCATGACGCTGCTGAAAGGTTACATACATACATCTACTGCTGTAGCAATGGAACATTGTCTACAGTCTACATACTTCTGTCTTTATGCGTCTGTAACAAACGTACATACACACTTCTGTCTATACAGATATGTCTGTCTCTATACATCTGTAACATACTTCAATCTATGTCCAACTGTAACAAGGTCACAGGCATATTTAATTTATACTGTCATAGCATACTTCCCGCTCTAAAAAGGTCACTTACACAACTTCTGGTTATATTACCATGTCAAGGTCACAAAGGGACTACATAC